GATGCTTGCGAATTTCGATGCACGCGCTGAAGGGAACACTTCTGGCCTCGAAGAGCGCAAGTTGCGCAATGACCAGCCAACAACCATCGTGTCGAAGCACTGTGAGGATCCATGTCATCCCGTGCCATGACCGAAACGCACTCTGGGAAGACGGGTTCCGTCTGGTTGCGACCTGTCACGCCTGCCTCACACTTCGAACAAGGAGGGTTATTGACGACTTGACCCATGGTGTATCCCAACGCTCCGAGAAACTGCACTTCATTCATGAAATCACGATCACCATAATATTCCAAAGGACGTCGGAGGGAAAGGTTTTCGAACTCTCGGACACCAGGTGTTGCATTTTCGAAAAGAACGCCATCCACCAATTCCTGCTGCCAGCGGGACCAGTCATAGAACTGCACACCTTTGGCCACCCGGTTTCGACTTCCATAATCCTTCGAAAACACGTCAGAACGACTTCCCTGCGGGAACATCGAAAACACGACTTACTGCTAATGATGCTGACTTCGCTTTCACATTACTCGCCAACTCTCGAATTCGTCTCACTATACGCTCATAGTGACTTGTCGACGGGATTTGACAACCACGCAGGAAATTCGTAGGGCGACGGGACGGATCATCACCGCCTCCACCACCGCCCAACGATCCTGATGCCAATGCACCCGGTCCCGGTGCTTGGACGATAGGCGTGTGGACAGACTATACAGCTGTGTTACCAAGTCGAACCCGCGACGACGTTTCGAATCCTACTCACCATGATGCAAGATCGTTCGAAGTTGAAGAAAAGGATAAGATCTCGAAGGGGTATGGACAAAGAAGAAGAAATCGCTGATGTGCGATAGAAGAGAAGAAAAGAGTGTAGGAGTAGGAAGGGGAATACTTATCGACAGTGAAGAACTTTCGAATCACAACAAACGGAAACCACTGGAAAAGAGGCCCGCGTTTACACGGCAACGACACCTTCCCCCGTCGAAATCCTTACCTTTCCTATGGGAATTTCTTCACTTAGTCGCTATGGAAGCTGGCATGTGAAAATACCACCGACACCCATTCACTCCATTCCCGCACCGTCTATTTCGCAAGGGGAATGATACCGAAAGCAATCGAGAAGGGACATTTGCATTGCGGCGCCCATATATTTACTCCATATATAGCCATTCGAAGCCTGGCGTCGAAGATGGGATTGTTTCTACAACTGACAAGGCTGAATGCGGGCATTCGAGGCTAGATAGGGGAGGATGTGATATGTGGCGACGCCAAGGCTTGTAAAGACCTTCGGAAGCGTTGTACGCTTCGTACACGCTTCGAAAGTATATAGTCTGACGGTCCCCCGGACCCTTCGAAATAGGACAAGTCCTCCGTAAAATCACAGAGATTTGGCACTCGTCCATGGGACGGTTCTGCGATTGCTGCCCAAGCCCCTGGTGTTTCTTACCTGCAGCTTTTTCGACCCGATGGTTATTGGGGGCCATTTCGTTAGTCATGTCACGGTCATGGTATGTATGATGCATTACAAGATATATGCACCCATTCGAATTGTAGACCGGGAAAAAGAGGGGTTGGTTGGACAGTCTAGCTCACAGCCCCGGCTTAGCTTGATCTGTCGTTCTTCTGGAGCGGCTGGCCTTTTTGCATGCTTGGGACTCTGCTGGCATGAATAGCAACGCCGGTTTCTGACAGGTTGAATTCCTGCGCCCGATTCCCCCTTGTCCTCACTTACGCATGGGAACTCGCTCGTCGATTCCCGCGTCGGGCTGGCATCGCGCTTCGACGACAATGCAACCTGGAACACCCAGACACCCGATGGTGCTCTTACCCGCTGTGGTCTAGGCCGTCCTGCAAAGGTCAAAAATGGATGAATTGAGAGACAACCACCTCGTATTTGCGGGATATAGCCCCAAACTTTGTCGATGTCCTGGTATCTTGGAACGGGATAGACCCTTCACGCCAGTAATACCGCACAGACCCCGATCATCTGAGCCTTTCTACAGAGATTTCTTGTCTGCCCTCTCTGGGCTTGGTAAAGCGGCCTTGGTGGCCTGGGGAGATATCAGATACCACGGGCCCGACACAATGACCATGATCTGAATGAAATCTACCGAGAAAGCTGGTCCACCATCAGACTACCATCATGCTGTCTCTATCGCGATTTTGTGCGGGCATTCTTCCCTGGATCAGCTTCGTCACCGGTTGGAACTTGACGGCAAGAGACTTCGTGTCCTGGGACCGCCCTCGGGCCGCTTTGATCAGAGACCATGTGTACCTGGAGGGCGGCCGGATCCACCACAACTTGACCGACATCGTCACCTCTTCCGATGGTTTTCTCTTCAAGCTCAACTTGCACCGGTCATTCGGAATATCTGGAGACAGTCCTCCCGCGGTCTTCGAGTCCATCGATGAAGGGCCCATTACCAATTACTACGTTGATGGATTCATGTTCGCGGACTACGACGAGTTTTACGCTTATGGGTAAGTGATTCACCAGAATCAGGGCGCGAGAACCGAAATGAACGATGTGGGTAGGGGCCTCTTTGATTCCTCGGGCAACACTCAGACGGACCGCACCGTGAGTTGTCCCTTATACGATGCGCCCGAAGGCTCCAATGTCCAGCTCGGAGAACCCAACACCAACTACGCTCCTCAATCGGGATCCTTCATCAGCGATATCGCCAGCGGCGCCGGAGCCAATGCGCCCAGTGAAAACTTGGGATTCTACTTCAGCGGCATGTACAACGAGGACGGCACCCCGTTCTCCTATTTTGGTCCACCGCGTGACATTTCCAACTGGTTGATCCAAGTGGATACATCCATCCAAGGAGCGGCCGACTGGAGGCAACTCTATATCAATCAAGCTTCCAATCCCGTGAACGTGACCCTACGAGTCGAGGGTGCTCTCGTCTGGGTCCCCGCGTCCACGCAAGGTCTTCTGATTGCCATCGGGGGTGTTGTGAATGCGTCCGATCTGCACTTCTATGGGCCCACGGATGATAATGCCACCGAGTCCATGGGCTTCTTGAAAGAATTCCCCGTCTACGACATCGGCTCAGCCTCCTGGAGCCTCCAGACGCTGAATGAAGGATCTCCCTTCCCGGACACGCCGCTGGTCCAATTCTGCACCGTGGTGGCCTCCAGTCCGGACGGATCTCACCACGAAATCTTTGTGTATGGAGGGTGGGACAACAACGGGGGATCCCCCAAAAACGACGTCTGGATTTTGACCGTGCCGTCATTTACCTGGATCAAGGCCGACAGCCCTGGACGGACGGGCGACGCCAGACAAGGCCACGTCTGCGCTTCTCCATATCCCGATCAAATGATTGTCATTGGTGGCACGTCCCTCGCGGGCAGCCCGTTGGATACCAGCAACACGGTCGATGTGTACAATCTCAACGAGCTCAACTGGACGGGCTCGTACGATCCTGATATTCATCAACCGTACCAACCTCATCAGACGGTTCTCGACGTCATATCTGCCACGCCCACCGCCGGTAACATGCCTTCGGACATCGCGGGTTGGTTTGACACCAAGTACAACATGGACAAGATCAAATTCTACGGACCTTATCAGAAAGTGAGTGAGACCACCCCTTCGCCCCCGCCGTCAAATGCAACGACGTCGGCAACTCCATCTCCCGCCCCAAATTCGGACCGACCGTGGGTGGTCCCGGTTGCCGCGACCCTGGGTACGGTGGGGGGACTAGCCCTCGTGGGCGCCCTGATTTTCTTTTGTTGCTGCCGAGGCCGATTCGCCAAGCGTCGGGGAGAGAACCAAGAAGCAGCCGAAGTCAGTCAAAGAAGGAGTTGGATCGTGCCTTGGATCTGGTCTACGTCTTCAGGAGCACCTGGGAAGGACGTCACGTCCGACACCATCACCGAGGTTGAACATCCGAGCTCCCCCCTTCAGACGACTATTCCCCAAGAGCTTGAAGGCGGATACGTGGCACAGAGCGACGGAAGAGGGCGCGACCGCTGGTCTTCCTCGACTCATGTTCGCTCACCACCGGGTGAATATGCCGCTCCAGTCGAGGCTCAGGACACGGCCGTCCATGAAGTCCCTGGCACATCTCGAATAAACTCGGCCGACGACATCAACTATGATTTCCGAAACATGGCCATGTACCCCCCTAGTGTCGTCAGCGGCGGCCATTTAAAAACACTCCCTAGCGAATCGATCTCGCCGCCGAATGAATCCAGCACCAATGCACCGGCGTCACCCCATACCACATCCGCGGCCGCTCCAAGTTCTCCAAGAGATTTCCCTACCATTCCCGAGACCGACATCGCGCTGAGCGGTGCGGTCACGGACAACCAGGGATCTGAGCGAGCAGTCTCACCACTTACTGCCCGGCAAACGCAGCGACCGGGACATGGTCGTCGTCATTCCAGTATGAGCAGTGGAATGTCACTCCCGTCACCTAATATTGACCAATCTGCCCTTCCTAGACCTAGGGCTTCACGAAGTGCTTCGGGGGAAGATGGTGAGACGGTATCGGATAGACAAGGCAGCCATACATTATGATTTGCGAGTCATTGGGCAGTGGATGATGTGCTTGTCACTCATTATCATCAATGTTTTGTTGGTTCTTAGTATTGGACAGTACATAGTTAGGGAATGAAATATAGGCGGCAACGGAATTTGATAGCCAATTTTTTTTTTTTCTCTTTTCGGACGTTTTTGCACTTTTTCTTCGGCTTTGCCTGCTCACAAGGCTGTATAGTCCTAGGAGGTGGTAACTATAGTGGGTCCACTGGACACACTAGGAGACATGTCTTCGCTGCAAGACTTCTTCCAAAGGGATTAACGATCATGACCATCGAGAGATGGACCAGCTAAGACAACGAGTCGAGAGGTTGTGCTCCAACTATATGTGCAGAATCGACCCCCGTATCCCAAGTCTAACCACGTCTAGTGTAGAAGAAACTATCCCATTCCTCCCAGTCAAAGGTTGCTGTCGAACCCTCACCGCCAAACCGAGGTTACGACATCCTGATTTATCTCGGAAGACTCTCCACGAGGACTTGCTCAGCCAGTGAGGTGAATGGAATCGTGCTGAGCAAACCGTCACTATTCAATGGGCTGGCTGTCCGTCAGTATTTTGAGTCGAACAATACTTTCTTCAAGAGATACAATGGGCATGAACCGACACGGATTCCCATTCAATATCCAAGTTTCACCGCGCACAGGAGGTTTGAACTTGTGAATGATATTTGACCGGATAGGGCAATTCTGGACGCTGCTTTTAAGGGGAACCACTAAGTGCCAAAGCAAAGTGGTTGCGGCTCGGTTTAGAAGGGCCCCATCGCTGATCCCGGTGAGGCACAATAAACGTCATAGTCGAGATGTAGAGACGGAAATAGATTTTCACGTTTCAATTCTCTTCAGTCGGCTAGCTACAGTGCTTGAATAAGTCCGACGGGATAACTGTGATCGTACTAGCCATGTCTCAAATGCGCCTTGATTCAGTCCGATCCATGTACGATGAGCGGAGCGAGCAGTACGATGAAAACACTGTCCATGTCCGGCAAGCGCAAGACTATCTGGAATGGGCTCAGCTGAAGAGAGGTGAAAGCGTCCTGGACCTAGGATGGGGAACCGGCCTAGTGACATTAGGAGCCAAGCGCGCCGTGGGAGAGTCCGGCCATGTTGTTGGCATCGACATTAGCGAGGGAATGCTGAATGTCGCCAGCCGCAAGGCCGCCGCTGCCGGTCTCGAAATCACCTTCATCAACCACGACATATCAGATCTCAGTAGCCCGGAAATCCTTCCCAAATTCTCCCGAAGCTTCGACGTCATCACATGTGCATCGGCCTTGATCCTTCTTCCAGATCCTCTCCGGGCCGTCCAAAATTGGAAGTCGGTATTGTCCCCGGTGGGCGTCTTGTCACAGATGTCCAAACAAAAGATGCCAACCTTGTGATGAACATTTTTGCCGCCATTGCGCCGGAAGTTGGCGAATCGGTACCTTGGGATGCGCATCGGTGGCACTCACCGCAGGCACTTGAGGACTTGATGGTCGAAGCCGGGCTCAAAGTTGACAAGATCTGGGAGACAGGATCGTACGCGACAACTCAATACGACCCTGCCACGGCATCCCAGATCTACGAGCAGGCTGTTAGCAAATCCATGTTCAAGAACTTTGGCCGGGACGAAATCCGTGAGAAGACGAAAGGCTTGTTCGTCGACAGGCTGGCAGAGTTGGCGGGGGCCTACGGGTTCAATTGTTGAGGAAACCAGATATTGGGTCGTCGTGGCCTCGATGCCGCGATAAGCAGAGGTGGAAGCCTCGAATGTGGATGACATACCTCCTGTTCAACAGCTCGAGGTTTGTAAATTCTGATTCATAGTCGTTACTGGGTCGGATTGAAGAAATCATTGTGCGCTCCGGATCTTATCATTCAACATTGCATGGATACGATAACTCCTTGAAATGCTACTCTCTGACTCCCCTGTTCCTCTCAATACGCCTCCTTCTACATCCAAGGTTATAAGAATCGCAAAAGATGTTCCCGGGCCTTTCCGGCTTCATGAGCACTCTTTCCACCTGCCTCATTACCGTCTTTCTTCCTCATTTCATGCGGATTCTGCATAGTCTCGCTTTTCCCTTTTTCCATCGTAGTCAGCTTGAATTCCTCGGTCTCCTCCTCACCTTCATCCTCAACCTCAGCGTCTCCCGCCACTTTAGCACCGTCTCGACCGTTGGCTTGATTTAGCCATGTCCAAAATTCCGTTCTACCGTGCACATTCACGTCCCCACCTCCGATCAGGAGTTGAATATGCACTTTTCTCATGAATTCCTTGTTGGTTTTTCTATCAAACAAGGTCTTCACGTCCGCCCACCCGCAGGCCACTCTTGTGCCTCATCCAAAAGCGTTGCATGCCCTGGCGCGTCGATACTGGCGGTAGCCAGACATTCAGGATACAGGTAGAGAAAACGATGTACGAACTAACCTCCTCCTGAGAATCCCATAAGACACGCTTTTCCAGTCTCAATACCAGGCCAGCATTCAGTGACTTCATCCAGCATGGACAATAGCGCGAGATCAGATCGAAGTGTTCGCCACCAAAACAATTGGTACGAATCGAGATCCAGAGGTCCGTCAAGACCGGCTAAGAATAAAGGCGCCAGGATGGCACAGGGAGTCGACTCAACGAAAAGGACGAATTCATTGTATATCGCGGTAAAGTTTCTTCCTGTTCCATATACGTGGACGACTAAGGGGAGTTTGATCCGAGTCAATTCGAATTCGCAATTGGTAGGTGCTGCTGATGGATTCAGATAGTAATGTTTCGGTGGCACATAGAATAGGAGATGCGTGGATGACACGCCAGAGCCTTGTGAGGGATATGGCCGGCGAGAAAGGCAGCCTTGAGGAATTTCGGTGGTACCACAGCTTTCGTCAGTTTAAACGGCCTCATGGTGGGTTCTTCAAGTGATATGATTGACCCGAGCCCAAGCAAGAAACATATTGTGATTTTGTAGTAGCCTTGCGACCCGACTTGCGGTGGAACAAAATTCGCCCGGGATATCAGATGTCAGTCTCGGCTCGAAGAGAATTTCGCTCCAGGGCCACTCGGTCAATCAGTGACAGTTGAACAGTAGTCAGCGCCCCGCTATTGGAAAATGGGCCATCATTCCTATTCAGGATATAGGGGTAGGAATAGGAGTAGGAAAGGGGCCAACCAAACGTGTGCATATACTGGCAATCTGGCAGGACCAGTTGCCAAAACAGAGAGAGCACTCAACAACAATCAAGTACATCCACTGATTGTTTGACAGTGACTCTCACTATGGATGTCGATGATGGGCTTTGTTGTGGATACACAAATGATGCACAAATCAGAAACTGCTATAATGATCGCAAAGTGCAAAGGTAGGACAAAATTGGAAGATTATCTCTTGCTGTTGCGGGTTAAGTTGTCACCACTAGCAATCAAAAGGGGGACGAGGCTGTCGTGTTGCGGAGTATAGCAAGCCTCAGTCTTGTGCCACACCTTAGGGGGGTAATGGTCTCGCCACACTTTAAATGTACTAAATTTCGCACCAATCATACATATTACATATTGTCTTCAAATTGGATTCGGATCTTTCTTCGCTCAAGCTGTTCCATTTTCATTTCAATCCCCATTCCCATACTTCACTTTTCTTTTCTTTTCGACCTACATATAGTACTCTACGACCGTCTGAAAAATATCTTCCTCAGCCTCAATCGAAAACTGTGCAGAACATTCAATGGAACCGAAGGACGCGTCTGTTCTGCAGACGAACACCACCCATGACGAGTTCTCGGAACGTGCTGATGCAGGACTCGAACGCAAATTGAAAAGGATACTTGATTTCTTATTCTCTCGCTCATTTCAGGCGTTCATTTCTTCGCTTCTACTATTCGTTGTGTACACAATCTTTACTTTGCACTCCCCATAGGCCTCTTTCCCTCTCGTTCGAGTCCACTGACGATTTCTTTATCGACGCAATATGACTGTCCTGATTTCGGAAACACCAAAATCGCCATCCTCAGACGAACCGAAGCTCTCCCTGAAGGACCATTCCAATACCGTGACTATATTCTTGGTCTCATACGTCGTGTTCCAATTAGCCGGAACACTTTTGATGAAGAAGACGGGGGGTCCTACACAGTTCAGCGGGGCTATGATTTTGGTGAGAACACACACATCCATGATGGCCTCTGCCTTCCTTCGTCCAGCTTTCAGGATGGGGCTGTGACTGAGCTGAGTTGAACTTGTTGAGTTTCTACAGTGGAACTTCTTCACAACAATGACAAGCCATCATTTAGACAAAAGGACAATTACTTACTCGGCGCTTCCTCATTGGTATGGCAGAAGCTTCCGTCCAAGGTGCTGTCTTGTGTATGTGGTCCCCAAATCAAATCCAGCCATAGTCCTCGTCTATCGATCATGGGGTTTTCTCCAGCTAAATACTGTCAGATCCCTCCTTTTGGTATTAATACTGCGAACTCACGACCTGCAGCGTCATCTTCTTTCCAATATCCACAATCGCTGGTGCCTTCAACGGTTTCATCACCTACGCAATCACCAAGATCTCGACAGCGTAAATGGCTAGAGGGCCTAGCGCTAGATGTTCTTCATCGAAGGAGTCATTATATGCAACTTCACTTTTGTTGTATGGCATTTCTCCTTCCAGTCCCGGCTGCTGTGCGCTTTGGGTTCACGCTGGTGGAAAAAGGAATAAATTGACAGAGGGAGTTTGTGAGTGTATAATATGGAAGAGGGCTCGTCTACAAGTTAAGGAGGCCTCCACCGTGCTGTTGACAGGCTGCTTGTTATTATTGCGAGCAGAAGATATTTCCTTCCTACTATTATCGAGGTAAGTCCTAAACACGAACTGAATGCTCCTTGATGCCTTCTCATTGCAGATCAACACATAGACTTTGGACGGCAAGCTAACATATCCGGATACATTCACAGTCATCGTATACGCATGTACGTATTTTGGCATTATTTTCTGCGCCAGAATAGCTAGCTAATCAAGCGAATCCTTGTGAATTCACTCTAGCTGCGTCTGCCGTTGGAGGCGTTGGTTGTGCCCTGTTGACGGGGGTGACGAATCGAGACGCATGATTTGCGGCCAACCTGTCTGGTAGCATTTTCCGTGCATCCCAACATCGCCGTGCAGTTGCCTTAGCTTACGATGAGCTTTGCGGACTATACGCCAAGGTGAGCTGTTCACAGTGATTGCTTCAGTTTGAATCACTAGGCTGATCTTTACAAAAGGGCCTCTACATTGGCATTCTCTAATATCTTTTCACCACTATTTAGGATCCGTGGGAACCAAGCCTATATCGATCCGTCTTATTGTATGTTTTCGCCTGTTTAACTTGAGGATAAAGTATGCTGATATTTCCTTCTATTTAGATCGCAGAGGCAATGGTGCTGCTCTGAGACCACCGGTTGTGGTTTGGTCTTCTCTTTGATCCTTGGGTGGCATCTCAGTTCCTTAAATTCCGGGAAACGTGAAGGAGCAGTTGTCGGTGTGGGCATCGTAACGGAGACATCAGAGTACGGAAGAGCTTGGTGATAAACGCCCTCCACATTGTGTGTCCTATGTCGCTGACACAAAATTCTGCCTTTTCACAATACCAACTTTATGTCACATATTTCTTTCATATTCTTTCGGCTCGCCACCTTCCAAGAGCACACGGCGTTACCACTGGGATATATCTTTGGCTGAAGCTGCCTTTGACATGAAGAATTGATCAAAGAGAATGGACTTCTAAGGCGGAAAGATGGAAGGAAGACCCAGTTCTGAGACATCTCAATGCGTCACCCAAGACAGAGTTGTACTCCTTTTTCTATGGCATTGACTTTCATCTTTCCATGCACTTTACACAAACCTATTCTCTGCCGCAACCTCGGACAGGTGGACTTCTGCCTTTGCAAATTTCCGTGCCGGCAGTTTTTTCTCAAATAGCAGGTCCAGTTCTGCAACGGTACGATCCTTGGGTTCCGGGACGAAAAAGTACGAAAAAATCAGTCCTAGAAAACAAGAGCCGGCCCAGAAGAATCCGGAAATCGCACCCCACCCCCAAGCAGAAGGATTTAGTTGATATGGAGTAATGACGTTGGCGACGATGTTGAGGGCGGCATAAGAAAATCGGGCAATCACCACAGATTTGCTTCGGAGGAGTGAGGATGGAATCTCCGAGACCAGCGTGAATGAGACGGGAGCCACAGTGACGTCGGCGACGAAGACCGAGACGAGCAGGAGAGCTCCAATACTCCAGGACAACGCTGAGGAAGGCGAGGTCGATTGAGGAATCCCAAGGCCACCCACACCGAGAAAGATGCTGCCGACTCCGACAAGACCCCAGATGAACAACGCGCGGCGGCCGATGTGAGGCATCAAGAACCACTGTCACAGATATCAATCACATTAGAACAGACGTTGACTGGGTTAGAGAGTGATCCGGGGGAGACTCACCGCTACGACAACTCCAATCAGACCAAGCCCATATGCAACAATTGACATATTAAAGGCCTGGTCAGTGGGCAACCCGGCCTGCTGGAAGAAATATGTCACGTACGCCCTTAGGGTGGAACCGCTGAGAACCTGCATGCAATAGCAACCAATAACGATGATTGTTCGACGGAGATCAGTTCCTTTGAAACACGCAACGTAGTGTGTACCAGTATTGATTGCCCTCTCGTGCTCGGTCGTGAGAGATATCAGGGCGACATGTTTATCGACGTCGAAATCCACATTTTGAGCCGACGTGAGCCGACGAACTACGGCTTTGGCTTCTTCAATGCGATTCTGGCGGACGAGCCACCAGGGAGATTCGGGGGCAAGGTAGACCCCGACCATCAAAAGAAGAGGCCAGAACCACCTATGTAGAATCGTCAGCATAGAGCATTCGGTAACGAAATCTCAGAGTGGGTCTTTTCTCACTGGATAGCGAAAGGAATCCGATAGGCCCATGGCCCCGGTAGATTCAGGACCCCGCGAAGGACGCAAGAAGCGATGAGTTGACCGATGACCTATGAAGAGCGGAAGGGCGTCAGGTCCTTTTTCTCTTTGTGTTTCAGGGCTTGTATGATTCCTACCCAGCACATATTCACATAGCTTGTCAGCATACCACGGAGGCATGTAGGCATTACTTCCACAGCGTACACGGTAGTCACGGTCTGAAACATGCCCAAAGGGATGCCTGAGAACCTGTCAGCGAGGCCGTCAGACAGACAAGAGTACCAAAAGGAAAAATACTCACCAAGAAGCACCTGTCCCACTTCCAAGACTGCAAGACTCGGTGCGAAAAATTGGATGAAAATTAGACCAGGTATGACCATCAACGCACTCAGCATCGTCTTTCGAAATCCGAATTTCTCGCTAAGATATCCTCCGATGACAAGCCCTAACATCTGACATGTGTTGGACCCATTCGAGAGTCCTGATTGCCATGGTGCAGAAACCTGATAGGTACCGTCTCCTTGAGGATTGCCATATGCTTCTTGGAATGCCGGCTGAGCAATGAGGGAGCCGATGAGTTTGGTGTCGTAGCCATCCATGATTAGCGCAGTGGACATGACGACGCTCCATGCCACAGCTTTGGGATAAAGCTTTATGGCTTGAAGAATAGTTAACTCGTGATCTCGATTCGTTGCATCTTCTGCATCGGCTAGGAGATCTTGCTGCACAATCTGCTGAGTCTTTTCGGTCTTTTCCATAATGTTATCCTTGGACAAGGGCTTTATAATAGATTGACTAGGAAACTGAAGGTGATAGACGCCCAGAACGATATGGGTATCGGTACGAAGTATATGGCGAACGATAAGTAGAGTTGTTGTCTAATCCCAACTTGCTGACCGCTGAAGAAGACGAAGACGACTGCTTTGTCTGAAGATCAAGACATTTATATATAGTCAGTTCCTCTTTAGAATTCGATGAAGCATGCCCAAAACATCAATCCATTCGTTCGAAGCATTTTTTTTTTGAGAGACACATTTGCTCTCTTTGTGCCTCTATGCTAGATGGTGATTGGTTGTCGAGTTCGGAGACTCTCAGAGAAGACCAGGACTCTCAAGTATCTCTAGCCGAGCGCGGCTTATCTCTAGCCGACATACTTATCGCTAGCCGACCAGAAAAGGGGCCCCATGCAGTGACAGCCTCGCTGAGTGGCTTGCTTCCACCACGTGTTCGCAATGCTTTTTGTTTTGTATAGTTGTAGTGACCTGAATCTGGTTTTACGGGATCCGCTTTTCAAAATGTAATTCAATATCTTGAGTGGGTCCATAAATGCCTGGTTGGCGTCCCATCAGTGCCCATCTCCATAAAGCGTCCTTTTTTTTTTCCCTTCCAATCGCTTCTATAAGAAACCCATTCAGGTCCTGAGAAGACTGCAGGTTTTCGGAGCACTAGATTTCCTTGTAAAGAATGAATCATCGGATCGTTGATGGTGACGTGCTCCACCCAATGCGACATCGAAGGCTGCAATATTGTTGTATCAGGTGGGCACGTACCCATCGAGATAGGGGAAATAAATAGTTTGAGCATATCTGCCATTTCGCAAGCAGTCATTCCTTTCCGTCCTCGAAAACATATATTCTTTTTGCCCCGCATATCAATTCTCGCCAATCGCGAAAGGTCAAAGTAATCAATTTCCCACATCCATATTCCTCAATAAGCACCTCGGGTCTCGAGGACAGCAAACACCACAACATTGTCTATACCTTTCATCTCTGACAGACACATATTTAAATCGTATTGCTCACCATGAGTCCGAAGACAAGTGTCGTAGCAAATGGTACGACGAATGAGAACAGCCACAATGACAGTGCCAGTACCATTCTTACGGAATCACACCCTCTTTACAACCACAAGCACCGAGTTGAACCCGAACTCAATAAAAAAGAGGAGTATCCAAGGTGGATTGGTCAGAAATTCGAACCTGACGGCCGCCTGCTGTCGTTCCCAGGAAACACAGTCATCTGCCACCTTTCGCCGCAAAGTGAGCTGCATCATGCACTGCAAGGTCTCTACAAAGAGCTTAAAGAGGGAGAATTTGCTTCGCTTCAGGCTCTGTTGCCACCCACAAGCTGGCATATGACAATTTTTGAAGGAGTTTCGGACAAAATGCGCAAGCACGGTGTCTGGCCAGACAATTTGCCTCCCGATGCGTCGCTGGACGGTTGCAATGCATTGTTCAACCAAAAGCTTGCTGCCTTCGATCTCGAAACCGAGCCACCTTTTCGAATGGCGGTATATGGCTTTGAACCCCTTGAAGATGGTGTCGCTTTACGGGTTGTACCAGCCAGCCCTGCGGAAGAACGAAGGCTGCGTCGTCTCCGTGATCGCCTGTCTAAAGTCCTTCAGACACGCCATCTAGGCCATAATCACTATTCCTTCCACGTCAGCGTGTCATATATGCTGCGTTACCTGAGCCAGGAGGAGCATGAAAAGTTCTGGACCTTTCTGCAGGAATATCTTTCCAAGTTGCCAGAGTATTTCGAGCTCGGAGCGCCCGAATTCTGTACCTTTGATGATATGTTCGCATTCCGCAGGGAATTCTTCCTCCAGAAACAATCTTGACATGAGAATATGTTTTGCGGGTCATCCATATATACCCAGCGCCGTGGAGTGCGATTGGATCCCCTTCCTCTGCCTTGCAAGAAGCACGACTTTCTTCGCGTGCAGACAAATATGAGGGGACTCCTTTTTCAGGCAGCAGCGTTGGGCCTTCGAGAGTAGATAGCCACATAGTGAGATGTATAGCTGAACAGTCAACGATCTCTTGTCTTTGGCCTGTCCTGATGATTGACTTCACACGCAGAGCCGCTGATCCCGACACCCTCTCTATCAAATAGCTTTTGTCGTCTCTCGGGCATAAGACCTACAAATAAGGGGGTGGGACACCAAAAGTCTGGAGGCAGAAATATCTTGTAGTGACCCGTCTCCGTTTATCTCTTTGTGCTTCTGCGAGAGACTCTGCAAAAGATGCGAAGAAATCACTTCGACAGATGGGGTTCCTGATTTTCTTCAGCTGGGCCACCGCCCATTTGGTCTCATCGGCATCTATACTTTCGATGGCACATAAAAACAGTGGTCGAAGATACGCCGGATTGAGATTTTCTCCATCTGAAGAATTCCAGTCACCTTCGATAAGAAGGCGAATCCGACGCATGGCTTGCTTTGCTTCTAGCGAGGCAAATGGGGGATCGCTTAGATTTCGGCCTGTCTCGATAATCTCAGTATTATATGTTGCAATGCAAATTCCTACTAGAGTAATGAGAGGTTCGGAGACTTCGCGAGGAAATTGAACTCGAAGTTGGCCTGGTTTGAAGCGCATCAGGTCCGGTCGGGCATTCCACAGGGAATACATTTGAAGTTTAAAGCCGCCAATGATGTCTGACACCTCCTTTTGGTCGCTCCCGGTGACTCGTGATCGGTGATAATGGCTTAAATTCGCGATATGGGTTGAGATCTTTTGGAGCTCTACGAAGAGCGCGAAGATAGGAGCGGTGATGTAGTCGTACAAAGGAACGGATGCGTCCGTGCAATTTCGCGGCAGAGATATGTTGGGAATTTCCGTGGCTTGGTCCGGAAGCAGGCTGAAGACCGCGTCCGACAAAAGCCCTGGGCCTCCTGAACGCCTTGCAGCCGCATGGAGAACTCTTAACCACGCCAGGATTCGCATAGATATCGGGGGGAGAGGACCATTCCAAGACCAGACCCTCATTCTCGTCACGAAGATTCCGTCAGATTGGCCAAAAATGGAACCAGTCTCGTTCGGAATAATCATCTCGCACAAACATAATAGGAACGCGACAACCAGGATGGTGTTGAAGCCGTGGTGATCGTCGTATAAGGCCGTCCCGAAAATATTCGCCGCAGATTGATATACTGATGTTGCATTGGTCATAGGTAACGAATTGGCTTGTGCTTTATACACTGCTTGTATTGCTAATATGGCAGAAGCCACCGCTTTATCGTGAATGGCGAGCTCCGCGACGTGAACTTTCATCCTACCCCAGTTCACATGGTCGAAGGGCGAAACAGCAGGAATGTTTACCTCGTCAACAAAGTAGGCAAATGATGAATGAGTTGAAGCTTCAGAAGCGGCCAATAAATCGATTGTCGTACACAGATAGATGTCTTGCGAAGTCATCAAATATTGGACGTCGGGAGATCCTATGATGCCCAGGTCATTCTGTTGACCGGAAAGGTCGTCTCTTTGATGATCGAACGACCGAGCATCTCTTTGGACAGGCGAGAAGAGGTCCTCTACATGCAGCGCCGGAGTTTCCTCCTGACTCGAGCTATGAGAAGCTCCAGGCCCATAAGGTTCGTCGGGAAAGGACAATTTCTCATGAAATAGACATTCTTGATTGGTAGCCTGCTGTGTGGATAGATCGACTTCCGGTGTACGGACCTGATGTGCCTGGGAGGGAGTATTGTGGGCCACAACAGCTGCAGCGTCGGTAGGTTTCGAAGGGGATCGACGAGGTTTGTAGATACATTTTCTCTTTAGTCTTGTGCAATTGTTGCAATCAGGACGGTTCTCGTCGCATTTGACCTTTCTGGCTCTGCATGTTAGACATCCACTCCGAACGCGACCTCGGTAGTGGTTATTCATGTCAGATTGTGCCGAAAGCAACGTCGGGTTGTTTTTGGTTCAGGTTAAGCTCCCTTGCTGTTGTTAGGGTCATCACAAACAGCATTGATAAAACTATGCAACAGAACAGGGAAGCACTCAATTAGGTGGCCAGGTTTCATCACAAACATCGTGGTATTTCCCACTCCCGTTTTCCAGAGTTTAAAGATGGAAGACAAATCGTAAGACAAAAGAACATAGACGGTTGAGTTGTGCCTGCACTACTCCGTGCCTAGGTAGGTAAGTAGCACAAGCGACCGCACTACCGCTCAAGTATTTAATGCTGATAGGGTTAGTCAGGCTAGGATGGGTGGGCGTGTGCTTCGATTTGTATTGATGATTGGACGTTGACAAGCTCTTCATCTTACCGAAAACCGAAAACTGTGGTCACCAAGGAATTTTATATCACGTGAACTCACGTGAAACAATGAGGTCACGTGACTATCTTGCGTGGTTGAGCGAAAATGCACCTCATTCGTCGGACTGGTACAGTGGAGTGAAACAATCAGTTCGATTCAGCAGTCTCTAGACGTGTTCTCCAGTTACTTTCACATCCTCTCCTGCACTAATGATAACCGCAATTGACCCTCCACACTTCGACGGGCTGCAGGTCAGAAGTATATCTACCATCTTCCGAAGTTGACTCTCATGCAATCGAGTCTGATATCCTGAAGAGCCATTTCCAGACTCCAAGCGGAATCATATAGATGAATCATGAATCGTTGCATTCCGCTGGGTGTCTTACCCGACGTACGGTCTAGCCATCTAGCCTTCCTAGCTCCGAGCGAGCCTAGAGCATGTCGCGCAAAGGAAGATCTATATATCGCACCAGTGAAACTCTGGGCGGATCACCGGAATGAAGGACACGAGGATGATCATATTGCAGATTAATGACGGGGTCAGCCATGATGATTCGCCGCCCAGGGTCCTATTGCCACCTGAATGGTAAGCATCTTCTTGCACCTGTCCAAGCTTACCTCGACAAGCGGCGGGAACAATCCTACAACCACAATGACGACTCAGATGCTTCGAAAGGGCGGTACAGTCTTGACGCATGACGACTTAGGTCATGTCGCTCCCAAGAAACTTGACCTCCTTATTCAGGATTCCAGCATCGCAAATATCGAAGAGGATGTATCCACCAGGAGAGCCCGTGTTGTTGACTGCACGGGCAAAATAGTGTCCCCCGACTTTGTCGATACGCACCATCATACATGGCAGACGCAATTGATGGGCGCATATGCTGATGGGACGCTGCTTAAGTATTTCCCCACAGGTTAAGCCCTCCCATCATCTCGCATGATACCGCAGTAGATGGCGACTAAGACTAATACAACCACAGGAAATTCTGTGCGCAAATTTTACACACTCCAGGATATCTCGTGGGCTAGTTGGGAGATGTTTGGAAATGACTGATGCCAGGATGACCACGGTGGCAAATCATGCCACCTATCCTGTCTCGGATGTCCAACCAAGCGTGCCGACTTTCCTGTCCCATGCTGAGCAGGCCATCCGAGCCACTATCGCTTCTGGAATTCGATCTGTCTTGGGCTATTGCCCGACTTCACGCGTGGTCACATAGAAACCAAATTTCGCTCTTGAGGAGAGGACTTTCTTGCACCCTCGGTAATGAAGACTTGGGACCGACTGGTAAAGCTAGATCCAAGCGAACGCCAGCAAGCCAAAAGACGACTTCAGAGACGTTCTCCGAAAAGGACCTACTATCTTCCAATATTCTCCTCTTCCATGCCAATAATCTCACTCCTGGCAATCCGCAACTCCTCCAGTCCAGGGGAGCTGACATCTCGGCCACTCGTTCAACCGAGCTCGAATGGGGCACCACAGAAACCCGGTATGCCTTGAGCCAGGAAGTTTACAACATTCATCCCTCGGTGTGGACTGCGATTCTGCCTGGTCCGCTTACCTGCCTGGTCAAATGTTGCTTACACGCCAATCGGAGCGAGAAAGACGGTACGAGAAATTCGACGCAAAGATAAATGGCCCACTTCCGTGGGAGCGACTGTCGAAGATGTTTTCAATCTCGGAACCATTTTCGGAGTCGCAACTGTTGGCTTGAAGAAAGAGACTGGTAGTCTGAAAAAGGGCATGAAAGCCGACATTGTCATCTTTGAAGGCTCGACACCCAGTATGCTTGGCAGCGAGTAAGCGGGACCCAGTGGGAGCGATTGTTTTGCATAGTGTACCTCGAGATGTACCAATGGTCATCGTTGATGGGGTTCTGTGGAAGAAAGAAGGCCGGTTGCTGGACATCAAGGTCTCGAAGGGTCTAGGCTCACATACAGAAGAAAAATGGGGAGGCTATTAGCTGGGGCTATCGAGAGCGAGGTTGCCAACGGCGCTGAGGTAATTGGGAGGAAAAGGAGCGAGGCAGTCGATGCGCCCATTGCTAGGGAAGGTATAATCAAAGCGTTTTGCCGGAAAACAACGGACCTAGATGAGAACCTGTGATGGTTGAAAGGGCATTCACCGCGGATGAGTTCTTCTGAAGGAATCAGGACATGATGCACAACAAAATGTTCAGCTTTGTCAACACATTCTATTTGCATCTGTTTGGACAGGAAATCCCTTGACCTCAAAAAGAGGAATCGCCATCCTACGTATCAGTGGAATCCGAGTTGCGCCGTAAATCGTTATTACCAAATTGCCGGATACAAGACCTATCTTTCCGCCCATCCGTTTGGTCCCCCAGTAATCAACAAGCCTGATTAGTAGTGTAAATATCTGCATGCAAGGCTTCATATTCACGATCAATTGCATCTCACCCAGACTCTTCCTGACTCGAATCCAACGATCCCCAACCTCAACGCTCCCAAAAGTATCACTATCGCCGTACTCACGCAACTCACCAATGCGACCAATATCAAATGTCCCATCGTGAAGATCATCTTTGGTCTTCTCGGGCCTTTCACCGGAGCAAACGGTCCTACCATTTTCTTAATCGGCTTGACTCTGTCCGCGATGGCTGTCTGTACACCGCGCTTTAAGCCGGGTAGACCGTCCATGCTCGCGGAGTTTTTGAAGGCCCAGTAGCGTTCAATACCATCTTCCTTCTTACCCGCTTTTTCATTCGCGACGCGCTTTTCAAAGAAATCATTGAGGGTAGGTCGAAAACGAACAAAGTCAAAACAGGGCATGGAAAAGCCACATGATGTGCCCACTTGGTGGATATCGACGAGGATGATGGAGCGTGTACCAGGGATGATGGTCACGCCTTGCGAGGAGATGATTTCGTTAAAGGCTGGGGTGCCGTATTCGAGGACGTTGCCTGCGAATTACAACGCCGGTTCAGTTCGATGTCATCCAGATATAAAATAAAAAGGAAGATGCAACATAACGGGTTGGTGATTGACAAAAGGGGGTTTTTGATTATCTCCTCCTTTTCTCCCGCTCATGTATAGTTTCATGACATGATATAAGACAGAATGGGAACATACCTCTTCCAAAAATCCTTATAATCCTCGGGGGTCCTTCAAATGCATTGAACATAACTGTAATCCTTCCATTGCCCGGCTCGTGTAAATGGCTAGTCGTCTCGATACCCGAGCCCGTAAGATCCATATACCAGAATTTGCGAATCACGACGGATTTATCATCTTCTTCCTCATCACCTTTGACGGTACCACTGGCATGACCGTTCGCATTAGGGTTCAAAGGTTCTTTAATTACACCGAAAAACGGTCCGCCTTTGTCGGAGATGCCCTTTGGTGATACGTTGACGTGCCCATCACCGGAGAGTGGAGCGGAGGCGATCCAGAAGACTTTCTGCTCGAGGAGCCACGAGACGAGGGATGGAGGGAGGGTTTGGTAGAATGCACCCATCGTTTTCTCTTCTCTCTCTCTCTTCCTTGTCCTTCCCACTGTTTTAAATTTCGGGCCACCCGCTTTCAGTTCGATTCAATTTCGGTAAAGAAGAAAATAGAGAGATGAGTCGATCGCGCAGGGTTTTTCAGTCAGACAGAATAGGAACCAAAAGTTCAGAACGCCGGTCTATCCAATGGTCACCGCGGACATGACAGGTTAGACATCCACCTTCAAACAACTCTGATGCTTAGATATACCTGTCGTTTGATTGCATAGTCTGTGCCCGTGGCTCAAATATAGTTCAATGATGAGGTTTGACTTATGCAGATAAGCCGATATCGGCGACGTATTCCCATATGCCGGATGAGGGGTACCAAGATAGCAAAAGGGTGTTGTAGCTATCTTGGAGTTTGGACAGCGCAGGACCCTCCATACCCTTTACCTAATAGTGTCTTGCATAGCATTTATTGACAGGATCAACCTCTAGTAGACCAGAACATCTTGTGTGTGAAATTCGTTGTCGCGACAAGTGCAGACCAGACTCTGCACAGAGGCATTGATTACATATGATCGAAACGGTGCCCCTTTGCAAAGCTGCGGGAACTGGAGATGATCACTATTCCCATATGTCGAGTAATGAATGATATATTCAAGTACAATCAAATGCAATGGGGAATATGATATTTGTATGTCCCATCGGCAATCGCCGAATGCTCAAAGTTGATAATGCATACCAATTCCATCAATACAATCAAAAACCACCATCCTTGGTAAACCATATCAGCTTGCTACCGGTGGCATCTAACCATGGTGGCCTTGGATTTTAGCCCGTTTCGCCACTTCTGCATCCATCAGCGCATCATCCTCACGTTTCCGTTTGCAGAATTCCTCAAAACTGTTTCCCTCTTTAATCCAGACGTCCTTGACCTCCCAGGTTCGTCTGTCCCATTCGGCTGCCTTGATAGACCATTCTTTCATTGCCTTGTCATTCTCCTCGCGGTTCTTGTTCGTTTTGTCCGTATAAGGCTTCTTCTCTTCCTCCGACAACGCGGCCCACATCTTGCCCAATTCAACTCGGACTTGATCGCGTTCGGATTGTTTGGTTCTTTTGCCTGTTTTCTTTCTCTCTTCGGCCAAACGAGCCTTGACCTCCTCCCAGTGTTCACCGGAGTAGAGAAGGAAGGAATTGACATTCGCCTTTGGCGGTTTCACAGGCGGTGGTCCTAGATCGTCATAAATTCGAACCCACATCGCAGCATCCCAGGCTTCTTGGAGGGAGTTGTCTTTTTCTTTTACTGGTCTGGTGAAAGTACCAGCTGGGAGTAGCTCATCTCCCTTTCTCTTGCCGCCTTGGACCATATGAGTGTCCATTTGCGTCAGTTCAACAGAACCGGAAGACGGCTTCTTCATAACAGATGACGGTACCAAGGTAGGGGGGATCGGAATGGGGCCGACCATCGATTCGAAGACTTCATAAGCGGCCCGGAGACCGGAGAGATATGCGCCATGGACGGTAGCCGGGTGAGTGGCAATGGTGGCTTCGCCAGCAAAGAAAAGATTTTGTATCGGAGCAGCAATGAGGTCATAGTCACCAGGCCGGGCTTCCGCTGCAACGTAGGAGTAAGTACCTCTTGCAAACCGATCCAAACCCCACCGAGTGACGATGGACTCCACTGGCATTGGGACGTTCATTGCGCCAAAGACATTGCGTAGCTGCTCCATGCACTGTCCGACAAGGACCTCGTCGCTGACTTTTTCTGCTTCATGCGCAGCCTCTCCGGCCATCAGAGCGATCAACATTGGGAGTCCGGTGGTGTCAATACAGTTCCAGAACAAGTAGAACTGGCCGCGGCCCTCCTTGTAGTCACGTTGGTTGACACCGGATCCATTTCGAGGAGCTCGGAGAAGACCAAACATATCTCTCTCAACGTCCCAAAAGGGTTTCTCGAAGACAAGGATTAGCTTGTTGAGCAAACCAAAGCCCATTCGTCTGATGGCATCACGCTTCCACTGAGGTAAAGGTGGATCAAATTGTATTGATTGCTCTTTCAACACTCCAAGTGGAGCAGTGAGAACAATCTTGTCAGCTTCAATGGATTGTCCGTCTTCGCATGTGACGGTGGCTCTTCCTCGTGAGCCAGCAGCACTGTATCTAATGCTCCTGACTGACTTGCGTGTTCGGACATCGAGAGGTTCTGGGTGTCGCCATAAAGCGCGTGGGACTTGCTGATAGCCACCAACGACTTGGGCATGTTCTCCCTCAAACTCGTTACCGATGTCTTGATCCCAGCCTCGTAGACTCAGCTTGTCAACGTTGGCCGCGTTTGCATATTCGAGGTTGGCGAAATGCCAGTTGATGAGGCGAAGGGCGTAAGGCTTGAGGTCGAGAAACTTCTGATACTGGTCAATACCCGCATTCATCACTACTCCCAGGGACTGATTCAGCTGCGTTGCGAGATCATCCAACTCCAGCGTCTCATGCATCTGAGTTGTTTTCCGTAGCAAAAAACCAAATTCTTTTGCCGCTTGTGCCGCAGGAAGCTGAATCTTTGTCTCCATACTTGTGTCAACCTCTTCTGACGACTTGTCCCCTTTTGCAGCCCTATGGCCTGCGCCCCGACGTCTTGATTTCTTATTGGGCAACAATTGATCAATCGTGCCCAGAGCGGTAGCTTCTTCGAATTGTTTGATTGTAAGGGACTCCTCGTCGGGAGGATCACGTCCCGCATCAATCAAGTCTTTGTCACCTTGCGCAGTCTTCTTGACAGTATGTTTGAGGCGGTAATGGCCCGTTCGATCAAGGACGTCATTGTATAATCTTTCAATCATCGCATCATTTACTCCATTGACCGGGGTGCCATCGATATCGTACAGGGTAGACAGGTCTCGTAGGAGGTGATAATCGAGTGCAAGTTGCCCCCGCACAATAGCATCGAGAGGATTTCCGCGTTCGAAGCCGACAATGATATGGGCACCCATTTCAGCAGTAGGTCTCTGGTCAGGAGAGAGTATGGAAGATCGCATGCTTGACAGAGGGTGTGAGTAAATTCGCCCACCTATTCTATCACGGGCTTCCAGCACGATGATCTTTGGAGGTACACGGTCTGGATAATGTTGAAAGAGATTGGTAAGCTGTCTGGCAGTGCTCAAACCAGCCATACCACCTCCAATCACGACAATTGTCTCTCGAGAGGTTTCCTTCTTGCGACCACGACTGGCGGATTTCGTCACTATGGGTGGCTCAACGCAGCCAAAGTTAATATAGCCTCGTCGTAGAAGCCATTCGTATGCAAAGCAAGCAAGACGAGTCCATCGCTCATCTCGTGCACACCCAATCGCCTCTTCAAGGCTGACGCTGACGCTGGGATTTCGAGTCCACAACCTGAGAATGCCATTTCGTATATTCAAATATACACTGACATGGGAGTAACATAATTTGTCTTGTAACAATTTATGTTCATCTTCGTGTAGGGCATAGGGGTTGAGTCTCGATGCTTCGGCAGCGGCCACACATTGGCTGGCATATTCCGATGGAGAGAGCCTTGGAGGAATTGATGACTTCGCTCGACAGGTTGTTGGCGCTTTCAAAAACATGTACGGGCTCACGTTTTTCGAGGTTTCGGGTTTGGCTTCCATTTTCAGTGCAATCTTAGCCTTCTGTTCAGCGACTGACGATGCGACGGAGCCCGATGTCATGGAGCTATTGGGGGAGTCACGATTTTCACTTTCAAGCTGCAGACTTCTCAGGATAGAGGCCGGTCCGCTGGATGAAGCGTCGTCGTCGTCATCGTCTTCTTCCATTTTGACGACAGAATCGTCCGAATCGTCAAGCATGAGGTGATCATGACTGAAATGGATCAGTATCCAAAAACCTCTTTTGAAATACTTGGCCCTCTCTGCTTGGACGAGGTATTGCCTCATACCTTGAATCATTCAAATTTGGCACTCGTGTTATCTCAGCGTCCAGCATTATGGTAGACATGGTTTCTGTAGTGTTTGGAAGTGCTATTGTGGCCGCCAGTGAGACATTGGTTGTGATAACGAGAGACTTGATATTGACAACCGCCAGTCCGAAAAACTGGAAAATTGGGACAGGGAGTTAATAAAATGATCGGAAACAGGCTCGCGACGAAGACGCTGGAGAGAATTAGCCTCATCTACAGTGTTGTTGGTAGACTGCCGTCATTGGGGTTATGTGATACCTCCCTCTTGTGCGTCCTCAGGTACAATATGCTCCACCACTTATCTTGACCTCGAGAAAAATCTCTGTCGCTCTTCCCATGCAACCGTCGCCTTCACAGGTGGGATCCTCCACGTCGTACGATAAGAGAGTGTAGGTGGGTGAGGAAGCATTATCAGGCCACTGAGCTGAGGAGGGATAGTAGGGAGGCGAAGTCGAGCAGGAGTTCCCAGCCGTACGCCGCCACTAAAGTGGAATCTCGGCATGCCCTGAAGGCTGATCCAACCGCATGTCAACCTGGCGATCATCGTTTTCATCAGATATACCAGCAAGATAACATGAAAGGATGCTCTGTTTGCAATGACTTACATGTTTCCACTACCGACAGCTCCAAGGCTGTTCCCCCGGTGCTATTTCCCGCGAGTTCATTCGGTTCCCTTTCTTCCAACTCCCTCATGACTACCATCCAGCAGCTCCTCCTGCGCTGGCCCTGATATGTCCACTGCATTGAAAAGAAAAAAAAAAAAAAAAAAGAAATTTCATCAACAAGATATCTCACAACATCTGAAGCACGGCCACTTTCTATGTCTACCTTATTTTCCACTTCGGTCGACGACGATGATGCATATTATCATCGTGTGAAAAATTTGCTGCCCCCCACGCCCAAGGCACACACTGCAATCCCCTCAACGCTCTATATTCTACAATCTGCCTCCTTCACCGTTCCACGCCTTCCATCGGACCATACCCTCTGATATTGTGGCTCCCTCACCTGGCTTACATAGTCAGAAGATGATTGGCATTTGTGATCATTTGTGGTTGCATTCAGCCGGTATATCAAAGTGATTCCAAGTCTGACCTTCTTGAGGGTCCCCCCATTTTGTAGGGTTCCAACAACATTTCATCTCCTTCACGCAGCTTTACTTGAAAGCTCTGTCGCGTCTGTTATTCTCTCTGCACTGTTTCTCGTTCTGGTCATTACACCCCCCTTACCCACAAGGCTGACCAACAGATCCATTGTACCCGACAATACCCGGAAAACCCCATATATCCGTTCTTCACCACCTCGAGCTTCGATTATTGGCCTTGAGCCATTTCAATGCCTGTTGCAGTGGAAGACCCCGAAGACGTCATGATGTCCATTCACTCATAGAGCAGGGAAGCTTGGTCAAGAGTCTGAATGCCACAAACATGGATACCTCATCTTGGCACATACGAGCAACCAGGAACAAGACATTTGGGCATGTTCATGCTGGCGGCAGCGTGAGTTTCGTTGTTGCTATGTCCAGGTTAACATGAAGTGTAAATAACTACCGGAAGGCTCCTATGTACAACCAACCGCAGGCCACAGCCGCTCGTGTTCTCGACCACCCCATTGTTTCCAGGTAGCAATAAGCAGACACACGGGAATGGAATCCAAGCTCTGGGTATCCAAATTTGAATGTATTTCCCGCCTGCTAGGTAACCTTTGTACTTCCCTGCTTGCTGGGTGCAGGCGGACGACTCCGCCTGTGAAGATCCAGGTCCTCATCCACTTCGTAGACGCGAAGGAGCAATCTTCCCACGCTACTATTTCAGCCTCAACGATTGCTCTAGGACCTATGGCTTCGCCCTCTGCATACTGAGATCTCCATCTCAGGTTGCCTATGATGTTCCAATAATGAAATGATGATTTCATTGGTCACGTCTCGCCTATTCCCCGCCTGCAGCCTCAGAACGAAACCTTCCCACCTAAGTCACCATCTTCCTGAGCTCCTCTCTCTGTACTTCTCAAGAACCAGAAAAATGGCAACTGTCAAAGACTCAATTCCACATATTATCAGGACCGCTGAAGATCCTCGACAAAATGGTGTCTGGTCTGGGCGACTGAGCAGGATAGAGCAGGTCAATTCCAAGATTCGTTTATTGAGACTCAGTCTCTCACGAGATGGAGTATGTTCCTTTTCTTTTTTCCCCTTTTCATTGTCGCATGGTTATCGTTCGTCGCGCAATCGGTCCTGTTCCAGCGGATGAGCGAAGTCACTAGCAGTTCAAAAATATCGGTCAATATACTTCGGGTCTCGCGTGGCAGGAAGCAATACTAGAAGACATGGAAAGTCAGGAATGTCAAGAGTCGGTCTAGTATAACGGCTCAATCGTTTCATTGCCGCGTCTAGGAGCAATGAACTCGAATACTTTACCGCTGATAGGTCCTCTGGCTCATATTAAGACAAATCTAGTAGCCCCCCTTACGCCACCTCCCAGGACAGTACCTAGACCTATACATCCCCAATGTCGATGTCGTGGGTGGCTTCACCATTACCTCGCCACCCCAATCCTCTCTTCAAGTCCAGGAAGATCCTCACATTGAACTGGCAATCCAGTCTTCACCCGGGAACCCACCAGCGGCATATCTCTGGCGGCCGATATCAGAGATCCTCGACTCCACCGTCACATTCCGGGTGGGCGGAAACTTTGTCTACCCACCTCTCACATTGAATCGGGAGCAATGTGAGAATCTGGACAGAGCTGTGTTTGTCGCTGGAGGAGTGGGGATAAATCCCATCATGAGCATGATTTCCGCCATGCATGAATTGGGCACACAAAGCCGACTAGGAGGCATGCTTCGAACTGTGCGAGTGCTGTACACGTCGAGAAGAGAAAAGACACAAAATGGTGAGGGAGAAGACATTCTATTTGAAAAGAGATTGAACGACATTGCACAGGCGTGGCGCGATCACAAGGAAGTGGACTACAAGTATACTCTCTTCGAAACAAGCGGGGAGGGCGTCCGAGAATACAAGAACACCGGCAACGTTGCATGCCATGGTAGGCGGATAAAACAGGAAGACCTTCTTGAAGCCATAGGACCAGAAGGCAGCCGAGAGAATACTGTTGTCTATGTCTGCGGACTGCCCACGATGACTGATGAATTTGTGGCTTTCCTAAAGCAAGCACCGGGGATGGACGAGAACAGGGTGCTCTGCGAGAAATGGTGGTAATATAAAATGAGACATCAAAGCAGAATATTGATGTCATCTCAATATATATCTTGTACAGAGCGAGATTTATTGTACGAAAACATTCCATTGGGTGTCATGGGGCTTCTCTACCTCATGTTTGATTTCCGTTCCTTTTGCCCACCTTATCCTAACCCAGCCACCCGTCTCTGCGGTCCAACCCGTTCAAAACCCACAAGACAAGGGATCGTGAGCCACCTGGACTGACTTGACTGTCTTTCACCCTGAACGCCATGCGAGCCCAAAATATAAATGCAGTGCCCCGGAGAGAGAAAAGCCACACCCGATCAAGTTTCACAGAGAAATAGACACCATAGATCTTCAAATCACATATCAACAACGACCTTCCCGCCATCGACGATGATCTGTTCATCGAATCTACGTTGTGTGTCTCCCCATTCCAGTCTCTTCCATGTCGTTATCCGCGCCTCGTTCATGTCGAAGTCAAAGAATCGTATGCGCCGATGGTAGCCATAGTAGCCACCATATCCGCCGAACCCAGCACCGCCGCCATAACACATCCACAGTGCGGGTTTCTTCTCCTTGTCCTGCGCGGGCAGGCAGTAGTCGTTGACGTGGTCGTGGCCGCACGAGACCAGGACGATGCCTTCCTCGATCAATGCGTCTTTGAAGTTCGAGTTGTATGCAGGCGCGGTGGGCGGTTCCGTCCAGTTCCCAATCCACTTGAGATTGTCTGGGTTGCGATATTCGGGTAGCGGGATGTGGATGAACGCCAGGTCCATGTGGATGTGCGTGTATTCTCTATGTTTCCGCTTCAAGGATTGCGACGTGGATTTGAACCAGTCGATCTGTGATTGTTTGAGCCAGTCGTAGCCGTGGTAGTGGTTCTCATCAGGCGAGTACGAGTGTGTGTCGAGCATGTATAGCGTCAGGGCGGAGTGGGAAGTCGAGCCTCGTCCAAGGATCTCCACGACATAGTTGCCGATGCCTTCGACGTCCTCGGGGCCAGCGGTTGACAGAGAGTAGGGAAGGCCGTCCATTATGGCCATAGACTCGGCGCGGTCGAGGTTTCCCTCGTCGTCATGGTTGCCGAAGATCCCCGCGTAAGGGATTTTGTGTCGTGCCAGCACCTCTGAGTATTTGAAGATACCGGTTTGGCCGTCGGGTGAAGTGTCGCCGTTAATTTGATCGCCGGTGAGGACAACAAAGTCCGGCTTTTCGTCGTCAATTAAGCGCTCAACAAATTCCAATGTTCGTGGATCCGCATCGCATTTCTCTCCCTCGGGCAGCGCATTTCGACATTTGCCCAGACCTGTCGAAAGATGTAGATCCGCCAACTGCATGATTTTGAATTTGCCATCTTTTCGGATTCGAGGGACAGGTTTCTCGACCTTTAAGGCAGGGCCTTTTCGGACTGTGAGTCGTGGTTCAGGCGACTCGCCGTGTGCATCAATGAAGAGGGAAATGTCTTGCACCTGCCAATTTGACCGTGGGTCAACAGCGTCGGCGCCGAAGAGAACGTCAACCCCGGTCACCTGCTTGTTCGGGTCATGTCGTTTGGCAGACTTTTTAACCCAGATTCCTGCAGGACGTGACTCCCACCTTTCATCTTTTGATAGAGGGTCGACGGATGATGGCTGGAGCCGGCCGATTTTAATGTCGAAAACGACCTCTTCATGCGGGGATAGATCGTCTTCGAGTTTTCTCTCGACGTGGAGGTAGGCTTTAGAGAGGAATCCTTGTCCGAGGTGTAGGTCCTTGTCAATTCGATGCCAGTACTCGCCGTCAACCGTACATCGGCTAAAGGGATTGATGGACGAGCAGGTCACGACCGTCACGTCGGTAACAACGAAGCCCGGATGGTGCGCGGGCAGATGGTTATGAATTGCACTGGGGAGGACTCGATATCGGTTGTCAAGGAAAAGTATTATGAACACGACGAGTGTTATTAACACGCCCAGCTGAATACCGGTGCGTACCTAGAAGGCTGTGTCAGCGACTCTGGGATGTTAGGCACCAGGGATCAACACACACAATTCTTCTCGTCATGCTGGCATGTGGTTCGAGGAGCACGCCGGAGCGGGCTCAGAATGGGCGTACACTACTTAACACAAAAGGCGACTCGGGGATCAGAGGTCATCGGGGAAATGAGCCGAGCAGATGCGATATTCAGGCTGATCGATGTGTTGATATTCCGTAGAAATGACTTGAAGAATCCGGGGTGTCGGCAAACATGCCCTGTCGAAAGGTCTCAAGACATTTTTATTTTTTTTAAATTCCTGTCGCAGTCAGTTGACCCTTGGAGAGGGTTTTGGGAGAGGCTAGGGTGCGTTGTGGTATGTCTGCGGTCTTTCGGTTTCTAAGACGAGCCTTTGGTTTCTCGGACTCTCTACCCCTAAAGACATCCTCTCAAAAATCCATCAAAGACCTGAAACTGCTGAATGGTACTTCCCAACCAAATTCTCAGAGCAGAAACTTTCTGACTGGTTCAAGAGGGCGACAGGGTGCTCATTGATGGGAGGAAACTTAGTCCTCCTTTGCAGCGGAACGCCAAACTCAACTTTCAGCATGGAGAACTCGATCACAATGCCATTATTGGCCGACCCATCTCCCCTTTCTATACCCGAACGTCGACGACACATCTTTGCAGGATAGAATATCCGACATTGGAGCAGTATGTCTCACTTACTCCGAGACTTGTGACGCCGGTAATTTATGAGTCCCCTCGGTCTATCCAATGCACTAGGACTGAGCAGGCTGCAGGTCTATTCTAGCTATGCATCTACCATCGTCTCTCTGCTCGATATTAACCCCGAACCATTTCAAGATGAGCTTGCCTCCCGTCGCCCTTCATATCCACCTTTGGAAATTCTCGAAGCTGGCACAGGTCATGGAAGTCTTACTCTCCACGTCGCTCGAGCGATCGCCGCGGCCAACCCGCCGCCTCTCGCTGCCAATCTACCTCCGGTTCCATCCATAGACAAAAAGCGCGGGGAAACGCCCGCAAAGGTGGAGTCTCAAGAAACCCTCAATCGGGCATGGGCCGAATGGAAGCAAACGCGAAAAGCAATTCTCCACACCGTGGAAAAAGTGGCGGCAAATAGATTCCACGCGGAAAAGATTGTACGGGGTTTCCACCAGGGGCTGTACTGGCCCCATGTCGATTTCTACGTCGGAGACGTCAAAAATTGGGTTGAGCAGCAGTTAAAGCTGAGGCGCGGTCGAAGCCGGCATCCTCTCTCTACGGATGAAAATGAATTCCTGGACTACGTGCTTCTAGATATGCCCAATGTGCATAATCAGCTCCAGCATATTCATCCTGCGATGCGGGACGGCGCGAAGCTGATCGTATTCGCACCCTCGGTGTCACAAATCGGAGACTGCGCGCGAGTGATTCAGGACTCACATCTTCCACTAATAATGGAGAAAGTCCTTGAACTGGGTGAGGGTGTAAGTAATGGCCGCCGATGGGATGTTCGCTTTGTGAAGCCACGCAAACTTGGGAACAAGTCAAAATGCTCTACTCCTGCGCCCGCGCCAGTGGATCCCGAACCTGAGAACGAGTTGAGCAAAACTGATGAAGAGGACGGTCGTGATCCCGCCAATGAGCAGGAAACATCGGAGGCAGCTCCTGTTCCAGAATCTGAGGACCAGTCTGACGAACCGGTCATGATTTGCCGGCCTCTTGTCGGCGAGCGGACGTTTGGAGGCGGCTTCATCGCGCTCTTCAGAAAAACTTCCCCTGAATCTGGGACATTGGCGGCCGAGTGGCGGCAGAGCCTGGCTGGTATGTCTCTTGTCTTTCTTCCTATCCTTTCTTGTAGGGCCGCACTCTATTGTAACCATTGAGGCGTCTGCATTTCCCCGATTTATTGACTGAACAAATGAGAGATCATCTAACTATGACACAGGATGGTCGAAGAAACGACATCGCTGAGGACTGATGCACCGACACCATCATTGTCGATACTGTATTAACAGAACCTGTACTTTACCGCATCCATCTCATGGCAAGGAGCCCTGTAGATCAAACATCTCTGCAAAATTCAAGGACCGAGTACTTGAGAAGTGGATTCAACCGACCGTGGCTTTGTGTTCGGAGGATCGAACCTTCTCTACATATTTTGCCTCTAATGTATCCAGTGAAGGGCCATACAAAGCTATACAAAACACTAGTGGTATGGCGCAAGACAACCACAAGTCTAAAAAAGGCAGACTTGTATTCCAGATCAAACCAAAAAGATATCTTGCTCGGGAATAGGATCTTGACGCCGTAACCAACCACGCTGATGACATCCCCCCTGAGCATTTTCTCTTCGCGAATCTATCGCCTCTATCCTTGTTCTTCCTCTAAGAGAGATCTGCTCCACCGTCCTCAAGACATGGAGACTCACCGAGAGCGTCAGGAGACATAGTAGTGCCATTGGGCCGATGAAGCATGCACCACATTGAGGGAGACCAAGTACTGCGTTACTTGGTGGTGGCCGGAAGAGCGGCTTTAGCTTTTTCCAGGATGTTCCCGGCAACTGGCATTGCTCGTGTCTTCAAACCATTGGCTGCATTTTCTCTCAGCTTCTCGGCGGCTGCTTTCAATCTCTTCTCCTTGACCACACGGATATATGTAAAAAGCAGGACAAAGAGCAGCTCCACTCGTTCCTTGGTCATCATGAGAAGACCCTGGACCAAGAGACCCTTCATAAGCTGAGGGCCGATTCCCTTGAAAAGGGCCAGGGGACCTTCGTGTTCGACAATATAGGCCAATACTTCAGGGAATGTCTTGAACGGTTTGCCTTCTCGGGCTGGCGGAGGCCGGGATTGAAGACCAACTTTGGCAACGATTAAAGGTTGTGTCGTAATCGTGGCGATAGACTTTGAGATGGCTCCGAGGACTACAGTAGAGGTCAGCAACATGCCCATGGACAATCTAGGATATTGAACTCACGGAAAGCTTCCCAGGGATGTAACCGATCCCGTCCCGGGAACATGATATCTTTCAGACGCTGATAAGCGCCATATGTGATGGCCGGGTTGACACAGAGGACCAGAGAGGCCTTGAGACCTCTCCACAGCCCACTCCAACCATCTTCACTGTGTACGACCTCTTTTCCAGTCTCGAAGAGGCCCTTCTTGTGCCCTTTCGGTTGTGTTTGTTGTCGTGTGGTGATAACGGCCACTGGAATGGTGAATATCTGCGCGATGGCTCCTGCGACCGCTCCCAATGACAATTCAGCTGCTGTACCCGGGTGCTGCCCCGGCACCGACTGGTATTGGGTGTATAGCGTCCGTACCACTGAATACCAGTAGAAATAGGCAAAGTTGGTGGAAGCAACTCCAATGAGTGAGCCACTGATCCCCGAGTAAAGGCCAATGATACCCTCGTGCTCGACAATTTTCCTGATCGCGTCCCAGGTCGACTCATAGTGATGGTTCTCGGGTGTATGTTGAGGCGTTTGGTTCTTCTTCTTGATCTGTACTTGTAACCTTGTCTTAACACTGTAGGTTTCGTTAGTATCTCACAAATATGCCTCAAATGCCCGGATCCTCGTACATGTCAAGAGGATAAACTATAGCGTTTGCGAGCACCGCGCCGGTTGCACCTGCGACGGCGCTCTCCCACGGCGCCAGCTGCGCTTCTTTGGAAGACATTTCCTTCCCCCAAGTACAGCCTCTGAGTTCGAGACAGGCCGAATAGAACTTTCTAGTAGCTCGGTTGAAATAGTGACGTAGATATCTAGGCCCGGGTGGTCTACTAGTGGAAGCCGAGGGTGACAAGAGGGAGAGGTAAAGAAAGTAGTGAGATCTATAGTCGAGAGATGAGGAAGATTGGAAACAGATGCGACTTGATAGGGAGGGAGAATGCCCGCACACTTTATGTCAAGCACGAACAGATAGATACAAAGACCTTTATTCAGATCCTCATCTGCCCGAAAGGCCTGGGGATGGAATCCATCGTTGAGTGGCTCAGTGACGAAGCTGTCCATCTTTTTTGTCCGCAGCCGAGGTTAAGTGAGCCGTGGCAAAAACAATCTACCTCGCGGACCATCCCACCCCCACCCCGATCCTATCCTTTATTTCCGACTTTTGCCCTTCCCGTTGATTTCATTGATCACGCGGAGCATTAGACTCGTTTCGCGCAAGTCCAAATCCTCTCCTGCCCTTAGAATTTCGTACTTGATGAGCCGACGCCCCATCCACTACGGAATGGATACAAGGCAGTACAACCTCGAAGAGCAAGCTCGTTCGATTGAGAAGACTATCCCTTCAAAAACCAGCGACCATGCAGCTCTCGAGGCCACCATCAAAAGCGCCGAATTGTATCTACAGGCCCTTCGTCTTGCTGATAAACCCTCGGATCGAAAACGCCTTGACACGAGATGTAAGGCATTACTGGCACAGGCCGAGAGGCTCAAGACACGGCAGGACTCACCCTCGCGGTCCATGTCCAAGAAAGAGCAGAAAGAGGATCTCCAAGCGCCTGTATCGAGTCGAAAACTCAGTACGAGAGAAAACATCATTATCCTTGAAGGTTCCAAGTTGAATGGCTTTATTTTCAAACCCTGGACAAGTCCGCCATCCTTCGATGAGTTCGTTCTTCGAGATGGAGGATCCTCTTTTACTGATTCAAGCCCCCTTCCTCTGTCGTCGACCCAACTTGAATCATTTGCCGGCTGGAAGAGGCCACGAGAAGCACTTCAGTCGATCAGAGCCCAACCAAATGGTCAGATAGTGCCTAGTGAGGCTGTGATGCATCTCGAAAGCGAGATGGATCTTGTTCAAGACATGACATCGGATTGTTCAGTCGTTGCGAGCTTGTGTGCGGGAACAGCCAGAATGGAACATGGCCACTCAAGGGTAAGATCGACCTTGATCCTTGGTCGCACGTGTTTAATGGACGTGTATCTAGATCCTCCATTCCGTTATGCATCCGTTTGATCCTAAAAGTGACCGGCTGTCCTTATCCCCCAATGGCAAGTACATCCTGAAATTGTATTTCAACGGTTGCTGGAGAAGAGTGGAAATCGACGACTATCTCCCCACTTCCAAGAACGCTCGAGTTCTTCACGTCATCGACCGTCGCCACCCGGGTTTACTATGGCCAGCATTGGTCGAAAAGGCGTATCTGAAGGTTCGAGGGGGCTATGACTTCCCTGGCAGTAACTCTGGCACCGATCTCGCTGTCCTGACCGGGTGGATTCCGCAACAAATATTCCTTCATGACGAAGATGTTGAGCCTGAGTGTTTATGGGAAGAAATTGCTACCCACTTTCGAAAAGGTCATGTTTTGATAACGATTGGAACCGGCAAACTTCCTCGCCGTGAGCAGAGACACTTGGGTCTTGCCGCTGAACACGATTACGCAATCCTCGACATATCGTCAGAGAGGGACGTCAAAGAAATGCTCGTCAAGAACCCGTGGGCTGACGGCGACGTGTGGCGAGGAGCAACAAGACGAAAACCCAATCGAAGTGACGAAGAGCGGTCCGATAATCCATCGGAGAGCGACGGAATGATGCCCGGCACTTTCTGGATGGATTTCAACAGTGTGTTCCAGTACTTCGAGAACATGTACATCAATTGGAATCCCGGCCTTTTCACTCATCGACAAGACATTCACTTCTCCTGGCAGCAGGACCAGATGGGACTAATGAGCAATATACTTGTCGATAATCCCCAATTTGCCGTTACCCCGTCCGGGACAGGAGAAATTTGGCTGTTGTTGAACCGCCACTTTCGGACAGGTGACTATACTCAGGCCACCGCGGGGAAAAATGGATACATCAGCATTTTCTTGTATGCGCGCGACGGAAATAAAGTGATTTCTAATGAAGGCGCTACAATGCGTGGACCATTTGTCGATTCTCCGAACACCTTGTTGAGGATTACGTCCACGGCCAAAACGACATATACTGCGGTTCTGGTGTCCCAGGATCTACCGCCTGGAAAGCTTAACTTCACCCTTTCGGCGTTTTCAAAAGGGTCCGTGACAGTATCCGAAGCTCGACTCCAATACCCTCAAAAGCAGAGTCTCAAATCGGCATGGACCCGATCTACCGCGGGGGGAAACTCGGACTCGGCCAACTACCTATCCAACCCACAATTTCAAGTGTCTCTCAACGAAAGCACGCAAAAGATCGCACTGGTACTGCGTGTCGCTGACCAGGAAGATGAGAACCAGTCTACACGAACCTGTTCTAAAATCCATGTCAAAGTCCTGGTTGTCTTCAGTGACGGCTCGAGGATTACCCGTCTACGACCCCGAGATGTCCTCGCTCACTCTGGCGACTACCGGCAGGGAAACGCAGTTCTCGAAACAGAGCTAGCGCGTGGCAACTACACCATCATTTGCTCGACGTTTGACCAGAACCAATACGCCGATTTTATTCTGGATCTGTACTCTTCCTCGGAGAACCAGGTTACTTTTGCCCCGCTTCCGACCGATGGAAGTGGACGACTGACCATCAAAAGCACGCCTGCACTCTTCAGCAACGGGGCCAACCGACTCCTTGCTCCTCTGACCGTGATGAGGATGAGCCGTATGACGTTTGTGGTGCGCCATGACCGTGCTGCTGTGGCCCAGTCGTCGCTGTTCAAAATGACGCTGGAACAAGGGCAAGGGCCATACAAGGAGACTATGGCAAGTAGCGAAGTTGACAATGAGGAGTTCAGCAGTGTGACTTCGGGTCTGCGAATTGGGGATCTCGATCTGCAGCCTTCCATGTGCGGGCCTGGAACCGGTGGGTTGTGGCTTGTCTTGGAACGGCTGCCTCAAGGGGGTCAGGGATCGGTGGCTTCTAGAGATGAGGTGTTGGGAGTAGAAATCTTTACCGATGAGAGGGCGGAGTTAGGAGCCTGGGGGTTGGGAGAGGGTTGAGAATACGAAAACTTTTATTTCGGTGCCCAACAATTTGACTGGAGCTATAATATTGTACAAAATTGAAATCTGAAGCCTCCATGCCTCATGACATAACCACCCCGTCCTATGCCATCTGAATAACCCCGGGAGGAGTTCCTTTCAGCTCGCCTGCTTCATAATCAGCCCTTTCAACCCAGGCACAAACCCACCATCCACGATTTTCATACCCCACCCCCTCGCTTGGCCTATTCCTCTCGCCATGATCCCATCGCCCCCACTGCCCAATTGATACAGGGTGTTCAACGCATCCACGCCACTGGCCATAAGCAGGCCCTTTCCAAACCGCTCGCGACCATAACGCTCGAGCGTCATAGGGTCCCCGATGTCCATGCCATGCGTGACGGCGTAGGCGAGAGTGGATACCAGCGCCCTCGCGTCCGCGAGGCCCAAATTCAGACCCTGCCCCGCGAGCGGGTGGACAGTGTGCGCCGCGTCGCCGATCAGTGCGATGCGAGGGTTCACGAGCGTGGTCGCGTGGCGAAACCGCAAAGGGAAAGAAGCCAACGAGTTCTCTTGTACCGAGGTCACCATAGGCGGTTGTCGATTCAACGACGGTGCTGGCGTGTGTTGGAGGCGCCAGCGCAGTTCGGAGTCGTGAGTGTCGGAGGACGAGGAGGGGAGTGTGAATAGATATTTCACGTCGGTCTGGGAGAGGCGGAGCGCAGCGTTGATCATGGTCACTTGTTCAGATGGCGGGAGGGATTTCAAATACGACGCGTAGGTTGGTTTCGTCGACCAGACCAGTGAGGCGTGATTATTGGGTAAGGGTAGGATGGCGATTGGGCCGCCGAGTTGGGGCAAGAAGCGTTGGTAGGCGGTCGCGCGGTTCAGGAGGGGTTCGTCGGCGAAGAGGTTGAAGGTCGTTGTTGAATCGTCGTTATCTGGGGGTTGGACGGTTAATGTTGCTACGACGCCATGTCGATCGTAGTCCCATCCGTGAGAATTGATGCCGGCGAAGCTTCGGACAGGGCTGTTGAAGCCGTCGGCACCGACAAGGAGGCGGGCTGCTATGGTGGATGGTTGTGCTTGAGTTGGTGAACCGGATGATGATGATGATGATGAAATCGTCGGTTCGAGGGTCAGGACAGGCCAGTTAGATAGGTTAAGGCCTTCAGGGTCGTCTTCGCCATTGGTGATGGATGAGACGCTCGTGCTGGATAGAAGGGATGACTCCCCTGCTCCAAGTTCTGCGATACGCTCGAGAAGTCCCTTGGTGAGATTGGCGTTTTCGGTCATGGTCGCCACGGTCTGCGGAGGCGCATTGTATTGCTGTGTTTCGGCGCTCCAGTCGAATTGAATGGCGGCGCTGTTGGCGGCATCCCAGACTTGCATCTCGTCGTAGGCTTGGACACGGGCTTGATCCACGTGTTGCCATGCGCCGATAGATTCTAGGAATGCCACAGATGATGGCGTCAGACTACTGGCGCGGTTTGAGAACTGGTCTGGCTGGGCTGTCCATTGGCGGAGTTTCATAAGATCTTGGGTTTCGATTAACGCGGTCTTGAGACGGGATGTTATGGGTGACGATTCTGTGAGTTGTCAGGTTCTGGTTGTCATCACAAATGGAGACGATTTACTCAACGCTGCGAGGAGCGCAAGGCCCGCTGGACCGCCTCCTACCGTCACGACATCGTAGATCTCGGGATTTGAGGCGATTTTTGATGCGAATCGTCTTTGTTGGGCTGGAGCAAGGGATTTTCGGCAAAAGGAGCAAACGACGTGACTGATGCTTAAGGATAGTCTTGCAGGCATTCTCGTCCCGGCTTATAGCCCTCAAGCTATACGGTTCGACTATTGGAGCCTGGTCAATATGCGACTGTTGATTGAAGGCTGAGGTTTGTGGTCAAGATCAGAAGCTTGTCGTGTCGTTGAAATTTGACCAATCAGATTGGTGGATTCCATCCTGCGCCAATCATCCCGCAGAGACGAAAATCTGATAGAATCAAATGAATTATACAAGAACTAAATAAATTTAGGAACCGCAAGCCGCTGGGTCTTTCAAAACTAGCCCCCCTGGGCTTCCTCCTTATTTGACCCTCCCTGGGGCTGATCATTCAAGCGACGGCTTTGAACCATGCTATACGCTCCATTGACGTATACCAGGCAAGGCTTGGGTGTTACAGTGGTCTCATCATAAAATGCCTTCTTATCGTGAAAAACCTTCACCACTTCTCCAAACAACACCACATGATCCCCGATCTCAACAACCATGTCCTTCATGAATCGACAATGTAATCGGAAAGGCACCACGAGATGCCCAGTCGAACTTGATTGCTGCAATACTGGGGGTAGCTTCAATGCCCAAGCTTTTCGGGCAAAAACCGCCGGGGCAAATCTTTCAAGGCGGCCATGGTCATCACGGAAGGGGGAGAAAGCATTCCCTTTCGCGAACTTGGAAGCTATCCGTCTCGCTTCAGATTTGTCATCCAACAGATGGATGTAAAAATGGCCGGAACTTTTAATGGCATCGAATGTCGAAGAGACCTTCTTGATGTTGAAAGATACAATGGGGTGGGGATGCAACGTTACAGTGTTGAAGGAAGACACCGTCGCGCCTCGCCAACCTTTAGGCCCTCCTTCTCGGCTGACAGATATGTCCGTGGATGTAATGACGGCGACTGGATGAGGAACATGGCGCATAAGGCGTTTGACTTGCCTCGACAAATGATCCTTTGGCACGGGATGCGGGGGGCCATCATGGCTTGAAGCATCGGTTGAAGACTTCGGCTTCTCCGGAGAGGTTTTTGAAGCAAACTCTCTTCTGTCTGTTTCCGAAGCCCTTTTGGGCAAGACAGGCGTTGGTGCTAAGCACCTCAGTGAGCTCTGCGTCCGAGAAAGCCATTTACCACCTTGGAAGAACGCATAACTGTGTCTGCAACGTCGACAGACTTTCTGGAATTCTTGAGCTTTGAACAATTAGTCGACTTTGACTATGACGGCTCGGTCGGAGTCATACGAAATAAAGGGACTTTCCAAGGTGGCAGACGAAGAGAGGTGGTAATGGCAAAATTGCCAGAACTGAAAGGGACGGTCATATCAAGCGCAAAAATACGACCCCATCCATGAATATACCAAACAGCGGAGAGATCGTTGAAATAACACCGAAACAAAATGACGCATTTCATGAGGGCTTGGCGGAAAACTTACCTAACCAGGAAGTACGGCGGAGCAAGGGAATAGAATGCGTCTTACTTCTGAAGGCAAAAACAGCGCACTGCAAAGAACCAAAAAAAGATCAACTATACAGTCCATGAGGCTAGTGAGCTTAACATCGACATACCCAAAACTGCGTCGACTATCACTTTGCAAGGTACCAGGAATCTTCAACCATCAACCCCCTACGAATGCCTCCCTGCATTGCGGGAAGAAAGCCGAGACACTCGGCCACAACAGTTATCACATCCATGCACTTCATGTGTCCTCCCTCATTATGACTTGAAGATCTCCCATAACGGCCACATATCCGTCAGTATCTATGGGTCCAGCCTTGCGAATAACACCAACTCGCAGAACATTGAGAGCTCTCCACATCTTAAGACACTAAGGATTTCATCGACACCCACTTGAAGCGGAGGCCTGTTTCCACTGACCCGAAGCCACCATTCGTTTGGAAAGACACTGCCCAACATGCAAGACATCGAGGAAGCAACCGTCACGTTTCGCAAATCCAATTTGACAGTCATCTGGGCCAAGAAAGATCGACTCTCCTTGCTGCAACTCGCAGAAAAGTCTGGTTTGAAACCGGACTTTGGCTGCCGCTCAGGAGCGTGTGGGACCTGCGAAGTTAGGCTCCTGAAGGGAACCATAGAGGGCTGCCTAGAGGGCGATGATGGTGTCCTGATATGCTGTTCCCAACCAGCGAGCCTCGAAGTTGAACTCGAGTTATAAGGAAACTTCAGAGATCTTCATCCGCGATCAAGCCATGAAAATGAAGGATCACCTGAACCTGGTGGCCACAAGAGAACGATCCTGCTGTCCGTATCATCACATTCTCAACAGCGCTAGCCCAGGGGTTTCCCTAGGCTGGTAACGACGCCTCAAGAGGGCGAAATCGTTGGAAAGAGAGGAACGAGAGCTGGAGGCCGCTGAGATTGGTGCAACTTTCTGGCGAGTCGTGCAAAGCATCGTGTTCTTGGTCCTGGATGTTCAACAACGACTTGGATAAAACGCCTCATTCACGTCTTGTGCCCATCTCGGATGAAACTCCGGAGTTACCATTGAAGAAAGACATTTGAGAGCAATTTCAGATTTAGACACGAGTAGTGGCATTTATTGCTCTTCTTGAACCGGAACCAAATAATTCTCTTCTTCACTGCCCATCGACTCTGTAAGCATTGGTTTTGCATGTTAACTCAGAAACTGCAACTCTTATCCCACGTTGTAGACCATGTATGGCAAGGTCGTCTCTGTTGCTACGTGCCTGCCACCACCCCCTCTCCGGCTATTCATGCCAGGCCTCGCCTCCACTGCGGACTCCCTTACATTCACAACCTTCACCAGCAGTTCATCTTTCGGCTCGCCAAAATTCAAATATCCTGTTGTTTCAGGATTCTTCATCCCGACGACTTCAAACTCCCACCCCTTTCAGTTTCATCCTGGCGACCATATGCTCTTTTCCACTCTCAGACGAAGAACACCGGCAGACCCAATTGAGGCCACGGAAGACCAGGAGACGCCATCTCAGACCTCCAGGGGGCGCTTCATCATCTTTCCGGCCATTATTCCACGCAAGAGCTGTTCCTCGTTGCTTATATCGGCTAGGAAAGGACAGCTGACAAGGTTGGATCATGCTCTGCCAAACCTGCGTAGTCGCTGACGATGTCATACAGTCCGTCTTCAAAGAAATCCCTGCAGGATGCACTTGAGCAATATCTCTATTCCACCGAGGATCCTCCACCTAAGACTTTTCTCGAGACTCTGGTAGATGCGATTGGGGTTCCAGCAACTCTGTTCGACAAAGATAACAAGCAAGTCACTCACTCTGAAGACTCGGATGCATTCATAAGCAACCCTCCCCCCGGAGCAAGTAGTACAATCCCCCCAAAGTCTGTCAGATTCAGACAGGAAACTCAGTCATTGAGACGGAATCAAGATCTTCTCCAAGCGACAAACCAAAGGCAACACCATGTTTACCTCCAGTTCAGTTGGCCTACCCAAGTACACGATTCAGAACCACAAATCTTGAAATCTCTAACTCAATTTCGTGAACTGGAAGACCGGGACTATTTTGTGCCCTCAGCCAGATTTCCCTTCCCCTCGACCTGGAACAAACACACCTCTGGACAACCCCTTTGACAATCCGACCGAGGAGCCTAGTTTGGAAACACTACGAAATATGCTTCATGAGAATGATGACAACTTCCAACGTCTTCAGGTCAAGTGAAGCCTGTCCTTGGCCGGAATGACAGGATACATAAATCCGGCAAGAAGATGCATTGTTCTGGATTAGCATGATAAGTTTCAAGGAGGCCCGTCTTCATTCACGCCCAAATTTTCAGCTGCTTCTCTATGTTCCCTGTGCTGTTTGACACTGCCTTCCAATCCAAACAAGGTAGCTGGGTCTCCGGGAATGATCATATCAAAAGTCTCGTTCACGACCGTATACTCATAATACCCGCATCTAGCAATCGGCTGAGTTTTCCTGACATCGATCTTCCCATTCGTCAAAACCCTCTCGTCAATATGAACACCCACTACCCGGCCGATCACAATATCCGCAGTCCCCATAGGCGGATTCCCCGGCAACCTCAGCGTTGAATAATACTCACACTCGAATCGTACGGGACTGTCTTTGACCATGGGGACAGACGGCCTGAGGACCTTCGACCACGTCTTCTCGAGGCCGGCACGTTCAAACTCGTCAACACCGTATGCAAGTTGTTCGGCGGATTTGTTGACGGCTTCGCGCAAGGGCCACGTCGCAAGTTGCCAGCAGAAGACGCCAGTAGCTTCAGCATTGCGGACGGTGTCTTTGCGGTTGTTGAAGGGAGTTTGGTTTGCGGAAAACATTACGTAAGGTGGGTCGAAGGTCAGGTTATTGAATTGGCTAAAGGGGGCGAGGTTGGCTATCGGTTTTCGTCCTTGATTTGGGATGTTGCCATGATCGTGGGGGGTTATCGCGCCGTTGATAGTGGTATCTGGAGGTGATATGGTGCTGATCCAGCCTATGGGTCGGGGGATGACGCAGGCCTGAATTTGAAAGCGTCAGATATGATTGGAGATAGAGGGGGAATGCTATTGATTTTCTTTTCTTTCAACTGTCCGCCCCGCCTCCGATTGTCGTTTCTTCCCACGCGAGTACGTTGGGTCCCGGCCTTTCAAATATGACCACCTTCATAGGAACACGGAATAAACTTGGACGGACTCGAGGGTCTCAAATTCGGACCCACCTTGAAAGGATCATAGGGAAGGTTATGCTCTGTCTTTCCTGGTTCGTAAAACATGGTAGCTCTTCTATTTCGGTTCTAACTGAAAATGTCTCTCTTCAAGTGAGGTTTAGCACGTTCGAATAAGTTCTTTATATGAAGAGAGGGAGAACGCGACCTCCATATCAAGAAATTGGCGACATTCACAAAATGGGGTATATCGCTCCTCTGCACACCAGATGTAGAAGTTCGAGCTGTTCGTATCGGAGCTTCGGCCTTAGATCAAGGAAAGTCGTAATGGGGTAATTTGGCTATCTTCAAAACAGGGCAAGCCCCGATCTGCCCGAACTACGGAACTTGGAATGGCGGGTAAGATATACAAAGGTACCAGCACCGGTACCGAATGCGATTCCGAGGATGTAGTAGATAAGTATTTACTCCATATAATAATCATTCATTTCACTTTATCCATTCATCCCTCTCATCGCCATCCAAGGCGCCTTGAACGCATTTACCCGCTCTCGACCTACCTTTCCTGCTCTCCTTGATCCCGTTGTTTCTTACTTCTGGAGCCTGCGTGGATTTCTCAAGTCAATCCCGTCGGCAAAGGTGGCACTGCGATGTTTGTCTTCTTCGCACATGATGCCAACGGGCGAGGGTGGATGCTAAGGATGAGGAAGAGATTTGAATCTCGGTCATCTTTACTTCAACGCGGTGCACATCTCATCGTCTTCACACAGGCGCAAGGACAGACCCGTGGTATTTTCCTCCACAGCTTGACGGGTAGGTTCTCGATGTAACGGACGGAGAAGGGTGAGTAATTCCGGTTGTTGGTCTGTTCCAGGTAAGGGAGAATGACTAAGTGAGCCATTCGGGTGGCCATGAACGTAGGTGCGGAGGCTTGATCTGATTCGCATTGTTCACAGTCCTTGCAATCAGCCCAAATGGTACGGGCAGGTTTGCCGAGCCAAATCAAGTCATGTGATCAGGCTCGTCGGGAACCCCATCTCTTTGGCTGCTGACTGATTCTTACCAAATCACGACCTCTACCTGCACGTCATTCGCACCAGCGGAATCTTCCGAGTTGAATTCAAACTGCGCCCGCATCTCGAATGATTAACCCATTGAATAAAAAATATAAGCGGCGGTCGTTTCCCATTATATCCTCGAATAATGCTGATAGCTACTTGCCTCTTCTAGCGTGTTCGACATATCCCCATTGCCAGGTATAAGTACCCTCTTTTCCCTTCCATGAAACAGATCGTCTCCATCTTAATCACCATCACAACCGCACTTCTCATCGCATACTACGCCAACAGCCAAAACAATCTGGCTTTGCCAAAGACTGTTCTTCAACAAGCCAGAATACTTTTCAGCAGCATCGTACATCGCGTATCACCCACGCCCCCAAAGGCTACGACTTCAACAACAACAACAGCTTTCCTCGGACTCCCTCTGATTCCCTCTCGTTTCGCGTCAACCGCAGCTGATATGACCACTCCAAGAGCAATCAAATTCTCCTTTCTCGCCCGCGAGCAATCCGAAGGCGCGGGTGCCGTGGTGCGCCGCTCGGTCGGTACACCCAAACTACGCAATTTCACACCCTTCCTCATGCTCGACCACTTCCACATCCCACCTGGCGCAGGCTTCCCTGACCATCCACACCGCGGTCAAGAAACCATCACATACCTCCTCAAGGGTGGCGTGGACCATGAAGACTTCGCCGGCAACAAAGGCACCATTGGACCCGGTGACCTGCAGTTCATGACCGCGGGAAGAGGTATCATGCACGCCGAAATGCCCGTGCAGACCGAAGACATCAACGTCGGCATGCAACTGTGGGTCGACCTGCCTGAAAACCTCAAGAGCTGCGAACCACGATACCGCGACCTGCGCGCTGCAGAGATCCCCATCGCCAAAACTGACGACGGCAAAGTCGAAGTCAAAGTCATCTCCGGCTGCAGCCTCGGCGTCGAATCGCTAAAGGACCTCGCCTACACACCCGTCTGGTTACTCGATGTGACCGTTCAACCCGGTGGGACACTCACCCAGGAACTGCCACCAGGCTGGAACGCTTTCGCCTATACGCTTGAAGGTGCCGTGACATTCTCAAATGGTGCCGATGCTACTAAATCCGAGACCGTCACTCCCTACCACAACGTCGTCTTCGAACAGGCCGGTGACGTCGTCACCGCCTCTGTCGAAGATGGTGCCTCCGAACCGGCCCGCTTCATCTTGGTCGCTGGAATGCCTCTCGATCAGAACGTCGTACAGTACGGGCCCTTTGTCACTACCAGCAAAGAAGCCGTCTATCAGGCCATGATGGATTTCCAAACCGCAAGCAATGGGTTTGAGCGTGCGAGGAATTGGGAGAGTGAAATTGGAAAGAGTATGGGACGGGTGAGATGAAATTGGTCAAAACGACGAAAGAGAAATATCACGGAATCTGGAGAATGGACCTTTTTTCCAGAAGGACGAAAGAAAGACTCTTAACGTTACATTTTATAGCATAGCGCGGCGCCGTACGGCTGGGGAGGGTCCAAGGTTTGATTTATATACTGGATACGGATTTCTGTAAGAAAATGGAAATTGAAATGTCCGAGCAAACTTTCTTCAAGATCTGGTTCCTTTCATCATCGCTTGCATTGTCCACGGTTCAAGGCCTAGCGTAGATATCTTGTCCACACCATTTCTCATGGCGCCTCGACCCGTCTCCTGCCGACTCCGCCGTCTCACCCCTGCCGTTCCCAGCCTATGATTGAAGGATGCTGTAAAGTTCGTCGCCAAACTTCCCCAAAATCGGCGCTTCTAGATCTTCTCCTCCGTTCCCTTTCCCTCCAGGGAGACACCCTGTCTTTCTCCTGAATAGAACCTGGGCCAGGGCAGAAGTAGAACGGGGGTCTTCAAGCCTCGTCCTGTTCATTCCTCATCACCCTCCTGGTTTCCATCCGTCGTCGCCGTGCCCGTCATCTCATCATCGTCATCGTCAAACGTGTTCAGCGGCACCTCGTAAAGCCGGATGACAGGCTTGTTCGGATCCTTAACCAGCACGTACTTCTTGTCGCCGCCTTGTTCACCCTCTTCGCCCTCGCCCATCCCACGCACCAAATCGACGATCGTCCTTACAATGCCCCATCCATTACTAAAGCCCAAGTTCATCTGTAACGCGAACTCGCGGGGCTTATACCCGACCACGCCCAGGATGACGTGGCTAGCGGCAGATTTGGGGTTGGTGCGCGATACAAAGCCCAGCTTCATCTGGTCGGCGCGCGCGAGGATAGCCTGGGTTGTCCATCGCGCCAACTTGCATGAGTTGTTCTTCATCTCTGTGGCCACAACGGCGCCTCGTTGCGAGGTCAGTTTTGTTCGCCAGTCGAGGGCGCCGCCGGAGCCTTGGGCTTTGTGGTCGAACTCGTTCAGTGCTTTGATTACTAGGTACTGGTCGTCACCAGAGATGTTGTTCTTGACGGCAGCGTCGAGCTCGGTACGGACAATGAGGTGGAGCGGTTCTTCGTCACGCTCGAGGGAGAGGTCGAAACGGCGGTATTTGTAGGCTTTGGAGGCCAAGGGATCGGTTTCGTCGCTAGCGCTGTAAAATGGGTTCGGGTGCGGGAATTCCACTTTGCTGTTGGCAGATTCGATCACAGTTTGGAAGGCGAAGTTGTGGTTGATCATGGTCGCTTCCATGGCTAGGTTGCTGGGGGTGTTGATGCTGTCGGGCTTCACGCCCGTTTGCTGCTGGGAGGGAGTGTTGGTTGAATCGGCTTCGAGAGGAGCATCAGCTGCATTTTCGTTCACCGTCACGAGGTCGATGCTGCTGTCAGGCCGCTTGTCGAGGAAAATCTTGTCCCCGTGCTTCAAGATGACGATGTCCCAACTGTACACGGAACGGGTGGCGCACATGAGCATGGAAAGGATATCCGACGTGGCGAAAATGGTGGCCTCGTCCTTTTCCGCCAGTTCTTGAATCACCGGGTCCGCAGACGTGGTGACATTGTAGGCGGCGCGTTCAAGAGACAAAAGCTTTCGCTCGGTGTTCTTCACCGGAGCCTTGTCGTAGCTTCGGTCGTAATAGTAGAGGAATCCGTAGCTGTCGACATCCTCCCCATCGGATGTCTCGAGATTGAGCTTGGTAAGACGGTTGAAATCGATTTCTTCCTTCATCACCCAATCGGGGCGGATGTTGACCGAGGCATCCCGGTTTCGCTGTGGCTTATCGTAGTCTCGCCAGCCAAACCGTCTCCCACGTCCCCCTCTGGCGCCTCTGTTGTCATAAAATTGACCCTGCTGTTGTCCGGCCGTCCGGCCTTGTCCCACTCTTTGGAATATTCCTCTCGCCCCCCGCTGGACGGCTCCTCGTTGACCTCGACCGCGGAAAACAGTTACTCCGCCTCGGCCAAAGCCACGGCTCTTTGCTGTTGTTCGAGTGTTATCGACCACCGAGAAAGATGATTCATCTTCCGCGACCTGCACAGCGAAAAGGGAGGATGTGCCCGCTCCGTAAATTTGCTGGTCTATATTCAAAGCTTGAGTCAATAACGAGTTCCGACAGAATGCGAATCAAGGGACACTGGCCTCGGAAATTTCTGCCATACTGTCTTCCACCTCGATCTCGACCTTCTTTGCCTTCTTGTGTCCAATCGGCCATGCGACCGAGTTTATCACTTTTGGAGTAGGGAGCGTAGGGCACGCCATCGAGCGTGGTGGCGGACGTAGTTTCGGGACCCCATTCTTCGTCCACGCTCAATTGACTGATGGTATCTGCGAGACTTATTCCTGGCATGACCGCAGACAGACAAGTCCTAAAGTGTGTACAATTGATCTAGGACCTTCGCCGTAATTCAAGGATGACCAAAGTCAATTTTTTGGGGAGGGGGGGGGAGGGCTGGGCATCAAATCGCATGTAAATCTTGGCAGCCTTTTTTTTTTTTTTGGGTGCTTAAATTGGGGTGTGCGAGTTCACTGGTACCGATTTCCATTGACGACGAATAAAAATCCCAATGAATATATTGAGAGTTTAACGAATCGAACTCGTCATGCTCTAGTCATATCTGGCAGGAGAAAATTGAGTCATTATCACATATATGACGAATAAAGATCGGGAACCGAAAAGCCATAGGGGCCATGTTGCGGAATCTTATCCCTCACGAATACATCTCATCAATCTCCGCGGTCGTATAATCGTTTCCCAGTTGGTCGTACGTCTCTGGTTTGGTAGCAAAAATGCTGGAGAGAGCATCCCGAAGTTCAAAGTCTTCCATCACCGCCCCAAACCCATAGCAACGAACCTTGCTCTTGATGGACTCAATCATTCCCAAAACATCCTCTCTGGTCAGGCTGGCATAGTTTCGATGACCCTTGAGCGACTGTAGAGCCATGATCGGAGTGACCTGTCCCCTGGGAATTGCACTGCCTCTCAGTGTTTGGCTCAAATTGAGCAAATTGTTCAATATTTGCACTTCGGCTTCCGGGACTTGGTGATCGTAGGTGGGAGTCAGGCCCCCATTTTGGGCCGGAACTCGTTCAATATGGCTTGGCGGTGGGCACGACGCCATCAAGGCATGTCCAGAAAACAATGCTTCGTCATTGTCCGGTGAATCCATCGATCTTCGGACCAGATACTCCTCGTGATCCCGACACGTTTGCTCCAGCCTAGAATGGGTTAGCCCGGTAAGAAGTCCGAATGGTCGACGTTGCTCACTGTAAAATGAAATCAATTCCTAGCTGTGGTTCTCTTTCAAAAATCCCTGGCATGTCCCGTATTGCTCCTTGTTCCTGTTTGATGCCGATTTCTTGAATATCTGGGCCCTGAGAAGAATGACTATGGTGTGTGGTACCAGGGGAGTGACCAGACACGCTCATGGACCCACCATTCATGTAGGCTTGAGGCGAATAGCCCGCGGTGGTGGATGGAGGTCCTTGTCCGACTGATTGATACCCGACAGATCTGGCGCCTATGGAAGGCGGGCTAAGGGTGCTCATGGATGGTGGAGTTAGGGAATTGTCTTCCCTCTTCGGTCTCATGGCGATGACAGCTTTGCGATTTTCAAGCTCGCTTTCAAACGGAATTCCACGAGAGGCAAGAATCTCTCTCAATGCTTGGTTTTCTCGTTGGTGATCTTCGAGGATGATCTTTTGTCGTTGAATGGTGGCATCTCGTGCACTCTGCTCTTGAATGAATGCCTCTCGCAAGCGCGCAAGCTCCAATTCCAGCGCTTTGATGTAATTCTCTTTTCTTTCACGATGTGTTCTGTGAAACGGAAAATTGATCAATCAGGGACTCTGGAGAAAGCCGTCCGAGATTCTTACCTCTGAGCTTGACGATTTAACTCCTGTCGGCGCGTCTGCGCTGGTTTACTATCAGGCTTGGGACCTCTGCGTTTAGCCGGTTGTCCATCTGCCAATCTTCAGTCTTCGGTGATCAAAATGCCGCCACCCGAGGCCACATACCTCTGGTGGTCTTTTTTTGCATTCCCCCGAACCCTTTCAGAAAGCCCATGTTCAACACCGACGGACTTTTCACGTCGCCCGAAACACCATTGTCTAGATTTATCATACGTCAGTGAGCAAAGTCGCTGAGTCGGGTCAAACAATGACGATATCTCAGTCGTGAATACCCCATCTGATTCGGGTATTTTAGCTGAGTCGCGAGTGCCCAACGGCCCCCGATTTTGGCCATTGGGTCCAGCCGAGACAAAACGTCGGTTACCGGCAAGGACCGCGAAATGCAACACAAGTTTCAATGGAGCCGACAATAAAAAGGACAAGAATATTGGAAAAGACTCACGGTAGGTAACCCCAGGCGTATAGTCCTGCGCTGTCCAATTCCCAGGATCCATATCGGAAGCAGACTGTTGCATGTTGGGATGCATATGAGCAGGATGCGAAGCCATAATAACAAATTCTGACGGGAAGAATTTTTCAGCAGGCCCTTGCTGTTGATGATCCTGAACGTTTGACTCGAAATTGACGGTCCAGAGCTCGATAGAAAGGATTCCGAGGGCGTCGTCGTGTGGTCTCGACTGAACGAACAACCAGAATTCGGCAAGATAGCAGCCGGTAAGACTAGGTACGGAAATGGTGTGATGGCGATGCCTGTTCAAGAGAGGACACGCAATCGCCTAGACCGGATTAGAAAGCAAACAGGATGGTGTAGAGGTCGGAAATGGGAACAGGACAGTTGGCATGTTGTGCTGAGACCAGGCCTGAGACGGAAGGGGAGTTGGTCGAGATGAGATGCTTGGTGCGAAAAGATCTCTTAGGGCTTTGACGACGAAGGACGTGCGCGACACAATATTTGAGAGCGGGACGAGATTGCTGATCGTGGTAGGTCAGTCTGTGCAACACGAACGTCGCAGAATTGTCGGGCAGCACGATGAAGCAAGCCGAATGGTGGGCCGCGAGCCGGTGATGTTGGGAGACAAGAGATGGCAAAAAGACGCAAAGACGTGAGGATCAATTGTACCTCAGGTCTTCAGTCAGAAGGGGAGGGTCCGAGGTTCTCTTCTGTCATTTTTTTACAGGTTCTGGTGGAGATGGAATATCGAAAAAGGCGAGACACGGTTTTGGTGGAGGGCAAAGAGAGAAAAAGGAATAGGAGAGGGGGGTCACTAGGGGGCAGTTAGTTAAACGAAGCTTAGGCAGTAAGCAAGTTTTAACCTGGGAGAGCTGACTGATGGAAGAGCACCAATTGGGGCTGAGCAGATAAGGTCGGAAGGCTGGTCGGCATCCTGGGATAAGTTGAGGATGAGCGAGAAGTCGTTGTCTAAACCCCACAAGAAGCGAGTGGAGAGCTGAGGGTTGCTCAAGATGAGGAACAGGTGGATATCGCAGGATGAAGAGTGTCACACATGCATGCTTGGAGGAAGATAGAGAATGACGGCCAGCTGTGCGACTCAAACGAGAATGACTAAGGTAAGTGATGGACAGTAGAGTCGCAAAAAAGAATAGCAGAGACGGGTGAGAGAAGTCAGAAGAGAGTTTGTGGGTGAGTGGGCTGACTAGGAACCAGGCTGGCAAGTACCCACTGTAAGTACAACTTTGAAGCAGTGAAAGATGCGTGATAACCGGGAGTGGTGGTGAAACAACACTGCCACCGGGATTATGCAGGTCATAGGGCCCGGAGGGGACCCGTGGCAGGCTGAAGATGCAACCCCTTCTCGGCTAAGTAGCACTCAGCAGTAATATGAAATGAGATGGATGGAGTCCAGTAATCCGGGTGAAAGTCCAGGCCAGCCAAAGCCCAAGCAAAGGAAACCTTCGACGAGAATGAAGTGCCCAATTGCCTTACCTAACTCGCAATGGTGATAGGTGATCATTTGGTAATGACAAGCAACCGCAAAGCACCATTAGTATATCTGGCATTTTTGCAGTTCCACCCTTTTGTAGCCATCATTTTGATCAACAGTGAAAATCAGACTGATTGAGCGGGAAGGCTTGAGCAACCGGTTCAGCTTTGGGTCACTGTGGACGCACCTAATTCGTGTTAACCGAACAGTCCCCCGTTGCTGCAAACACCCCCGCCGTCCCGCGTGTCCAGAATCTGTGTCATTTTCTCTTCCATTTTCTTCATCATCGATGACATGTTGATGACGGTATCGTTGTCTACACTTTCCTGTTGCTCTTGCTGATGTTGTCGACGTCGATGCTGTGGTTGCTGTTTTAGACTCACTCACCTCCGCTCTGACCTTTCTGGCCCTCGATCCTTGTATCGACGTCTATGACTATCAACCCCTTGTCATGACCACCTTCAATCTGCACTTCGTTCTTACCAATCTGCGCGGAATCGTCATTGTCACCCCGTGGCTGTTGCATCTGCTCGCCACCGATGTGCTTCTCTCGCTTCTTCTCCCTTTGTCCTTCGTTGCACCCACTGCCGCGTACCACATCTCTTCCCGTCTCGCCGACCTCGTCTGGCGAGGTATTCAATTCATCTTTACTCGTGTGAATGGAGCTCAAATCTCCGTTTCCGGCACTCCTCTGCCCCCAAAGGAATCTGCGATCGTCGTTTCCAATCATGTTTCCTGGGCAGACTTTTACCTCATTCAACATCTTGCCATCGGCTCTTTCATGCTCAGTCGCTGTCGTTATTTCGCAAAGCAGCAGCTCAAATGGGTTCCTTTTCTCGGTTGGGGTTTGTGGGTCATGGGTATGCCTCTGATTTCCAGGCGTTGGAACAAGGATCAGAAGGAACTCGATCGCGTCTTTCGCGGCCCGAAAGTCTATCAATGGCCAATCTGTAAGATCTTGTAACCTGTCCCATCTCCCTGGATCCGTGTCTGCTCACCCTTTCCCATCAGGGCTCATCAGTTACAGCGAAGCCACACGATACACAGCTCAGAAATATCTTGAGACTGTCCAGTGGTGTCAGGCCCATGGCAAGCCTATTCCACGGTACACTCTCTATCCCCGAACCAAAGGTTTTGTAACTGCCGTCAAGGCTTTGGGAACCTCCAGCAGTGTCAAGGCTGTTTATGACCTGACGTTGGCTTATGCCCATCAAGGCCGATTCTTCGAGGCACCTGAGATGTGGGAGACACTCTCTCGGGGAGATCTGAACAAGGATTGGCGATTTCATGTTCATGCTGAGCGATTCGATATTGCCGAGTTGGCCGGAAAGAGTGATGAAGAGCTAGCTTCCTGGCTGGAAGGACGCTGGATGGCCAAGTCAGCTCTTTTACAAGAGTTGAAGCGAAAATTGGAAGATGGTCAACAATGGTCTGGTCATGAATCGACGTTTAAGCTCAAGGGAAACTGAAAAGAGAGGGAGTAAGAGCTATCGGTCACTAGAATCAGGTTCCGACTGAGTTCACCCCGTTATGATTCAGGACCAGCTCAACTTCTCTCGCTCCGTCGCTAGCTACCACCAGCGGGAGGAACGAAGGGGGATCCTCGCAGGCTATATAACAATACAACCTACCACCTCGAGAGCCAGTCATCGGGTGCTGGCCCCATTCATAATTAGGCCTGTCGGAATATGCCTCGTGTCTTCCTTTTGCATATCAACGGGAATGGCACGCGTCAAGGGGTCATGTCCAAGGCTGGCGTGATTGGCTGGAATGGCAGGCCAGAGCATTCCACCAGTCCTGATTGGGCTGGAATTTGGAATTTGTACATTGGACAAATGCGCCACGGCAAGCCGGGCGAGGACGGTGTTCGGCTTAGATAAGCTCACCCTGTAATTAATCGGTGAAAATGGTGATGATATCTCTGGAGACTGGAGCAGGATGCCAGGACGAGACCGCTTCATTCGTATGTTCACGACGTTCCCTCAATATCAACTCATTGCCCTGACCCTTACGATGGTGGTTGCTGACTCCAAGGGCCCCCCTGACGTGAGCGACAAACATGCCAAGCTAGCACGCTGGCGAGGAGTCACGTTGCCTTTATACTACAAAGCGCGATTAGTTGCACACAAACTCCCCCAGAGCCCGCTGACTTCACGTAAATGGAGGCTCTCGAATGCGAAATCTTGGTCCACATCACTGCTTCCAGCACTGCCAAAGACGACAGACGCTACACTTCTATTGCCCGATCCGTCTTGGACTTCCAGCCAGCCATCGTGATCAAGTTATTAGGACCAGAAGAGCCAGGCCCTCCCAGAGAGAATGACATACTCGTTGATACAAGGTTGGTCTCCATAGTTTGCAAAGCTATATGGTCGAGATGAACCCTGGCATTTCGGCCGCGAGGATGCAAACCTCTTTGTTCCTCACTTGCTGGTTACCTTTTACCCTGAAGCCAACCTGCAAAATGACTTGTAGCAGGATCCCCTCATGCCGAGTAGGTCCACCTCGTTCAAGGACTACTCCTGAACCAGGTACAAACACCAATCAAAGCGGTTCTCCTCTAATCGGACAAAGTCGCCGACGTGCACGCTCCGAGACTTCATCCTCCCGTAGCTCTTCTTCCGCTCGCCTCAAAGAACCATGTCCACTCGAGTCAAGTCCAGATCGCCCACGAAGAGGGTCAGAACGAAAGAAGCAGTGTGTGAGAGTTGTTGCGGTCGATGAAGTTGGTGCGCTCCGTTCAGATGACCCGCAATATGTTCATACAAGACCTGAGACGAACGCTGAATCGATGTCGCCCTTCAACATGTCACCTGCTGGGACAGATACCGGATCCGTGGCGCCCACCGTATCTCCTTCTCCTCGGTCTCGGTGGCTAGAGCATTCCGTTCCACCACGACAAGCGGACGAGACCCCAACGCATACCTGCTCCATCATTGATCTGACGACCCCAGATGGACGTGAACACACCACACCCAGGAAATGTCTCGAGACAGTGCATCCTGTTCACCGCCCCAGCCCCAAAATCATAGATCTTCCTCATGAAGTCCGCGGACCATTACCTCGAGGAGGACAAACGAGATTCACAACTCATCTTACAAGAACATTGGAGACACTGGTGACGCATCTCCCTCTTTCTAAACACTTTCGACCCACTTATGTCTTGCGAGATGTTAACGTGTTGGAGCGAGGCTACTGGCAGTTCTTGGTGAAAATCGACGAGGACATGATATTCGGAGCATCGAGAAGTTCGCCGAGGAAAGACCGGAGATTAAGAACGCCTTCCGAACAACCTGGAACCGAAAACTCCTTTGGACGATCAAAAGAGCTTGGGCAAACAAGTGACACCAGAATACCAACACCAACCACTACTCGGTGCGATGCTTCACTGTGGACAGAGGAAGAGTTTATCCGGTTCTGGCAGGATGCCGCTCAATTTATCCACGAAGGCAAAGCTGGCTGGGGAACACGATTGATCAAAGAATGGGATGGCGATAACGTTTGGAAAATCCGATTATTTACTTGGGCAGAATTACTGGGACACATTTGGCTCGCTCTTTACGTCTTTTCGGACAAGCTGATTGGAATGACACCTATGGTCTGGATATCAGGGAACGGGGAGGTGGTTGTCAAGATTTCTGGAGGGAAGTATGGACACGGTGGACTGAGTACATGGACGAGAAAAGGGCCGGAGGGCGAACAAGGGATATGGGGGATTCACCCACGGCTAGACGTGAGGAGATGGGATACATAATACTGGATGTAGGATCTAACGAGGAGATTGAAATGCAAGAACGTATGAAATTGACATGACTATTCCAGTACAAGACGACAAGCAATTACCTACGTTGGTAACCTTTGCACATTGATTGCATCAACGCTCAACAGTCCAAGGCTTGCATCGTTTGGAGAGGGCTTTGGTGGATGGACGAGGGTTCTCGGCCAGCGCCCCGCCTGCACGTCAATCCTTTCGGTCGCATGTGAAAAGAAAAGAATTTGCCCGCTCCGACGACAACAAACCATTGCGATTCCCTGCCTCCGTCATCTCCCCCTCTACCTCTGCACTTCCAGCACAATAAAATTCGAGCGACTGTTCTTAGGCGCAGACAGACGACAGGATTCTTCTATCTTCACGGCCTCTTGTTTTCACGGTTCCCTCCCATTCCGCCCGCTACCAAATTTTCACAGCTCGGCCCGTTCCCCAGACTCGGTCCCCAACAGATCTCCCACCTCGAGTATTACATTCGGTCAATAACGAACGGAAACCTGGACCTCCCTCACTCACTCACCTCGATTAACTCCCGCGCAAACCCCTTCATGTCCGTCCCTCTCTGACGTCCTTCGTCTTACATCCACCTCGCTTCGACCTCAACTTCACAAGAGCAATCCCGCGCATCATCAACAACCCACCCGCATATCCACCATTGATCTCCTGCACACTTCTCCCACCCAACCACGTCGAGGCTCCCATCGAACACATACCCAGACGTTCTGGTGACACTTCGAGGCCAGGGCTGCCCCAGAGCAGCCTGGGAGAAGTGGAGGTGGCGCTAGTTTGATGTTGGCAACCCAAAGGATGTCGTCCCATGGTGGACAGCAGAACTTCCCATTCGGCTGTATGGTGTCCACGTATCCTCCTCTTGATGTAGATGAATTTACTTACGCCTGTTCCACAGATCAACAAGAGAATATTCATGGATTGGGTTTTCCTGAGTTCATGAACCCCGGTCCTCCGCCAGGCCAACCTTTACTCAACGCCCATGAGAATCAAGACCTAGACAACTTTTTCCATGATTTTGACCAAAACGCTGCTGCCATCAAAGCGATTAGCCACGCTCAATTCAATCTACCCTCTGGTCATGACCAATACTATGGTATGCCCCCCATGTTTGTCGGTTCCGACACAGCACTCGGTCGGTCTGGCGTCAATCCTCATCAATTGCAAGGAGGTGGATTCCCATATGGGGATTCCTTGATGGGTCAAGAGATGGGCACAGTTGGACCATCCAATGCTATTGGTAGTATGCACGGCGCCGGTTATAGTGATGCGGCATATACCAATCCACTCATTGCTCAGCTTCAAACTGCGGCGTCGCTGCAACCAGCTTATGGTCCTGGCTGGCTGCAAACCTTCCCCCCTCAGCATGCGATTCATATGCAACCACAAAGTCGACAGGTCGTAAATTTTGGTTCTGACCCTCACTTTCAACCCACTGGATATGCTGCTCCAAACAATCCTATGGACCCCGATATTCCTCAAGGTATGCAGACACCCGCCATGGATTGGTTTGAACCGATGAGTGCCAGCACAACTCAGCCCAATACCCAACCAAATACCGAACCTTCAAGTCCCAATTGGTCCAAAAAGAGAACGTTTGATGATTTCCAGCGAGAGCAGCAGCCTCGTAACGGCTTCGTGCCCTCTACCAACGGCCAGCATATGGCTGCTGCACAACCTTCTCCCCCGCAGTCCAATCCTCGCAGAAAGCGCAGTTCAGTCGTCAAGAATGAGCCAGGACTACCATCTCAACCACCAACACCATTGACCAGTAGCAAACCGCACACACCGCTAAATCCACTTTTTGGTGAACCGGGTGATCATGAAGAAGATGCCGAGGCAGAAGCAGACGAAGATGAAGACGCTGATGATGATGATGGTGGTGATGGTGATGATGAAATCTCAGATCGACCCAAGTCGCCGTCACCAGCACCCTGGCCCTCCAACAAAGCCCGTCCTCCACGGGTCACAAAACCTCCACCTCAGCAACCTATTCGCAAGAAGAAAAGTGGCACCAACCCGTCAACGCAGATCAAACCGAAAGCCAAACGATTGCCTGCTCCTCCGTTCACACGAACTCCTGCGACTCGGGTTCCTCTCACTATGGAGCAGAAAAAAGCAAATCATACAAACTCTGAGCAACGTCGTCGAGATGCCACAGCTCGTGCCTACGCTGAACTGTACGACCTTGTTCCCGAGCTTGACGATATGGGCAAGCAAAGCACGATGAAGAAACTTGAAGTCGTCGTGGCTAAGGTCCAACGCGTGAAACTGGGAGTGGAAAAACTACGAGTCAAATTGGGCCTTGACCCTCAAACTGGAAAACCGGTTGGGCCCGGTGGAGGAGATGTTTTGCTTCACAGCGATGTCCAAAGCTAGTGTCTCAGTGATCAATACCGAATACATTGGACTTAGCACGATCTTACCCTCACAGTTACAGCTAGACAACAGAATAGTGACACTCAACAATCAAACCTCAACATCGGACCTTTTGGGGCTGAAGGCATGAATTGATCATCACCTTGAGCTTCAACCCTGGATGACCTCGACGATCGAGGTGTCGACGAACGATGACGACATAGTTACGAACGAACATTCCCTCACCTTTTCAAAAGTTGGATCCGGGACCTTTTTCTTGCAATTTACTTACCTTTTTATTTCAAAGATACCCCTCTTCACTTCACTTCACTTCTTCACTCGACATAAAACAAACGCGCATGGGTAGCATGCTTGATTGATTGATTGATTGGACATAAGGCAATGGAAGGGATTCGTCCGGACTTATTCATTCATTCATTCGACTTGGTTTCATAGTCGATATGGACAAAAAAGAGAAACACACAGGGACATATACACGAGCTTTGGATCTGGGAGGATGGGACTGAGCGAACGTCTTTTTGGTTCCAAATGGATCTTTCTTGTTGTGAGCAGACAAACCTTGCCAACGCATGGGTACTAGAGTTCTTCAATCGGGCATGGTGAGGTGATGTTCGGATTGGAGAAGAGAAGACCATATCATATCATTGGGAGGTGGGGAATGGAATGGAACCGGGGGAGAGAATATGTGATGCTAGAATCGAATTATTGGATGCTTTGTGAGGTGATGAGAAAGGAGAGAGGAGAACTGCGAGGTCAGTCGCCACCTCGTCACTTGAATCGGAACGGCTTGCTTCGCTCGCTGCCTTCGGGGTAGATAAATACTTTAGCGGCTTGGCACGCTTCTCAGCAACGCCGTCTGGCATGGAGATTTAAACGGAAGGTCGTGCTTGAGCTTGAGGATGAGTATGAGAATGATATGATATGATCCGGACCGAATCCCTGTTGGATCGAATGGAACTGAAACAAGTTGAAGATCAGACTTGCTCCCCATTCTCTATTCTATTCCACGTCTTAACCTTTCCTTCATTCTTGGAAAGACCTGCAAAATAGCACGTCTGATGTCCTCGAGCTTATCTGTCCCGTCCTGCCTGTCTGCTTATTTCTTCCATCCCAGCTGTGGGCATCGCTCTCTCAGCACTCGTGCCGGAACTCCACTATCTACTTCTCCTACCCCTGCGCCTGCTCCTGGCCCTTGACCGTGTACCGTGTTTGCCAACGAATCGGTGTCTCCCGCCAGGATATCAGCGACCTTTGACGGCCTTATGCGCCCGGAACTGCGGTTGGAGGACGTCTCGATCAGCATCATTCGAGTCTGATTCGGGAGTGTCATTGACAATGGGACGTTCCCGCAGTCGGAAGATAAACAGAGAGATCGATCGATAAAATGAAGAGTGTGGTCACGAGCCATCAGAGTTCCTCTGCCAGGTATCTGCAGAGTCCAATGCCCATTGCTAGCCTCATGAGCCAAAACGGCTTGGGCGAGAAGCTACCGCTTGCTCTGTGACTGCTTTGGCCGTACGAAGGTCGCTGCAAACTTTCAACATCGAGGTCTCTTCTGGATCTGGACCAGTGACAGGTCGTCGATGGCTTCTTCGGTGGAGGAAGTGGTGCATGTCGTGAATAGCTTTGCTTCGAATGCCAGAGCCAGGACGATCAGTTTGTTGCTCATTTCCTCATTTCCCCCTGATTTGCTGGAGGAGGGACTTGGGTAGATCTTCGGTCGTCCAAGACCGCGAGCAAGATCTCGCTTCGACTGTGTACAAGATTGCTCGTACGTATAATCGGTGAGGACCTCAGGACTTGCGTCATTCCTGCCCAATTTGCAGCAAGTGCTCCAGAGTGCCACGCCCTTCCGACCGAGTTCTCGGTACTGACCGGGTGTCAGTTCTTTACGACGGAGCGGTAAATAAAGGAGAACATCAAGAAACTCGTGAAAAGACGGCTTTACGTTCTCGTTGAGGACTTGTAGGAGGTAGACCGCAACATCTGTTCATTGTCAGCGGCTTCGAAACAAATGATCTTGCACTGACCAAGGACGGACTGTGCCTTGGTCGCCAGGTCTTTCGACATCATAATCAGGCATTGGCCACGGGGAGGTATGATTGAACATGGCAATATGGTGCATGGGCTCCGGATGGGAGGAAAATCTCTGCGGCACGTGATTGCGGCACGAGTTGCAGTCGGCCGGGGAACGGGGAGTCAGAAAATCATCAAACGGAGCCACGGAGGCAGAGAAATCGTCAGCTAGAATGTAGAAAGATTCAATTTTGACATCAATCATTCATTTGGTCGTGTCCACAGAACATTTTATCCCAGAAAATCAATGCTTCCCAGGGTTCATTGGCAAGAAATTGCCAACAATCAACGACGGTCTGGAAGGATTAGCTTAGGTAGAGGAACAACAGGAGTAAAATCTTACATGTTGTGGTTGTCTCTCCGGATGGTGAAAGAGAAGCAACATGGAATCTCAGCAGCATCAGCACCTGCTGTTGGACTGCGTAGGGTACAGCTGGTGAGCATGGCTTTCTGTTGCTGATCAAAGCAGATGGCACAGAACTTCTCCCAGTAGCTGACGAGTTGATCTTCGACAATGATCTCATGGATGGCGAGTTTGCCCTGCGAGACAGGTCAGTCAGGGGCTTGGACTTTCAGTGTGCTATGCTCACATCACGGAGTGATTCAATGGGAACTTTGATCAGCTCGGCCATCTCTTTGTTCCCTCTGAAGATCTCTCCAGTTCTTCTCCAGCAGCATGCAGGGATAGCCATGCTGGCAAAGATTCTATCATACTCCATCAAACTTCTCTCAAACCACATCTCAACCAGAACAAGCTCAATATCGGTCAAGCTATGCATTCGCTCTCTGAATTTGGGCCTGAATTGATCTAGCTGCATCAGAATTTTGTGACGAGAAGATTGTTTCATATGCTTCTCCATGTACTTGTTGAGACGGGCATATCCATTGACGTAGTTGAAGGGGCGAAGCATTCCAGCATCGTATTTGGCCTTGAGCAGTTTGTTCATGCGTTCTTCGGGCGGTTCGGCACCAGTAGGATCAGCTGCCATCATGTAATACTTCTCCCGCATCTTGTCGGATGCGGTCTTCACACTACTAGATGGCCTTGATATCATAGCGGCATGGGCGGCATTATTTTGGTTCGTGGCTTGTCCATTGTGCGTTTGATCCTGTGTGAGCACGGCCTCAGTTCCTGGTCCTGGAAGGGAAGATACCGCCATTGAGTTCATGAAGGAGGGGTCATTGAAAGGACCCTGGAATTCTTCCGTGGAATACATTCCCGTCTCTTCAAAAAGGCTGTTGCTGAGAAAATCGTTCAACAGATTGTATTCATCGGTCACTTCGTTTGCATTGAACATGTAATGAGGATGGAAAGCGTGCATGTCGTGAAACCGATTCTGCACTCCGAGCCACGGGTCATTATATCCAAAATCTGCGGGCGGTCAGGCCGAGGAGCCCCCCGAACAGCGATCCCACACTTACGAGCTTGAGCATTGCCATTCAGCCCTGGATTCTGAGTCGCGGCGCTTTGATTAGAGACAGATATGGTGTCATTTGTGGGCGGTCTCAGTCCGATATTGTCTTCTTGCAGGAGACTGTGACCGGATTCATCAATCAGCACGGGACCTGGCAAGTTTGGTGCCGTGGCGTATTCATCTTTGGGGGAGGATGGCTCCTCCACCACCGCCGCGGCGTTTGAGTCGGCTTTGGACTTCTTGTGGTATCCGTGGCCTTCTCTTGGTTCATCATGACACAGGTGTCCGATGTTTCTCTTGATGCAGCGTTTGCAAGGACGGTCCTGAGACATGACCCCAAGAAAAGGGTTCGCGTTAGCCCAAGTCCTTTTGAACAGATGACGACGCGCTCATCATGGAAAGAGGAGGGAGTCGTACAGAATCGCAGGTCATATGCTGTGTATCCCACCAAACCAACTGGTTAGCCCATCATATGTCTTGCCAGCACCGAAAAACTCGGTGCTCCCGGCCACCAGGGTAAAAATTGGCTTACCGAACGGCGACAGTAGACACATGCTGCACAAGAGGGTCAGATGAGGCCACAACGGGGGATCTGTGGAAAGAGTACGGACCGTGATTCACCTTGCGTTTCTTCTTTGGCTGCTCTGCGGTTGACGTCTGGCCTGACTTGCGAGGACCTGTTGGAGAGACGACCTCATTCGACAGCGAAGTCCGTCTTCCTGTATTCCTGTTCGTGCCATTGCCGGCATGGTCAGGCTCGTCTGGGAGATCTGACATTGCCCGTCGGGTCGCGAACCGGACTCGGGCCCGGCAGAAGAATGGAACTGTGAATGTTGTCGCATGCAACACGATCGCAAAGGACCATCGTCTAGGTGGGTGCGCGCAGAGTCAAGAAGGAGCTTCTTTACCCGAAACTGCGCAGAAGACCCCCAGATGGCGATGAGAAACAGCAACACGAAAGGAGTCCGGGCATGCAAAAAGACAGTCATCCGAAAGGCCTTGCGAGGATTGCGCCCAATGGCCGCAAAGGAAAACCCCGCAAATGCCGTGCCGCGGCCTGCACTGCCCCCAGATGCGTCTGTCTACGCCATGGTGGAGGTCGGCTCCTCGCCTTTCAACGTGGATGTCAATGTTCCTTCTACTCTCTCACATGATCTGTACTTGTTATTGCTACAGGAGGAGGCTCGCAGGTCGAAATAAAAGCCCAGATTGCTTTGGAGAACAGCACCTATCCCTGGATCCCATCAGCCTGTGCCATCCATTCATGAAACAAGGTGACGATGAGCCTGGCTAAATGTTGACGCTTGGTCTCATTTTCTTCCTGGCTTTTCCAACAGAGGCTCCCTCTTCCTCGCGATGTCTGTGTCTCTTTTCCCGCTGATCCAGCACCAAGCTCAAAACATCGAAACCGAATTGTGGAAACTCCAAGCACAAGGCCTTGAATTCCGCCTCGGCCTCGTGACGCAGAATATGTGAACGGGTTGCCCAGAATGCTGCGACGGGCTTCCGTATGACGGAGTCATCCATGGATGAATTGCCATAGACATATCTTGCATATGCGATCTCGCCCACGGCTGTCGAATTGATGCGATGGATCTTTGAATGAGCCAGAAGCTTGAGGTCGTCCAATCCGAGTTTCCGAGCCAGAGTGTAGACACGAGCGTGTTTTAAAAGCTGCGCGCCAGTATCGTCGACAGCAGGAACGGTAGGGTCATGTTCAAGGTAGGTTTCATCCTTGTCTTTCATCAGTCTTGGGAAGTATTCTCCGGTGTATTGATACTGCAAGAAGCAGCCCACTGCATCCAGTGACTCGTCCGGAAGGCTAAGAGTGAGGTCATCGTCGTCGGACAGAGATGAGAGTTGCTCGTTGAAATATGACGACGCCGTAAGAATGGATTTGTGGGCGGTTAAGGTTGTCTCTTCGTCGCCGCTACCGATCACAAGCTGAACAATAGGTGATTTGAGGTATTCGAGGAAAACTGGTTGAGGGTTCTCCGGCGCATGTCCATTTGGTCCCAATGTCGCGTCTCCTTCACCCGCCCTTTCGCCTCCAGTTTCAGCATGGCCCTCTTCTGCCTCTTGAACTTCTTCAACAGTGCCCATCTCGGAATCTGTCTCGCCCGAATCTTCGATTTGGACAGTGTCGACAACAATACATAATTTGCGACCAGATTGGTGCTCGGTGGAAACTGCACAATAAATCGACAAGAGTAACAAATAGAGCCTGACCCGATACAGCGACTCTGCTGAATGAACGAATGAATTCAGACAAATGAGCAGAAGAAGGATGTGAAGTCGATGCTGGAAGATTCGACTGCTGAACTGGATGGATGTTTTTGCGGAGAGCCCGTACCAAATTCGGGTCAGTCACTAATTCGCCCTAGCGCTGTCAAACGCAGCAAGCAACTGTTCATGCGACAAGCCGGAAAGATCAAAATCAACTTTTGTTACCTGAATCATGTTCCGATGTAGTAATGGCGTTTATGACTACTCATCTCTTTTGCCAATGCTTCGAATCCTCCGGCGTCGTCCAACACACACGCTCTTACGTGAACTCATGGTCGACCCCGAGTTAGCTGTTTCAGACAGACCAGATTGGATTAAGAACAACCAGCATAGCATCCCGTGAAGGCGCAACCCGACCTACGATCGTGAACTCTCTCACCGAATGGCATGGTATATGGCCAATTCCTCATGAAATTCAACATCTTTGGGAGGCTGAAACCACAAGAAAAACTTAGTGAGGCCGAGTACCAACATTCCCCGGAATCTCATACCTCGATAGTCTCACCAAAATTCAACACGAGTCGGAACGTTTGGCTTCTGTGTCAGTTGCAGACATCTGTACGGAAGAGAACAGGAAGCATGAGCTGGTCGCCCAGGACCTTTATCAGATCCATTGCATGTTGGAAAGAAATTATTTACGACGGAGTACGCGATGCCCACATGTTTGATTGAGCCGATGATATCGCCGATCTTACTGGTCTCTTAAAAACCCTCTAGACCTGACCAGCAAACTTGTAGCGCCCACCCGCATTTCGGCCGTGGTCTTCCGCAAGTCTCTCATTGCTGGGCCCGTTGACATCACTCGTGCCCCAGTCCAGCGGCCCCAACCGGAATTCGCTCGACGAGATGCCAAAAGGGTACGGACAGGATCGACAGAGCTTTGGAATGCTGGGAGGACAGGACAGGACAGGACAGGGGAAAAACCGGTACGGAAAATATATCAGTGTGCGACGACCGGTGAAATGTCAACTTCGACAGGCTGAGCGAACCCTTTGCTCACAGATGGGTACCCCAGACAACACTACTCTGCTCCCGGCCTCCGTCGTGGATCAAGGCAAAACACAGGACCTATTTTTATAAACAAGAAAAGTCGAAGAGATGCTCATGCTCACCTCCTGCGCTTCAAATATTGGCCCCGCCGCTGTGTGGCCACCTTGTCTTTTCCCTCCAGTCTTGTTGAAAAAGAGTTTTTGCTGCGTTGTCACGCCTCGAGATGGGGGTGCTACTGTGCATTGTCGATTGAGTGAGCGACGCTGACTGGGAACCTCCGACCACTGGGCGCATCACGATCATTTCATGATCCATTTGATCCTGGCCCGAGGCCACAGGTCCACCCATCCCGCCCGCTTCATCGTCATCACTAGGCTGAAAAGGATCATTAGAGGTGGTGGTGGCACACGGGCGCCTGAAGAATGGAGCCAGGCGCAGAGGCCAGGGCGCTGTAGCCCAGTCCTAGTCCACCTGTAGTCTACTGTAGCTCGCTGAGTCGGACCAATGAAGCCGGGCGGCGTCGACGTGACACTTCCTGCTGTCCCCCGACTGACACCAGACTCACTCCGCTCCACAGCCAGTCCCAGGGGATCTCGACGACTAGGGGGCCTCCATTGCAAGCCACACCCTTCGTAACGTTGGCGTCTAAGAAAAAAAAGATGGGTTCGTATGGATGGATGGATGCGCGAGCCATGAGGCATGAATATCTGGCCACAAGACCCTGCACGACTTCTCCTCGCATCGTTCTGAACTCCTTCATTCTTTCTGTGTGTGTACACGTATCCCAGCACCCAACGGCAGCAACGCGGATGTTTTCGCTGGCCGCAACTCGGATATCGAACTGCCCGTATTCTCAGATCCTCCCTTGACGACACCTCTAATAACAAAATCCTGGTCGATCCGCCCGCCGCCCTCGTGTTCACCACCTGCTGGATCAATCCTGTTCAAAGCCCTCTCGACCTCTCCTTGCGTTCGCCTCGTCTGAAAAAAAGTAGTCAAGAACTAGCACGAACCCAAAAGCCAGTCCCGGCCCATTCTCTGTTTCACAAGACATATCCTACGTGGTAGTTTATGTTGAGGACACCTTCTACATCCATGATTGTGCGCATCTCACAGCGCAGGAGAACGTCTGAAGGAACACAATGAGCTTCCGGTTGAGGAACAAGAGCAGGCCCAGTTGCCTTCTTGTGTCTTTAGTGAAGTTGTCCAGACGACCCCATACAATCACTTTTGAAGCCGGCTGATTCATTCATTTTTGGTGTGCCTCAATCCAAAATTATCGGTTGATCTCTGCGGCGTCTCTGAAACAATGCTCACCGTACCTCACCGGTATGTGAATACGATGGACCCCATCAGAGACCCAAATGTCTATATACACCTACCCAACGGTGCCGCTTCACGTCAATTTGCTATTCCCGCCCATTCGAGCACAATTCAACATGGACGCCAACGCTCTAGTGGTCTCAGCTATGTCGAACATGAAATGTTAAGGCAGCGGAAAACACCCAACGGTAGACTGTTCGAGCAAGATACTGCCGCGATAGACAAGAATGTCCAGTTCCCGGCTTCCAAGCATGTCTTACTGTCTTCATCACCCAACTTTCAACACCCCAGTCTTCCCTTCAGCTCACAATGGCCAGTCTCCAACCAGTCACAGCGGACGGGAAGCACTCTTGGAGCCGATTTTGGAAGAGAGGGAAGACAAGACGTACAATCTCAGCCCTATGGGACATCCAAACCATATTCATACCGACCGGCTTGGGATTTCCCCGGCGGATTGGACTCGGTGCTCAATCAAACGCTCCCAATACATCCGACGCAGCGGTATTACGTTCAACATGGAACCAATGTCCCCACTGTCCTTCCATCTACTCTGCACTCTCCATTCGGCCCCACAGCATCCGCTGGTCAAGTGTTGTATGGGCCCTATTGGCCTGACGGTACCTACAATCCATATCGACCGGCCGCCGTTCGAGACAGTCGATTCTTCCCACGAGCTCCTGCAGAAAGATTCCCTCTAGATCACATTCAACACTCCCAAACCCTTCGGAAACCAGCGCGACTTCCAGTTGTACCAAACCATGCTTATTTGCACAATATCCACCCGCAGATGTTGGGTACCCCGTTGAGTTCTGTAGAATCACCCTCGTCAAAATGGAATCTTGCACAGAATATATACCAGAGCCCACAGTATCCCTACCCCTATCAATTCTCGACACCCGACCACTCCATGTCTGGTCCGATGACCGTGACGAGACCGACCTTGGCTTCGCTCATACCGAGTGCGAGCTCGGAACGGATCGCTTTTAGGGATAAGACCTTTGCCTGGGCCAACAAGATATACAAGGATCTACTTCAAACAATCCGATGCAGTACGAAAGATCACCGGACAAATTCATCGGATAGCCGGTCAACGATGAAACCTGCCATCTTCCCGAAGCCGCCGAGGAGAACGGGATCGCATTTCCAGAACGATTCAGCCGACAAATCCACTCGACCACGGGACAATTCGAATCCATTCCTTCGTACAGGGGGTGATCCGTCGATCTATGATACCCCTTCCCGCCCTCAGACCGCCATCTTTAGACCTCAACCAAATCAGTCCGGGCCCCAATTTCAGTCTTCCCTCAACCACACCGAGTCGAACAATCTTCCTGGATACCAGTATCCACCCCGAGACCGAATTCCCGAGGTGCGACAACCCGGTGCCGCGACTGTGCCAGATCTGTATGCTCGACCGCCTTCTTACGAGTCCGCCATCTCGGCGCTGAATACGATGGAATTACTCTGTCAAGAGGCCGATACTCCTTGGGTAGATGGAATGTTGTTGGTGGGATGCCTGGCATACGGACTAGGTAATTATGCCAAAGCTGAAGAGTGGTATCGAGCAGTGTTGAAACAGGACCCCGGTCATATTGAAGCCATGTCCAATCTTGCAGCAACGTGCCATGCTCTGCACCGCCGCGAGGATGCACTTAAGTACTGGTCAGACGCAGTGAGCTTGCGGCCAAGCTACTTTGAAGCAGTCGAACATCTCATCGGACTATTATGCGCAAGTCATCGCGCAAGAGAAGCCGTCAGCGTTATCGAATACGTGGAAAGTACCTTGCGAATACGAAACGAAGACCCCCATGCCTCTTGGGGTGAACTGAGTGATACAGAAAGCGACACTCGAAGCCATACCTCCAGTGTTGCTACGGTTGCTTCCTATGATAATGGTCATTCTGATGTTGACTTCGATTTCCACACTCCAACCGCTGGCACGGGTTCGGAGAGTCAATCACCTGGCTTTGGTTCAAGCGGCTACGCGATCCCCGGTGCAGATAATGGACGTATGCTGGCTCTCATCCACGCCAAAGGCAACATGCTCTATGCGCTGGGTAATAATCATGGAGCGGCGGCGGCATTCGAAGACGCTGTCCTGATCTCCACCGGTCAAAGAAAGCGAGGCATTCGAGGTTTGATCAGCGAGATTCTGCGGGCATGTTTGTGCAGCATTAGGGACCCCGAGTACGTTCGTTCCAAACTTGAAGGCAAGGAACCAATTTTACTGGCGCCCGAGCATGCCGAAGCCACGGCCAGACACATGTTTCCCCCCGAGGGTGACCTACCTGGACTGGAACACGTCACGCCTCCTTTCGCTGTGCAGGCTGCCGTCTCGACCACCAGCAATTCCTTGCTTTCCCTGGCCAAAATATACCAAGATGGCATGTCCAACGCTACCGACATCGGCAGCCTGAGGTCCCCGAGCACACGAGAAATTCTCGCCTTGTACTATCTGTCTCTTTCCCTCCAGCGAAGTCCGTCGACCGCAAACAATGTTGGAATATTGCTCGCAAGTGTTCAGCAGAGCGCCCATCCTGCTCATCTTGCGGATTCAAATTTTTCGCAAATTTCCAACATCCCGGGCGTCGTTGCTGGCAGTGGGATTTCTTTGGCTTTGATGTACTACAACTATGGCCTCAATATCGATCAGAAGCACGCTCACTTGTTCACGAACTTGGGCAGTTTGCTCAAAGACATCGGTCAACTTGGAGCTGCGATCAAGATGTACGAACGAGCCGTGAGTTGTGACGGAAACTTTGACATTGCATTGGCAAATCTTGCGAATGCGGTGAAAGATCAGGGTCGGGTGGCAGACGCCATTGTGTACTACCGACGAGCTGTTGCGGCAAATCCTGACTTTGCTGAAGCCGTCTGTGGACTGGCAACTGCTCTGAACTCCGTCTGCAGCTGGAACGGTCGCGGTGGAATCTGTGCGAGTGATAGATTCCTCGATCGATTACACGTCGACGATAATGGTATGAAGCATGAGCCATCTCAGCCATACGGTTGGATCAATCGTGTGGTTGAGATTGTCGAAAAGCAGCTCAAAGATGGTGAGAACTGGGGATGTGGAACACTAACTCCTAGTGTGATCGAGTCACTTTCACTTCAGCTCAGTCATCACAAGCAATCTCCTCAAGACAACCGTGGGCGAACTCATTTGTCGGAGACTCTGCGTCAAGCTCTTCGATTCTGGTCTGGGCAGAAATGGGAGGGTTCTCGAATCGTCCGGCTGGTCGAACGCGCAATCCGCCAGATTGGATGGCAGTGGTACCAAGATCGTTACAAAGAGCACAAAGAGTACCCTGCACGCAAATACACGCGTCCGCAGCTACCAAATTCTCTGTCTCCTCCTTCGGCACCCACGGTTCTGCCTTTCCATACCTTTACCGCACCGCTGTCGGCAAAACAAGTTCGACAGATATCGCAAAGAAACGCCTTGCGGATATCTGTCTGTACTCTTCGATCCGCCTGGCTTCCGGCAACCGTATTCCCACCGCCCTCGCCACCGAATCCGTGTTTGAATGTTGGCTATGTCAGTTCGGATTTCAACAACCATCCATTGGCACATTTGATGCAATCGGTCTTTGGTCTTCATGATCCATCCCGAGTCCGAGCCATCTGTTACGCGACAACTGCCTCGGACGGTTCCGTTCATCGACAACAAATCGAACGGGAGGCTCCAGTGTTCTATGATGCATCTGCTTGGAGCGTTGAGCGACTGGTCCATCAGATCGTCAAAGACAACGTCCACATTCTCGTCAATCTCAATGGATACACTCGAGGTGCGAGGAATGAGGTCTTTGCCGCTCGACCTGCACCAATCCACATGTCTTTCATGGGCTTCGCCGGCACTTTGGGAGCTGAATGGTGCGATTATGTCTTCGCTGATACCATATCTGTTCCCCCCAACACACTCGCCCCCTGGCGCCGAAATGTGGACATTGAGGACCGACTGAGACCCGATTCACTGGTTGAAGGTGCCGAGGACTGGGTGTACTCCGAGAATGTCATCTTTGCTCGTCACTCGTTCTTTTGCGTGGACCACAAACAGAGTGCACCTGATTCAGAACAGGGACCCCCCAATCTCAAAGACCCGGCGAGTCGAGAAGCGGCCTGGGAACAGGAACAAGCAAAGCGCTGGAAGCTCCGGAAAGAACTGTTCCCTACGTTGTCAGATTCAGCGGTCATCCTGGGCAATTTCAACCAACTGTACAAAATTGATCCTGCTACGTTCGATATGTACCTGCAGATTCTCCAGATGGTCCCCAACGCGATCCTGTGGTTACTCCGTTTTCCCGATCTCGGAGAGCAGAATCTTTTGCGGTATGCACGTGATTGGACCAACCCAGAAGTTGCGTCTAGAGTTGTGTTCACCGATGTGGCCGCCAAAGGGGCGCATATCACGCGTGCCTCGGTCGTGGATTTATTTCTGGACACGCCAGAATGCAACGCTCACACCACGGCTGCTGATGTGGTCTGGTCTGGCACTCCGATTGTGACATGGGGCAAATGGAAATATAAAATGTGCAGCCGCATGGCAGGAAGCATCGTCGCAAGCGCATTACCCGAGGGTCGCGAAGGAGACGATGCCCGCCGCGTTTTACTTGTCAAGAGCGAGAAGCAATATATTGACACCGCAATCGCACTTGCGAAGGGACTCAGGTATCCTGCAACCGATTTGGCCGGACAGAAGGTTGGCAGAGGCAAGGGCCGTCTGGTGGATCTCCGCCGTATGCTATGGGAAGGGCGTTGGAATAGTCGACTCTTCGACACGAAGCGCTGGGTGCGTGACCTAGAAAAGGCGTATTGGAAGGCTTGGGAAAACTGGGAAAAGGGCGAAGGTGGTGACATTTGGTTAGGATGATGGATTTTTTTTGATGGATTTGAAAGTCGGATTGGACCTGGCACCGGGAACAGGGTTCGCTCCAGACGCGACGAAAGCAAGCGAAAACAAAAGGACTTTTCCAAATGCAATTACTTGATACATGGCAACACTATTTCCCCTGAAGAGAGATTCACGGGAACAGACGACGTCGACGAATTTACGAACAATTGAATTGAACGGAACGGATCTGGATCTGGATCGCTGGGCACCGGCACAACAAGCCGGGAAGGCACCGCATGGTACGGGCATGGGAAATGCACCGGGAAAAGAAAAGTCTCTTCCTTTCATTTCTTCTGGTTCTTCATTTCTACTTCTAGGGGGAACGCGGGTGGTTCACTTCATTGGGTTGGAGATGGAGAAGCCGGAGAAGGGGGTTATTAAGGGAGCAGGCAGGCAGTGTCGCTATTGTGTGTGATAAAACGAATTTCCTTGTTTCTTCGATTCTCACGTTGTTGCTTCTACCTAATTGCTGAGGCCGTCCATTGAGCACCGCAGCCTCGCGAGAGCGACAGCCCCAGAGATTTCTATCTTTCATTCGTCCTTTGCTGTACAGCAAAAATCCCTGAAGCAGCTCCCTTCTCGAGAAAATCAAGTCAGCAACGGAACATCCCAGCCTTGGTATAGAATTCTCTTTCGAATGTTCTGATACAATTGCGGCGAGACTTTGATCCCTATAAATGATATCGATCGATCACAGCTTGGACATTTAGCAGAGGTGCACATCCCTCTCTCCATCCCACCTGTTCCTGCTTGACTTCATTCAAACGCTTGCCTCTACCAAACAGCAGTTCGAAGAGATCATCGATTGCTGGCCAGCTGGCTGACCTTAACGTCCTCTTCTTTGCCGATCACAGCTCTGTTCACTCAACCCCTGAGTCAAGGAATGATCGAGTGCTGAAAGGTTCGAATTCGATTGTTCTCAGTCGAAGGGTTCAGCGCAATACTTAACCGAATAAATACACGTAATTCCTGTCACCCCCCATAACTCCTGACGGGACAGGGAAGTCCACTTCTGATCCTCAATCCTCGATCAGCAAATGAAGCGAGTGTCCTACTCGGCGGTGCCTGGAGAAGGAACAAATATGTACATTGTAAACTGAAACCCAAAGACCAAAAGAGAAAGGGAAAAGAAAAGAAAAGGAACATGCAAAGCCAGGCAAGGGGAAGAAACAGGACAAGAGCGAAAAATCAAGTCCTCAGCGCCTCAGCTGTTTGCTCTCTAATGCGATTTGTGAGAAATTCTCTATACCTTCAGCACAGGCAACACGGACAGAGGTAGTATTTGCACATATCAAGAGAGCGTGATAGAGCCTTGATCCTGTCAGAAACGATTCGTTCTTGTCTAGCTAAGCAGAAACTCCTGTAGACATGTTTTAAACATGAATGAACACTAAACTGGATGTTCGTGCTCAGAGAAGTCACATTGTATTCGACCATTGGACTCAGCGTCGCTGCTCAGGAACCAAGACTTGACCATTGAGCTCAAGGAGTTGAGGAATAGCAAGCGTGCTATGGCTGGCAGTGCGCCGAGGATGAAAACGTGACACATTCCAAAGAGGATGAGCTGAGGAATTGGTTCAAATCAAGAGTCTACGCTCGTGTTCCGTTATGCAACAATTAATCTGACTGTATATGAGAGAAGCTGCTACACAATGTCCAAATACCGGGTCTGTGGCACATGGCCTGAGCATAGACGTAGACCGTAGATTGCAGAAGAATATAAATGGGTTTCTGAGAAACTTGATTCCCACGGCCTGCCGTGTGCGCTGAGTCCTGCCCAATTCATCAAAAGTCTGTGATCCGTGAACGCAAACGGAAAACGAGTCCATCTTCATTGCTGTTTGTCCCTGACAAGAAGGCCATCGTTTATTATGGGCGATATATTTGGACCACCTGAGACATAAGTTAACATCTATGAAGGTATTTTGCGGATCAGAAGAACAGAATGAAAGAGGAGACCAAGAAATGACCTGGAGGCCATCGAGGCCAAAGAGGGAGGATTGAAGACCCATCAAGCGCCTATCATCCAACGAAGGGGGGTAGACACCGAGGAGTTTCAGCAACAATGCTCCTTGGGCATTGATATTACGTCTTTGCTTCCCACAGCGGACGCATCACATCGGAGGCTCCGGAGTTGTCAACGTAAAAGGTGATGAGACCAGCGTCCTGGAAGACTGTTGACTGTGTAGCCACACGTGGAGAGGATGATTCGACGTGAATTTGCCTGTGTCATCGCGACATTTGACAAGAAAACATATTTCCAAAAATTTCGATTGGACACGAACCACCCAGCATGAGTCTACTGGTAGTTTCGAAGTTCATCAGACCAGCACAAAGGGGACGCAACGAGGTACAAGGTTGTCAGAAGCCGCAGTCTGTTCAAGCACGTCGAACAGACAAGACAAGGCGACATCTCTTCGATGGTGGTATGGAGCTCACCAGGATGAATTCCCGAAAGCCCCACTTGACAGGTCGACATTTGGCCCCGAAGGTGGTTTGACTCCATCCGAAGTTCCATGACTGATGAAGGGAAGGTTAGGTCATGTCAGCATGCCGGTAGTTACCAAACCATATCCACTCAATGTCTCAATTTGCAAAGAATCATGGATGAGCGTCGAGAAAGATCAGAACAAGGCTTTATAGACGCCGCTTTACAGCGTTCGCGGCAGGTCTCTTGTTGGAATAGGATTGCCGATGATTTAATACGACAATTCAATTGATGGGCGGCTGTTTCTCGCTGACGCCGCGAAACGGTCGCACTGAATGCTAGCGGATAGAGAGCTTTCTTATCGACATCGACGATCGCTGCAAGTCGACGCTTTGAGCGAAGTCTCTGTCGGAGACAACTTTGAACAACAGCATCGATCGACCGATCAATCTCTCCATCTGTGACCTCGCTGCTGATGGTGTCAATCGTTTCGAAGTGACATTTTACTCTTGACTCAGTCGGGGTACGGCATCCCCCCGTTGAACGTATCTCAGTATGCTTGGATTTCGCTTCGCCTCCGCCACAGGATGTTGATTCAGATGTACTTGGGAATATCAAATAAGGAAACATGAGATTTCTCTGTCTTGGATGGCCTGACATAATTTTATGAGCATTTTTTCGGCTGATCGCGTTGGCAAGAAGAAATTCGACATATCGACGGCGTGGAAGTTTCTTTCCCATCGTTCCGGTTAGAGAACTCCTCGAAGATAGGGTAATCCACTGAATCATTCAATATAGTAGGACATTGGTAATGAAACCAGTTTTCCAAGCCTGGGAGAAGGCTGTCGAACAAGGAAAAGTGGGTATAATAGTTGTCGCTATTTACGCCGGGGAGCTGAAAGTCGCTGAAGTCGTTAGCTTTTGGTTGAAGGGCCCGACCAGAAGCCTCATGTCATTGATGGATTTCGTTGACTCACCTTGGAGGTTGTCAGGTCCTTCAACTCCGTGTACGTACCTCGTCCACACGATTTACGTAAAATTCTGTGGCTCGACAAATCCTACTAGCAAAGACAGCCGCAGAAGAAAAAGATGCAAGCATCCAATCTGAGAAACCCACCGGAATACATACTGTTGGAAGAAAGAAATAAATGGCGACAAGGTTCGAGATACGACGGCAAATCCAAATCAGATCCTCTCTGGCAAAGGAAAGCGCCGTCCGGTGTGGTGATCCAAGGCAACTCTTGCCTGCACAGTGCAGACTGGCAAAATTTCCACGATGGACTGAAGGAGCACCCGAAAGTTAAGAGATTACCCTAGGAAAGCAGGGTGCTGGTAGCCTATGTGCAACCGGAGAAGTCCATGACTTGATCGAGAAGTAGTGAGGGTTCTCCCATGAAGGGACACGGCTGGTGATGCAGCAGCATGGCTGACTTGAAGCTGGGATGTCAAACATCCATTTGGAAGAAATCTCAAATAGGCTGGCTCCATGCAAGGACGGCTCAGCAGCGATAGGATGTGATGCAAGAAGCTACACAGGGAAAGCAGCCTGCCTAAAGAGATGAGATGTAAATCTGAAACTGGTAAGAAGAATTTCGGATGTCACCAGCCAAAGTTCGGATGCCTGATTTGGACAGCGTCCGCTCCTTCATGCACCATGCACAGATAGTCAACGGATGTGCACACAAAGTAGATGGAGCAGAAGCGAAATGCAGTATTTTTGGTAAGGATGACTTCGGTTTCAGGTAAGAAAGATTGGTGAGATGAGATCTTCAAGGAACACCTGGAAAAACCGGTATTGTGTGACAGTGCCGCGAGCCGAAGTTTAGGCCTTCTCAGAAACTGTCATTGGATCGCTTGAGGGATTGGAGAGTTCTGGCTTGAGAGACGGATGATCTACGCTGAGATCTCGAGAGGAGATTTGCATGGAGGCTAGTTGAGAGAAAGAGACATCGAGGCCACGGAGAGAAGAAGCGCGTGGAGCTCGGAGGGTTTGACTTCAAACCGGCAACGAGGCAATTGGACCCGTTCGGGCATTTGCCGTTAACGTGCCGCCAGTTGTCAGGTGTCAAGGCGGGACGCGTGAAACGTTATCCTGCGACAAGGCGCAAACAGCAACATCATGGTCTGTCCAAACGAGGCTCGAGGCAGACCTTTACCACACATTGAACCCCCTGTTAGATGTTTGATCGTTTCCGAGGCAGCGAATCACCTCGCGCATGATATCGTTCGTGTTCAGATAATCCCCTGGTGAAGACCGAAGGATTTTGGGGAGGGGCTACACGGATGTATTTCCTGGGGTACTAAGCTAGAGACCGCCGGATTCTTTAGTGGCGTTCAAGAGTGGCTATGGGCTAAGCTTGTCCATGGGGATACCCGGACCCATTCAACCGGGGAGCCAGGAGTCCGAAGTAGACTCAGGGGATTGTTTGTTTGGGGCCGTCTTTGATTGATTGAAGAATGGAAGCGCGAGTGGAAGAGCAGCAACAGGCTGGATCAGCAAGATCGTCCAGAAAGATTCAGAGAGCAACTGCATAAGTTGATAGACCAATGCAAGCCTCAACTAAAAAAATTTCCTGATGTCTGAATAAGAGCGAGGGATCCGGCTAGCAGGTTCCAATCAATCAGACGATGCCGCCTCCGACAACAAGTCGCAAAGGGGCAACCAGATCGACAAGGCTCCGTTACAACTCATGCACCTAAGTCGTAACCAATGTCGGTGTAGCATGGTTGATCAATCCATGTTGACTCGTGGCTATGCTAGTGATCGCATGAGCATTTCCCTGTCTTGCCTGATGGGGTAGATGCAAAAGGTTTACCGACCCCATGTAATAGGGAATAGGAGGTCGGTACGGGAAGTCTAGAGCTACCCACCAGGTCTGGGAACCCTTCATAACGGATCATCCCGTCTTGTATACCGTACACAGGGGTCGCTTTGTTTTCTGCTCACAACCCTGGGTAAGAACCAGCGGGGACGCAACACTGTTCGATGAGCAAATGGCAACATAGTTTCCCTCGTGCATCCTGGAGAATGAGGGGTGACCTCTTTTAAGGGCCTCAAGAGGGCCCACCGAGAAACTTCTTAGAGCGGGTTTCAGGTAGAACGGCTTCAGGGTGTGGCGGCGTTACATAACATTTCGTAAAGTGCCCCTGTAACCCGCTTTGCTTCAAACTGTTTTGGGGGGCCAGGAGGCTTTCCTGCGACCACTGTCTTTATTTTTGCTCTGAGACTCTCGAAGGCCAGTCTTTGATCCGCTGAGGGACAAGGCTAGTGAGTCCAGCGGCCCTCCTTCAGAAGCAGGAAAAGTTACCAGAGCAGTGTATGCTAGATTGGACGTCTGCCTATCGGGTCAAAAATTCAAAAACGTGAAAACCATGACGATTGATGTGGCCAAGACGGCCATGCGAAGTGATTTCCAAAAACAAACCGTTGTGTGGAATAAGGGCGGCTCGTCTTCTTATGAGGCGGTACCTCAGGCCCAATGGGATCTCGACGCATTGTCAGAGCAGATCATTGTCGCAAATCTTTCCACTTTTTGCAGTTCATCGCCATAGAAGAGATCACTATGTCTTTCTCAAATCGCGAGGACCACACTCTCTGCCTGTTTCCGAGACAAAGACGGCATAAGTCTTGATCCGCCATCAGTTTGAGTGTTCTCAGGACTTTGTGGAGTGCCATATCTTGGGTCACTTCGACCAGTTGATCAGGACTTTTATGAGAGTGGAATGGATTAGTCTCCCGGGCGCATGGGAATGATACCCAGCAAATGTTGAAGCAATCTGCTTCAGTTGTTTTCCGGACTCTCTGCCTCTTTTGTCTTAAACAGGCTCCGACGTCTCCGACCCAAAGCCCATCGGCATTGCCACAAGAATGGAGACGGGCGCGTATGAAGTAAGTGGTAGTTCCCCTGGGTCTGGATTTGTTGCCGTGTGCCACCTCTTGGCTTGTCAGGTTTGATTTCAACGGTCTCCAAGGCGATTCGACAACAAGCGAGCTGGGCCGACAGAGTGGATTAGCACCCACTGTAACAAGCCAGCTGAACGCCTGAAGGCTTTGGGCGGAATGAGATTGGGATCCTGGAGGGGTTAGTGCTGGCTAGGCGCTTGGTCCTAGAGCGGTCGGTCTTAGGGGCTTTCTGGGTCGGTAGGCCTAAACAAACTGGCCAAGGCTGGATGAATTGGTGAGGGACGACCATGTCTGAACTCTGAAGCAGTCGAAAAGCGTGCCAGGTATCGTTGCTGTCGGACAAGGCGCAAGCAACGGGCATTGAAGTACGGTAGAAGCAGACCTGTAAAACCTTCGCCGTCGACCTCTGCCGGCCAACCGGGCCAGGATCTGTGACCATCCGCTAGGGAGGCCCTGGTGAATGGCAGCTGTCTCGCAGCAGCTTCCCCCCACAGGCCACCCATGGCATCACCCCTTGTCGGCTCCCTTGTCATCTCTCGCTTGATGACCGCTTAGACCGAGATTTGAGGACGTTAGTGGCCCTCGGCGATCTAGTCCGTTGCTCCTCTTTGATATCTAGTCTTGCCATCCCTGTTCTCTTTCATGATTGGCTGCTTGTCGGCTTCACCTGTTGATGAAGGCCACTACCGCCGAATCCGCCCAGTGCGAGACGAAGACGAAGGAGAGAAAGTTGATGGCTCTGTTATTGAGGAATTTCAAATTTTCAAATGAGCTCTGCTCGGAGGCATTGATTTTTGCTGGGTGCGTTGTGCCCGATGACGAAAGGGAATACGCCGTTGAGGAGTCGGACGTAACCGGGACCCTGAATGTGGGGGAGAAATGCCCAAGAGCACGCGGCCTGAATTCATCTAGAAGACCCGGCGAACCGCTTGCTAGAGTCTTGATTGTAACTGCATTTGTGTGACGGCGGAAGGATGGTCTATGTCAGGAATGGAGGGTGTATTCTGGAGAAGGCCTGATCACAAATTCGGTGAATATCTAGTCCACCAGCCAATTGTCGTTGTCGTTATCATTATGTCGCCGCAAAAATATACCAGAAAGCCTGCCCGTGTCAAATAGTTCACACATCAAAATCCCACGAATGATTGCTATATCTTTCCTGCCCCTGCTGTCCCGCTCTGCACTGCTTTGTCTGCGTTGATCTCTGTTTCCAAACGTGAAGTCCTGTCCCGTCTTCCCCCTGTGCCCATGTCGGCCTGATCCCTCTGAAAATACTGTACATGGATATTTTTCCCAACACCCAACACCCAAGCATAACACACTTGATCCTCTCTTGCATGTGCTTGTGGGTACCGTAGGATCGCTCATAGTATGCCTGACCTTGAGGCCTCATACCTGAGGTGCTGCGATATAGTACACGTGTTCAAAGTGAACAAACCCCCTTTCTTTTCCAAAGGGGGAAAAGAAAAGAAAAGAAGAGAGAATAGAAGAAAAATAGAAAAGAAAAGAAAATATTCGTGGGAGATATTCGTGTCCTCCTTGGAGACGTCACGATGCTCTCCAACCAGAGCAGGACGTGTAGCCTTATTCAATTAGCCGGGCCACATTCATCCGAGCATCTCTTCCGCCCAGTATATCCATTTTCGGAGGCTGTTGTATTCGGTGTGCTCTGTCTTCGAGCCTGTTGGATTCAGACAAACTCGTCGCCGGCTCGGGAAGAGCGAGATGGTGCAGTAACCCGGGAAGGGCCACAACATTGGAGGGTGATAACTCTGCACTTCCCACCGGTGAGCATGTTTGCATGTATACATCGTCTCGTCGCTGCTCAGTTCCGTCTATCTTGCCCTCTGTGAAATGGCCGGTGCTACTCCGCCCGGACATGTCGGACAGCAGTTGCACTGTAGGTGCACTTGTGGCAGGCATTCTCGGTCGAGGCGAAGGGATTGTCTTTGGTGAAATTGAACAGTTCGACTGGTTGTCTGAAACCAAAGACGGTGCTTGCTGATTTGACGAGGTGTGTGAGATTTCTGTCGCCGCAGGTGAAGGCACAGGAGGTTCAAAATTTAGGGGTGGCAGCTGCCAGTCGCGACGCTCCGCGGATCGCGCCCCAGGCCAAGATGGTTGCTCAGGGAGAGAAGGCTTCCTCACTTGGTGGGAACCGAATCCGGGTGAGAGAGTGGGTCGAGTGTTGTTAGCTGACGGATCATACGTCGAATAAGATGAAGACTTGAAATGAGCATGGCCAAGGAACCGTGGTCGTTCTGTCTGGTGATGAACACGATAACCAGGTTCTGGGTTGAAGTGTTGGGTGCCAGTGAATCCAGAATGGTTCGGAGTAAGTTCAGGTTTGTGAAAGGGCGGCGGAATAGAATAAGGAGCTCCGTAGGCTTCTCGTGTAGAGGCAGTTTGGTCTGGTAGACATAGCTGTCGCGAAGGTGCTGATGCGGGAATAGGCTGCGTCCGATATCCCACCATTTTCGAACCGCCATTCTGCTGGGCTGTATTTCTCTTTCGACGATTCATACTGCCGTTCCACCAATTCTTTACCGCATTGTCACTGCGATTCCCCAAACGCCGCGCAATCTCAGCCCACCGCTTGCCCATTTCTTGGACGAGTTGCTCAATCACCTCGCCTTCCTGTGCCGAAATAGGCTCGTGGCTGAGAGAAGGTTTGAGATTTTGATGATATCGTTCTCTACATTGTTTCGGCGATCGATGTTGCATGTGTTGTGATATACGGACCCAATTGTTCAGACCTTGCGTCCGGACGAGATGCAGCAGTGAGGCATCTTCCTCTGGTAACCAAGGACCGCGCCGACTAGATCGAGACATGGTGCGTTGATTGGTATTCCAGAAGACACGTCACCACTCAATTGTGCTTGACATAGATGTTTGGGTCGACGACACTGGAAGATGGCTGGCTGGCTGACAAGGTGGTGATTTCGGAAGTCCCTTGAGGGTACCGGGTCAAAAATTCAAGATCCTGGGAATGAATTGAGACCGGGTTTGGAAGCCTGGAAACACCTCCAAGTTCAGATTGCTATTCCATTGTAGCGGAATAATATTGCAGGAGAACTCTGAACTGGCGATGAAATGGCTTCTCGGTCGAACCAACGGTGACGGATTAGGTATGCGTAAGTGATGACGGTCCTCAACTGATCTGACATCAATGGAATTTTGGTGAAACGGGCTCCCTAAAAGAAGCTTTCAATGACTGCCAGCAACAAGGAGGGCTGACTGGGAAAAAAGGTTGCGTCCAGACTGTTTGAGGGGCGAGTGATAAAAGGTTATCCTGGATTACTCTTCCTGGGACGGTCTTGATCTCGGAAAGACCTGGAACCAATGCAACATACAGCTGTGATGGGATACAGCTCAAAAATGCTGATCGTTAACTTAAGAAAGAGGGGTGTCGAGATCCAGTTGAGCATGTAGTACGTACAAGTGGATGTAGGGTAGAAGGATAAGGAAAGAGGCGTTGGAAGCAAGAGCTAGCATCGCGCCATGAACAGCCATTTGGAAGCCATCAGCGTCCCATTTCGGAAGCCAGGCTCACTCGGTGTGGATGGTTGAGGAGAGGTAAATCCCGAGTTTAGGCCCATGTCGCGGTGACTGGGGCGCGATGGTCAGAGTCTAGGAGGAAAAAAGTGCGTGCCTGCACTATCATCGGCTGCCAATACACCAAAAACCTTTAAACCAGCATGGAGCCAAATGGGATCGGAGGGGATAGGGCGGCGCGCAGGGAGCAGCACTAGCCGGCTCCATCTTTCTTCATTTTGTTCGAACCCAGATGGGTGAAGGGAATCGCAGAAAAGAACTGCAAGGCCCGTGTAAATCGACCTAAAAACGCCAGAGCTCCACTGGATCGATCTACGGGCAAGGGTCAACCCCCCAGTCCAGATGATCATGACATTTACCCAGACAAGCATGAAGGAAGGGTGCTTGACAAATTCACCCTTGCAAGTCCAGGGCCCAGAGGTTCATGTGTGCTTCGCACTGTCATTTGCAAGACAGTGCTAAACTTTCTTCACCACCTCGATTGTGATGCCTTGGACGCGTCGTGGAAATTTTTTTTTTTTTTGGTTGGGGGAATCATTTTATTCCTGTAGGCGTTGGACGACAGAAGAGCGAAGATGTACCAGAGCTGTTTCATGCAGGGTAGGGGAGGAGGCCATCGCGGTTCATGACAATGGTTCCATGACCGGGGAACGTATTCTATGGTTCATGTCGACGACGATAGCTGGGCATCCCAGGTTTGTCAGGCACAGAGATGCGTCTCTTCGGCGCAGTTCGATGACTGGGCAGCGTACCAGTTGGCTCAACCCCTGAGCCGGAATTATGGTGGTTCTTTGGTGGCCCATGGAACAACCAATGTCAAAATGTGAGAGCATTGAGGTCACAGGCGTGTGTGGGGCCCACTTGCCGGGCAAAAAGACTGGCCTTAATCTGGTAGCCTCGGTGGCTTGACGTCTGAGTGGACCAGGACCCTTTTTCACGTCAAACATTGAGGAACTAAATTGCGACTGCCACGGCTTGCGGCCGGAGCGTTTTAACCGTTGTGGCCCCTGCTCGCTCCCAACGCAATTCGACCACGGATTAGCTGCAGTGAAGCGGTGGAGGGGGTTTGGGGAAGCCAATGGCAGCAAGGTCCGCTGGGGATTGCGATCGAGTCCGGATCTGACGCATGCGGGACCCAGCGAGGAGCCTATGAGAGCAAAGGGGAGGGACTGAGACTTTTGCTAGCGGCGACTCGAGACGACGCATCTGGCCGGTGAGACAGGACGCCATATTCATTCATGTCCCAAACAAGCTGTCGCGGCCGTCGAGATGGGGGATTTCCCTTGCTCGCCGCTTGTACACAGAGTTTGTCCAAACTCTGGTTCGGGCAGATCATCGACACCCCGAGGTCAGGCGTGTTAGATCTGTGGTCGTAGCTAGGCCTGTCCAGTGGGGGATCATGTTGATTCGTCCAGCAGAGGCATCTTTCGAGCCCGTGGGTTTGTGTGTTTGCAGGTCAAGATCCATTTTCCAGCGCTGCCTCCCCATTGGCAGTCCTCACGCCGATGACTTTCAAAGCTACTGGGCCAAACGTTCATAGTATCATCAACCTTGCTCAGACTCAGCTGCTATGGTCCCCTTCCAGACCGAGCGTCCAATGGAATTATTAAAGGCTAGTCGTTTCCAATATGGGAGCAGAGGAAAGTATGTTACGCTCACAGACCAGGTCATGTCGTGGTGAGCGCCCCAACTTGATGGAAGATGCCGGGCGGCGTTTTGATGAATGAGTATCTACCTTGTACCCTGCTTCCCAGGCTTCACTAGTTGGTAACGAGGGCAATGTTTTGGCTCTTGAGTCAAACAATGGCGGCTGCAAAGCTAGAATAGCAGTCTGGAGATGAGCACTGACCAGTTTCTTTGTTCGTCAACCCCCAAGCTGGGCACGATGGACACCGGATGGCCGGTAACGTGCGTCGACTGTCAAAGTCCACCAAACGTAACAGTTGGGATGCGGTGGGCGCGTGAAAGGCATAAAGCGGCGTCTGCATGAAGGGCTTTTTCGATTGACGAGTTGCAGCAGAAACTTGACAAGTTTTTGTCACTAGACGCGAGGCGAGACTCGAGAGTTCAATCGGCGATGGAAGGCATTCGGTGGAGCTGACAGTTACGGAGAGGGGAGGCGAATACGAGGACATCCCAGCTGGAAAGAAGCCGGGGTATGCAGCGGAGATGAAAGATTTTCGGCTGCTTTCGAGCTAATCCACGGTACCTGCCCATACTTCGGGTGTGTACGAGGGTGGGCTGTTGTTGAGAGTACTATTTGGTACTTTCTACCCAGCATTGGCAAGGAGAAAAATTGGCAGATTGCAAGAGGAAGTGGGTGGCAGTGCGGGAGAAAGATTACGTGAGAGGGCCAGACTGCGCAGGCAACTCCCTAACTACCGTTGGTACAGTACAACTTTGCATTTCACTTTCATCTTCAATTCCATCTTCCAACTCCCGTTCGGTCCTCTCCCTCACTCCTTTCTCCTTGGCGTATTTTTATCCCTCTTTCTTTGCATTCCGTCTCGGGTATCTTCACCTCAATTGCATGCCTCTGGTGGAGTTTACCGGCCAATTTGCAGCCACCATCGACTAAAACGTACTGTGTAACCAAGCGCCCATGTACTAGCAGTCCCAGCATGAAATTCCTCCCCTGCGGCTCCTCCAACCGAATGCAGCCTCCCGTCTCTCATCCATGTTGTCGGGACGCAAAAGCACGCCAAAAAGAAAAAAAAAATATCGGTGACTGCGGCTGCTAATTACGGGACATCTCCCAATTCCAAACCCTGCTTTCTGCTACTAGGGCCTGTTCCAACCTCTCTTCCATAACCTCTCCCCAAACCCATGCGGCGGCTGCGAAGCGTGTAGGGGGTGTGACCATGCAGGGGATTATGTTGCCACACCGCAGAAATGGGATTGATACGTTACTTATCAAGGTAGTCTGCAACGTAAAGTACGTGGTCACAATTATTAGCTGGGATCCAGGGACGTAGCTGGTGGGCGAAAAAGTCAATTGAGTTTGAAATGCGTGGCAGCTTTGACCAACAACCTTTCACAACCCGGCTCTGACAACTCTTTGGGACGCCCTGGGGGGGAGGGGACCCTCTCGATCTGGCCAAACGTTCCAAGCAAAAGAACATGCGTCTGGGTCTTTTATGGGGGAGGTTTCCATTGTCGACTCTATCTAGATGGCATGCGGTCTCTTGTCGTCTTGCCATCTACTGCTACAAAGTGGTGCGACATTCTGCATTTTTGAAAACAGGCAAACCCAGTGTCGAGCAAAAAGCGTCTCCGTCCGCCGGAATTCCTGCGCTGCGACAAGTGATGCGGCAAGGGTCCCCATCCCGGCGTTGGATCGACGCCACGCCAATGGCTTGTTCGTATTCAAGACAGAACAACATCCCCGTGTTCCGAACTTCTAACCACCTGGTAAGGCTCTTGGTCATAGGTGAGTTGTGATCTGACAGGGAGAGAGCATTTGACAAAAATCTGTGTCAACGCCCACGTCTTCAACATTTTCTCTGGTCAATCAATTCATCCACCCCGTTCTGGTAGGCCTCTGAGTTCTGCAGCTCTGGACGTCACGTGGCCAAATAATTCGGCCTTGTGGCCGAATTTTGAAGTGTAAATAGGATTCGACAAGAGGCTGGAGGATTTCTTTGCCAGCGTAGAGTATCGAGGTCTCCAAGCGCAACGATTCTCGCTGAATTTTGACATCCCATCTTTCTGATCCCGGGATCTGCGTCTGCCACACGTGGACCAGCCGGTGTCGAATGTCTTTACAGTAGAGTGATCTGGTCTCCGATGTGAATCCGACCATTGGTTCTCCCGCGAGCCGATTGAAGATCGACGAATACAGTAGTCTTCCAGGACAATACCAGTGCGACGTAAAATCAGACCTTCATTCCACCACCTCATCAGTGCGGTCGAGTCCGAGTCAGGCCACGTTGACAAACTCTCTCTTCTTGCCTCGATGCAGGTCGAACGGCGGACCGGTCTGCCACGTCGACTCATTGACATAATCACTCTCGCCTAATTCCCGCACTCGGCGACCCAGAACTCTGAGTCCGGCGAGATTGAAACCGAGATCCTGCTTCTGCTTCTGAAGAGTTTGCCGCAACTTGTCCCGCACCTCCTCGAGCATCAATTTCATCACCCGGCTACTGACGATTTGCTTCTGGTGGGTCTTGAGCATGAAGAATAGGATCCGACATGTCAACGGGATGCTTCGTCCTTCCTCCGCCCAGAGAGCAAGAAATGTGAACAGTGCCGGGAGTTGGGAGAAAGAGATGACAAGAAGCGCATCCTGAAGAGATGCGGACGGTATTTTTTGGAAGACACTCAACACATAGACCGAAGCTGCGACATTATTGTTGGCCAGGAAGACAGCGTCTCGTTGAGGGAGTGCGACTCTCGGGTTCGTTTGCCTTGTTTTTTCGTATTGCTGCATTAGTTTGAGGTCGTCCAAGCCCACCTCGAGCGCCTCTGCGATCTTCTCCCCAGCCATCAGTGTTTGCGCAGTTGGTCTCCCGGCCGCCGTTGCTTCGATGCCGTCAGCCTCGCCGTCAATTTGTTCTGCATCATTTTCAAGAGAGGTCAACAGAGTATTCTCGTAGAGTTCTTCGAGTTCCTTTTCCCGTTCTTCCTCGAGAAATATCTGCTCCTCGGTCTGCTGCCATATCCTGATGCTTTTGTCGTGACTGGCGCTAACCAGAAAATCTCCTGAATGAGCTATCGCCATTGCCCAAATTTCTCCGTGGTGACCGTCTAGCCTTTGAATTTGCTCGAACTTATCGGCGTCATAGTACTGGATGACTTTGTCCTTGGATGCCGAGAAGAAATGGTGACCATTTCCTTCGTTATCGTTGGGGACGAAGAGAACCGAGAGGATGCTGTCCTGGTGGGCAAAGAAGGCCTTGTGGCAGTCACCAAAGTCCAAACCCCACACTCGAACATTCTTGTCCGCACTGGATGTAACGATCAGCTTACTGTCATAGCTGATGTCCATGTTCAGAACGGGCAGTTTGTGTCCATAAAGAGTCAGGAAAAGCTTGAGCGAATCCACAAAAAATACCTTCACGGTGTTATCGAGAGTGCTGACCGCCAGGAGTTTCCCGTCGGGTGAGAAGCAGACACTCAATATGTCGTCGGCGACCTTCAATGTTCGCGAATGTACAAGGGTCAATTTGGCATTCGTTCGGGTCGTTCCCAAAACCTCTTCCTGAACCACCTTGAACTGCCAGAATTTCGCGCTTTTGTCGGCTGATCCCGTGACTAGGGATTTGCCGTCCGGGCTCACCTGCAGCGACCAAATATCTTGTTCATGAGCGTTGACAGTCTCGAGCAAATTCGACGCGGCAATGTCAAACACTTCCAGAGTGCCCTCTCGAGTCCCCACCACGACGATTTTGTCACCGGGCAGGAAAGCCATGCAAAGAGCGTACCCACAGTCCAGAGTGCGCAGACACGTTTGTGTTCTGGTATTCCATATTTTCAAGCTACCATGGGAGGCCGTTGCAAGCATTCTATCGTCCGAACTCAAAGCGACACAGCGGATGTCTGAACGGTGTCCAGGCATGTCCACCGAGAGAGTCCGACCATAGTCGGGCGCTTCGTTCGATTTCTTCTTGTCCGATGCCGTGATGTCGAAGAGCTCCAGCTGATTGTTCGAGGTAGCCACCAATATCTGAATGGATTTCCCGGACTTTTGTCGAGCCCAGTCCATCGATCGAACTTTTCCTCCGGTTCGTACAATAACATATGGGACAAATATGTCTGCAGCGGCGGCGCTTGAGATCTCGGTCGAGGTTTCTGCGTCGTCGACGAGGTCCGCTCCCAGATCCACATCCGCAGCGGTCCCTCCTTTTTCTTTTCTTCTCCTGCGCTTCCGGGTCAGTATTCTTCGTACTTCACTTTCGGAGCGGATGCGGAACAGTTCAATGGCTTTGTCAGAACCATGTACCGCGATGAAATCTCGACGGGGATGGAAGCTGACCGCCAACGGTCGATCTCGGCCATGCCGGTATAATGTCCCACGCTCTTGGAGAATATTGTGGCCTTCTTGGTGGCTCGTCCTCAGCTTTTGCTTCATCACAGATGCGTTGATCGACCACACCTTAAGCTCTCCATCGTTGCCCGCTGTTATGCAGCCACCGCGCTCTCTTGTGAGACCCAATGCCCAACATTCTCCATTCGTTTGCGTTACATGGGTTTCGATACAGTGCTGTGTAGAAAGATCCCACAATTTGATTAGGGCGTCCTTACTGGTAGAGAGGAGGAAGTTGTCCGAGGCCGGGTTCTCGTGTGCGCCTGGTGGGGAGCGGTCTTCCAATGAATCAGTGTCGTCTCCTGCAAGGAAGTTGAGCGAAGTGATTTGATCCTTGTGCCCTCGTAAACGGTACAGGCCTACTTCTGCAACCAAGTCCCACACTATAATGTCGGTGTCTTTGGAGCCACTGGCCAAGCGAACTCCTGAGGGATCGAATCGAAGTTGCGTAACTGCAGTCTTGTGTCCATTGAAAGTGATTATGACCGTTGCCGTTCTCGAGTCCCAGATACGAATCTTGCCATCTTCGTAGCCAACCGCAAAGACATCCGGGTCAACGTGACTTCTGCAAATGACCGTGACCAAAGCAGTGTTATCCTCAACATTCCACACGTCTATTCTTTCGGATTTCTTCAAGTCCCACACAAGGACGTCTTCGTTTGCTCCGACGTAGGCACGCCCGGCACCGCCTCTGCTCGTCGAGTCCTCATGGGCGGCAGAAGGGTCCCAAACAACGTTGGCAGTAGCGGTGCAGATCTGGCCGAAAGTCTTGCGGTGCTCGAATTTCCTCGTACGGGTCAGACTTGAAAACACTCGACCATAATCTAGGAGTTTCACTTACAAATAAGACTTGACCATGGTGCAGAGGCTCGTAGTGCTGGGTCGCAGGGTCGACTAACTTTTTTTTTTTTTTCGCCCTACTACCAAATTTGCTCAGGCGGGGAGAATGGAGGGAAACTTAGCCGGAATGCTCTCCTAAGTCACCGACTACTAAGAATGAGGAAAAGGGGAGTCTTCGATCATCCCTCTATTCGAAAATTCCATGGCTGTTCTATATTGTACAGTGTTCTGAAAACCTATTCTCAGTAATATGTCGAAGTTCCAAGTCGGGTTCATCATGCGGGTTCAAATGTTCATAATTCTTGTGGTCCTTTCCCTCAATCGAAGATCAGTCCGCCTTCATTTTCTTCGCCTTTGTCTGCGTTGAAATACCCCGAATGAGTCCAATCGAAGGGCTCCTGATCCTTGGATGCCTGGTCCCATTGAACCCACGACGGATGTACCCAATCGGGCTCGCACTTGACGAGCTCCGGTGGGGTCACCTTCCATTGAATTTCGGTCGATCTCTCCTCTACTTTCTCGGTCTCAAATATCGTACTGGATGCATAGCCATGCTTTTCCTTCACATGACGGGATTCGTCATCGTTATAGCCAACATTGACACTCGGGATGATTGCGATTCGGCCATACCCCAGCGTCCAGAAGTCTTTGCAAAACAGGGTCGGCTCGCCCATATAGCATTCATCTTTGTACGATGCTCTGAACGTCACGTTGTCCTTCAAAAGCGGCTTCGCGGTGAACGCAGCACCCCCATTCCAGCAGGAATATACCTGGATAGGGAGCTTCATGTCAAACCGTTTTCGCGTGACAGGGTCGTTCCAGAATAGGTTGTGCTTGAACTCGAAAGAGCCGTCCTGAGGAATCTCAATAAACATGTCGCCGGTCATGCTACGGGAAATCCACGAGTCATAGAATGTGTCGCCGTAGTCGACCCAGTCCATCGCGCAGGTCATGTGAGCTCGTTGAAATTCCTATTGCTGGTGGTCAGCTCGGTCCCAATTTGGTTTCACGACACCTAGGCGTTCGTGGTGCTCCCACAGTCATGGCCACGGGGTGCTAACCTTTTGATAGACCAGTTCCATGATGTCGTCCGCACAAATGGAAACGTCATTCAAGAAGATGACGGTGGCATCTGGATCATACAGCTCGGGCTGCCGAATCAAGGGATCCAGAACCAAGTTGCGCAGTTTGGCCAGCTCGGTGATACGATCATTGCCCTGTTTGAGCGGATCGATATCACTCGTGCTGAAATAGTAGGTAACGTTCATGGCTTCCATTTCGTCTCGGAGTCGAGAAAGGATTTCCGTTGTGCCATCGGTGGAACGGCCCCCGACGATGGATAATACACAGTCTTCCGGACGGAGGAGTCGAATCGCTTCAACGACGGACCCCAGCAATCGCGGCAGAACATGGGCGCATTCATACAGGTTGAGGGCAAAGAAATATTGCTTCGGGCCCGTTTCGAATTTGGACGATAGATTTCGGCGCCGGCGAAGTCCCTTGTAGCGGTTCTTGTATGGATGTGGACATTGTAACCGGTCGAAATATTTGTCTTTGGGATCCATGATGGCCGTGATGTAGGGTTCGACCATTTCCATCCTGGATTCATCCAGGTCTGTCACTTGAGGCGGGACCCACGGTTCGGCCGAGAAGATGTCGCTGACATCTTTGGAGGACGCTTGTTCTTCTTTGAAAACATCGGCTAGATCGAAGCCTTCCGCAACACTGGTGCTGTTGTCATCGGCGGAGACGGTGTCTTGTGACTGGAGCGGACCTGGTGAACCAACATTTTCCCGGAAAGGGATCGGGATTGGACCGGAGGTGCAGAAAATATAGAATAGACAGACAAGCAAGGCCGCGAAATACACTCTGTCCGCTCCTCGCGTGAAGAGAACAGAAGAAAGTGACGCTGACATCTCGAGACTGAGGGCCTGTGCAGTCTGGATGGCAGAATGAGAGGCGAAGAGTGGGATGAGGGACCCTGCGGCTGCGGTCTTATACGACACCGATGAAGTATTGCCAGAGACGGTTGGACTCTTTCGTCGCTTGACTCCTGCCTTACCCGCTTACACAATACAAGGCAAGTGCAACTGGGGATATCTTATCACTCCTCGATCCGGTAGACGGCGCCACCAATTCTTCGATAAGCAATTTCGCAAACACGAGCTGCTTTGCCGCACGAGTGTGTCCTGCATATTTAGAGAATAGTTCACCTCAATTGCCCCTTAAATGGATGGCTTCCCAGAACCATGGACCCCATGTCGGCGGAGGCTGATGCTAGCTCGACTAGGCGGGAATATGACCTCCACATACTCCATTGTTCTCGGTGACTACGCCATATCGATAAGGGGTTGAAGTTTGATGCCGCCCTCTCTCGTCGAATGAAAACGTCTTCGATTGGCTCTTTGGAGCCGCCAACATCGGACATCTTGCATGCATCCTCGCCGTTTGATGACTCCCGACTTAACCATCTCTGGGCCGGCAAAAGATCAGGACATTCATGCAAAAGCACAAGACGTTTGCCATGCGGGCCCCTCTTGTCCGGCCAAAAAAGCTGCGGATAAGATTACTGTTAATCTCCGGCGCCATGCATCTCGACAACGTATCGGGGGGTCCATCAATACGTAATCATCTTCCTTTTTAGGTAGGTCTTATTCGGAATTCTGTCCTCCTTCCGGCTGCTGAAAACCTGGAGGAAGTTCTAGGACCCAAAGGCTTACGAGGGACGTAGTTCATTGACTGGAGCTGACGAGCACCGCCGAACTTTGACTATGGAGAAGAATGTTGCGAGGTTCATGATGATCAACTCCATCCCCTAGGATGTATTTGTTCGACCTCAAAACAAGCGTGCATTAGACCTATCATCTCTTGAAGCCTTAATTTGAGGGACCCCCGGAAGCGCAGCTGCGCTATTGGTTCACTGAAGCATTCAACCGCCGATGGCGGCAAAGGGGTCTCTCGAGGTTATCGACTAGGGTTGGCCCTTGAGGAGCCACTAGCCAGAGCTTGGCTTAGTTCCGGTGCCTCACGTACGGAAAACTCGAAAGCTAGGCCAAGAAGAGGAGGACTCACGTTCAGGGGCAGATTTTCATCGAGTTATGCGCAACGCTTTTCCTTCTCTTGTGTCCTCGGTGGCTCTGCTTGCAGCCAATGACCATAGGCTATACAGTCTGCAGCCTTCAAACCCATGTGCGCTTGGGCTCATGCTGGTGGCAACGTCGGGATGTCGGTGGTCGCCCCTGACGGGTGTCCCATCACCACGAGTCGTGTCACTTTACGAACTGCTCCGTCATCACTCGTTTTTATTATCAGTTTTGACAGGCCACCGTTAAATGCCACAACTTTCAAAGCAATGTCGAGAAGCCCTTTCCCCCCAGAATTTGTCCGTTTCGGACAACTGAAATCGGAACTGAAAAGAGTGCGATGATTAGAATTGATCTTCCCAACACCTGGTACAAGACGCGTTGCTGTATGTTTGAACGGTTGTTATCGGTGGCAACGTTTGTGGCTGCCTCAGCTGATCCCGACTCAGGGGTGTGGAACTGCACCTCCGACACCCAAAAAAGGCCATTGTACCTGGAACACATCTTGCTGACTCGATCATTCAGACTCCCTAGACCTTTTTGGTCGGAAGGCGTGGGCTGGGGTCCCTGTTTACGTGGACGGCTTGCGAACTTCGGATCTTTAACCCCGCCTATCTGGACCGCGCCTGCCTCTCGGAAGAGGTCGATCATTCGACGTGCTCCCAAAAATATTGATCCGAATTAGTCTTGGTTTCAACAATTGACTGTCGCCGCAGTCTCGTGCGTTGTGTTTGTCAGGTTATGGAGCTTTCATCAACACCAATCACGATAAACTTCAGGCATTGTGCTTTCTTGTGGCGAGCGGAATATGATGATCAGGCATCACGAATATATCACTTCAACGCGCTGAAATCTATATATAGTTTCACTTTGGCCGACATGCAGGTTCGAAGCCTCGCAACTCACTTGGACCGTGTTGAGCATATGAGGGGAGTCTCCATTTCTGAGTGATCCTTTTGACGTTGATTCATATCCATCATTGTGCGGTCGTCTGGGGCATGACTTGCAGACGGGTAACAACCGGCCGGAGGTTGTTTGCTGTTATTGACGAGAAGCGCCGCACGGGGGCCTTGCTCGGTGTTTCTCCCGCCGCCTCCACATGAAGAGAATACAAAGAGCCGTGAGACACATAATTCCAGTCCTCCAACGACACCCCCAATGATGGCACCAGTATTGTTTGAGCTTGAACTCGAGCTAGAACCTGAATCGGGTGAATTTACCACACCCAATGTACTTACACGGAGCTGGCTCGCATCATTGCTTGTTATGGACACTGAGACGAGTCAACTGGAGCAGTCGTCGGCGAGACCGGGAGAGTTGGCGTGACGGCGGATTGGCCACAGGCCATGTAAATGTAGGTCCGATCCACGTTTGGGATCAAGAGGGCAGTGGAGCACACTGAATTGTGGTTCGGGTCGTCATGACGACTACATCTCGTTCAGCCTCGCAAAAAGAAACATCCCAGGTTAAACTCGGCATGACGACCCACCAGGAGAACGCGTTGACGTCCGAATAGTCAAGGAGACCACAGCCGGATATACCAGAGTCATAGTCGACACATGCTCCTACAGAACTGCCGTCGCTCGCTAAGTCGACCATTGTAGCACAGAATTCCACAGTCCAAAATCTGTATCTGCTCTGCACGAATCACCTGACGCCGCCGATCGGGTTTTGCTTGGGTTCCCATCGACGTAGCCGAAAGGTTCGAAACTCGGAGAAGCAGTCTGTCAACGGGTGATCGAGAGGAACGTGGTTTTGAAGGATCCATAACATTAAACGATGGATGTTCTGACCGCGGCCGTCACCGGCCCGGCAGTGAAGAGGACAATCTGACTTCCAGAGACATCTCATGATGAGAACATGAAAATTAAAGGCATTTGAATAGGAAAAAAAAGAAGATTCACAATGGCAAGCCGCGTTCCCCTGGCAACCGGGACGAGTTTTTCAATAAATCAGAAGCAGGATGCCGTGATCGGTCATCCCCAGTCCGTGTCCAAAGACATCTATCATGGCAGGGTCTGTAGTTTTGTTTGTGTCGTGCATTCGCAACAAAACCAGTCAAGGTTCATCCAGATTGAAAATATCTGGCGGCAATTCAATGTTTCGGCCCTCCAACGGGACATAGATTAGATATCTTGATCGACATGGCTGACTACCTTGAGATTGCTGTAGCGTCAAACATCTCCAAAGACTCAAGGGGTTGTTGTCGGAATTGAAAAGCGATAACGCAAGACGGTAAGCGAAGGGTAATTGTGATGCTATCAGAGTCTCTCTGCCTACGGGGCTGTCGGCGCTAAAAATAATCATAATTAAACTAAGCCACTTACGGTTTAGTGTTCCTACTAAAAAGAGCGCGTTATATCAACTTCGGAAATTCTCCGGTATTTTGATTTTTGCTATTCGCTTGCATGCCTCGTGCTAGTGACTTAGTCCGCCAGTGGTGGTATGAGTACATGTGTAACAACCTCAGTCAGGAACGTATTAGGGATGATACTAGTACATATCAGGAACAGTGGATACGTCGCATCTGCCCTTCGAAGAGGACCTCACCTCCAAAGGTCTGCACCACACCACGTTACTCCAGCTTCCTTTGTCACCACGAGCTGACATCTGGATTCTTTCTTTGACTCGAGCCGTTTAATCTCGTCCTTCCGTTGTTGCTCTTTCAATCCCCGTGCAGAAATTCGACACTTCCAACGCTGATGGAGCAATAAATCCTTGCTTGGCCCCTGGGATATCAATCCAGTTTCAAATCCAATGTCGACTTCCCATTCGACGATTATGCGGCGGAGAGTAATAATCAGCGTCCAGTTCGCTGCTCTGTTTGCTGTGTTCCTGTTCTTTGGGTTCTACAAATATCAATCCAACCCGCGAGATGTGACGGGCTACTTTTCCAGCGAGCCCGTATCAGACTGGCCCAACTCGGAGTCAGGCTCCTCAAGGATGTCATGTATTTCGGTCCCCTAAATGCTTCTACTAATGCATTTACAGTTGACCAAAATACTGCCGGCGGTGCTGCCGGGGACGCCTCTAATGACGCCAATGACGATGCCGACTACTCCGAACCGAACAGCCCACCGAACACTGGAAATGCCACGCAGCCCGAAGTGGCCCAGTCTTATGTCGACAGCATCCTCGATGATGAAGATGGATCTATCGACCGACTCAAATGCCCTGTTCCCCAATGGGAACGCTACAAGTACTTGCGGCGTGATTCCGCGGAAACGACAGGAACCTCTCATTATCGCAAATATTATTTCGCTCTCGATCTTTATCAATGCGCTCCACTGCTTCCCCGACTCATGGGGTCAGTTGTGGAGGCGATCCGTTTTCTCGGCCCTTTTGATTGCGCTGTCTCGGTTGTCGAAGGGCGCTCTGACGACGGTACTTGGGAGATCTTGTCCCTTCTAAGACCGCAGCTCGAGGCATTGGGGGTCGCTGTTTATCTAACGAAGAACGACGTCGACCCGATGGGAGAAGGCGTCTATCGTATTGATGCACTCGCAGAATTACGCAATGCAGCCTTGGCGCCCTTGCAACTGTTCCGCGATCAGTTTTCCCGGGAGGAGACTACTGTCATCTTTATTAACGACGTGGCCATCTGCACGGAAGATATCCTGGAATTAATCCGTCAGCGTCTCTATCAAAATGCTGACATGGTCTGTGCGATGGATTGGACCTACGTCGGGCCCGAACCAACATTCTACGACGTTTGGATTGCACGAGGCATGACGGGAGACCTCTTCTTCAACATTCCTCCCGATGGGAGCTGGGATCTGGCCTGGGACCTGTTCTGGAATGATCCCACATCGAGAGCAGCTCAACAAAGTGGCCGGCCCTTCCAGGTGTATTCTTGTTGGAATGGCGCCACCGCCTTCACAGCCAAGCCGATCATGGACTGCCAAATCAAATTCCGGGTGCAATTCGAGGATGAATGCCCTCAAGGCGAACCAAAATCGCTATGCAAAGACATGTGGGCGAAAGGATACGGGAAAATTGCTGTGATCCCAAGCGTCAACCTCGAGTATAGTAATGAGGCCGGGAAAAGGATAAAAAACTCTAAAGGCTATGTCAGTCGATGGCTTCAACAAGGGGGATCTGATGACAAAATCGATTGGCAAATCTCCCCTCCAGCCGAGGTCAAATGCATGCCTACTCATGAGAATCAATTTTTTGAGCCCTGGGATGCGCAACTGGCGGAAAATGAACACTATCCAAATTGTATCATTTTGTCATGATTCGTGCCGAACTGGACCTTTGGGTGTCATGACACGAGGGCGTCCTACAGCAGTAATCCAGAAGGACCAAAAGAGAATGCAATACTTAGACATGTCTGGGTCAATCAAAGCGAGGATTCTTTTTGTGAAGCTACCAAATTGACCGTCGGAGGTTTGAATTTGGTCTCTTCATCAATCCAGCGAAACAATTAAAGATTTGAGAAGATATTTCATGTTCCTCATATGACAGCAACATGTCGATGGAACTAGCTCTGACAGGGCACGACGCTTACATTCCAGTGCGATTTGGGCCTGGATTCACTTTCTGATGCTGTCCGATCAGCCTCCTCGGGGAAATCCTGCCTTTTAAACCATTCTCCTGACCAGTCACGATTCCAACCTCCTCAACCTGCGTCGTTCAGCCCCAGCATGTTCTCTTTCGCTCAACGAGAATTCGGTGCATCGGGAAGACTCTCTGTGCGTGCTAAATGGCTTTTCAAGCAGTCGTCGACGAGAAGACTGGGATCATCTGACAGTTCCTTTGCGGACACAATCCCAACATTATTTCACTCCAACAAAGCCATTGGATTCGCACTGCAGAAGCCCCTGTGGTGGCTGGACGTCAACTCTACAAAGGCAATTGGGTTCTCAAGGTTTCACCCTGGAACGGGACGATGTATTCTAGGGATAAACAGACGACTGTCCAAAAATTCAATGAAATAATTATGTACTCAATCACTCAGATCAGATAGAGACCTGCAGACGCTCTTATCAATCGAATCCACTGGCAATAGGAGAGTGGCTGAGTGATTCCTACGGGCTTCCATATGGAAATTTTCTCCATAATCGCCGCCGGCTCGTTCGTTTTCCCGCTGCAGATCAGTCTCGTGATAAGCATAAGCATTAGCACTCTCAGTATCTACCGAAGAGTAAATCCTCTTGAGTTCTGCAATGCCTGGCCAGGAAGTCTGATTCGGGCCCATCACATTGAGTCTCTGACTAACCTAAGGTAATATGGTCCTCAACGGGCAAACCGCCCTGCCAGCGCTGCTGCAAAGCATTTTTCATCCATTGTTTGGGAGTTGGAAATTCTAGGACACACTGAGTCGGGACTGAGATCTCACCTTTGACGCGATAGCATTGCAGCAGCAGCAGAAAGACAGAACGTTCTGGAATGCAGCGAGTGCCTTCATTTTTAGCATAGCTGACGGCATCCGTCAACGGGTAGATATTTCCGGAGCCGTCCTCAAGTGCAATGGTGGGTTCGTGCCAGTATCCTTTGCTCCAACGGAAGTGAAGGGTTGAGTCATTTGGAAACGTAGACTCATTCGCAAGGACGAACGCCGTGGTTGCTCGTATCGAGGCCCAAGCCCCGGATGGGAATTTCCGTCATCTTCGATCCTTGGCTGTGTTTGATGTTGCACAATTAGTACTATCGGAGAAAAACCTGTTCCCGGTGAACCTTCCCCAGGCTAATCCAAATGTAAACCCGATGTGGACGAGGCTTTCGTCCTGTTGGATGCGGAGTTGTTCGTCACTGGCCCATGAACCCTTCGCGATCAAGGGGTAAAATATAGGCACGCTGTAGTACGTTATATGCGGAGACTTGAAAGAACACCTCTGAATACATTCAGCGCGTCGTGGTCCTCTGTCAATTTTCTTGCCGCGTACCCAAGCATTTGGAGCTGGAGGACAGGCTTAGACATAGTAAGACAGTATCCGTCCTCTTCTGCACCTGAGGGCTGAGAAGGCCTTCGTAGCAGAGTCTTTTGGAAATAATCGGCATCCCAAGGTGGATGAATTAGAAATATTGGTCAGCTACGGATCGCATTTCGGTTTCATCGCTGACAAGTCTGCGTTGAAAATTCTCGAAATCCAGCAAATATCCTTCAGGAAGCTGATTTCGACGGGTTTGGATCGATGAGTAGCACTATTTTCCTGACTTCCAGCGATTCCGGGAATTAGCATCCGATCTTTCACATGGCCAACCCTTACTGATAGCTTCTCATCTTCGGACATCATCTTGATTTGTGTTTGGGATCCCCATATGCATACCGAGGAAGTAATTTGTCACACTTTGCTTTTTCTCCTCCAGCATGATACGCACACATAGTGTGCGCGTTCCTCCCCGTGATTCAATTCCATTGCTGCAGCCTCGTCAATAATCTAGGCAATCCAGAATATGATGACAAGAGCGGCGGTCGACACCAACATGTTGCATTGTCGACAAGGATGAAGTACCATTCCGGAAACAAGGGACAGAGGATTGAAGTAGAAAAGAAAGGCAAACTACTAGGAGAGGAGGGAGCGGTGCCTGACGCCAAGATTCCCTTGGGACATGCCCTGTTCCGCAGGACACTTCCACAAACTCTCACCATCACCGACGAAATCTCCCAGGCGACAGTCATACTTTACGACTGTATCAAGGGAGACAAGACTGACCGGCGACACTTCTCCTTGCCGGCAACAGCGCAGCTGGAACATCCATCCTCACAATGCTTCTTCTCGACTATCAAAATGTCCTGATTCAGTCGATCCTCACCGAACGCTTCTCCGGTGCCCCTCATCAATCCATTGACCAAGTCGTCTCCGACTTTGACGGCGTCATATTCCACATATCCACTCCGACGACGAAAACTCAGATTCTCATCTCCCTTTCCATCAAGTGCTTCCGAGAGCTTGTACAATATGGCGCGGAAGCGGTCCTGCAAAGAGAATATGGGAACTACATCACGGCCACCGAGGCAGGCTACGACTTTAGCATCCTGGTTGATCTGGACAACTTGCCCCCTACGCCGGAAGAGAGGGAAGAGCTTGTACGGCGGATCAGTCTGCTGAAACGAAATGTGATGGCCGCCCCGTTTGAAAAGGCCTTTGACGAATTTGCACAGCTGTCCGAAGAGGCTGCCAAATACACATCGGAGTCGGCGCCGCAGGGCGTCAAGGAAGGCAGCGAAGTCATGGCCATACATTACCGGGAGGAGGAAGCTATCTACATCAAAGCCAGCCACGATCGAGTCACTGTGATATTCTCCACCTTGTTCATCGACGCCGTCGACCGCATCTTCGCCAAGGTCTTTCTGCAGGAATTTGTGGATGCGAGAAGACGTGCCATTCAGAACGCTCCCCAGGTGCTGTTCAGAAGTGATCCGCCTCTGGAACTTCAGGGTCTCAGAGGAGTGGGCAAGACTGGTGAAAAGGGCGAGATGGGCTATATTACGTTCGGTACGCATACCAAACACATTCCCATATCCCCATAACCCGATTTTGTAGATCGTCAAATGCTGACCCAAAAATGCAGTCTTATTCCCTCGCCACCTAACCCGTCAGCGACGGGAAGAAGTCATTTCTCACATCCAGACATTCCGCGACTACTTCCACTACCACATCAAAGCGTCCAAAGCCTACATCCACTCGCGCATGCGACGCAGAACGGCAGATTTCCTGCAAGGTGCGTTTTCCCTCCCCTTCCTCAAGCAAGCCACCGATTGAACATTTTAAAAACTAATGTTGATCAGTTCTCAATCGTGCCCGGCCCGAGACGGAAGAACGGGAAAGGAAGACCGCCAGCGGCAGGACATTCAGAGTTCAAGGATAGGCCCGGAAGCGCAAATCCCTTTAAAAAAAAAAAAAAAATCGGTTCTATGATTTGTGATGACTGTATGACAATAAGAAATGGACTATCGATAAATGGCATGGGTCTTTGACGTAGGCTGGGAGAGAACCTTGGACAGTTGGACGTTCAGAACGTTACAAAAAGGGACGGGGGCTTTTTTAAAAGAGACCTGATCTTATTTATAGCTATGCTTCAATGATCTCAAGCCTCCCTTCTACACGGTGGTCATGACACTGGCATTGGCATACCAACTCAACAGAGGGTTCTCACCACTGCGGACCTGCGTTTGTTCAAGCAGCGCCCAGCTCTCGAGGAAGGCCCTCTGGGAGGAGACCCGGGTCAACTTGCCCGTGATAGCACGATAAACGTCCTCCATCATGGCGAAGTCCGTGGGAAAGAAGATGTCAAAGTAACCCTGATGCACGAACGGCGTGGAGACTTGAACATTGCGCCGTTGGTACCGCGTCTGCACGACGGGTGCGTTCAGGCCCGGCACGGCGTCGGGGAGGTAGTCGAAGTCCGATAGCACCAAGCGGTGAGCGGGAAAGTACTGGTGCAGCACGTCGAAGAACTGTAGGAGTCGAGTCGGGATGTATTCGGGCTTGGTCAGGTTCGGGGCCAGCGGCAATGAATGGCGCAGTCGGCGTAGGAATCTGGGTGGCGAGACTGGGGTGGTGAAGGGCGAGCGGGCGGCGACCTCCCGAACGCGGAGGTACCGTAGAGCCACCGGGTCAATGTTACGGTCATAGAATTCAAAGAACTCTCCATCTTCATCAATCAGGACACTGCCTTGCAAGGGTTCTTCCGTCTCCGGATCATAGCGTAGGCAATCGTGCGGAAAGTTGTCGACGACTTCGAGAGCGAGGAAAAAGCATGGTGAATGGACGTATTCCTTCCAGTCGAATATTGATCGATTGAGGATTTGGATGTGGTCAACATGATCGGCCGCATACGGTGATCGTTGTATGCTGGTCAATTGCAGGTCGGCCAGGGAAGAGGAGATCTCGATAATCTTGAACTTGGTCCTGCTGTGCACTTCCGGGTCATTCTGGATTATGTAGTCTAATATGTTTCGCATCAGGGTCCCGTTGCCGGCGCCCATCTCGTATATTATCAGGTCATGGTATGGAAACAGTGTCATCTTGTAGTTGGTGACCAGGTATCGGGCAATGGCTTCGCCGTAGTATGGCCGGAACAGTTCAGTGGGCGTGTGCCAGAGTTGTCTTGTTTCGTCGGGTGCGACCTCATCTAGAGCATCTTCAAATTCCATATAGCTCAAATCTACCATTCGATTGAATTCCGCGCCGTCTTTGATGGTGGGGAAGTCGAAAGGTGTGCCAGCATTGAATATCGTTGCATGCTTGGAGAAGTACCCGTAGTTGGGATTGTATAGGCTATCTGTCTCTGGTTAGCATGAGCCCCCCACCAATTGAGCATGATCATGGCACCTTCGATAAAGTCCCGAGTCAGCATTTTGACTCTCCGCGGCCGTTGAGTCCTATGTCGAAGGTCTTGTGCCGTCACGCGGGGATATTCCTTGAGTTGACGACTCATGTCTCTGGGGAAGGCATCAATTCTCTGTTGCCACGCGCTGCCTCCATCTTTATCATCTTGTCTACGTCGAAGGGCATATGTTCGGCGTTGTTGCACCGATGGTACAGAGGTGCGAGAGGGGGCACGAGAGCAGCGCAGACAGTGTCGAGAAGGTCTCGTGAACAATTGTTGGAATATCCGAGCGATGGCCGGGGAGTCCATCCACAGGGGTCCGGCTTGTGAGAGAGTGGCAAGACGCGAGATGCCAGATGCAACAGCCACCGCGAAACAGACGGGAGCACGAGTCTGTGGATGCTGAGGGTCAATCGACAAAACGTTCTCAAGGTGCCAACTTCGACTTTGAGCCCAGCTCCCCCGAAATGGGAGCTCTTGACGCCGCTTTGGGGTCCGATTTCCCGACACGCCCTAATGACAATCCTGCCGCTTTATAAAAGAAAACGCCCCCAAGCCTCTTTTCATGGCTCCCCCCAATTCAACGGCCAAGGACTTTCGGTATCCGAGTCCCATTTCTTCTCTTAAACTTTCAATTTCACGTCCAAGGCAGAGGAAGATCTTTCAGTGCGACTCTACTCCCTATTCTGAGCTCTGCAACGGGGGCACTCTTCTCTCCTTCAGGCCGGTACTTTGGCCATTCCCCTTAATATTCTCTCTTCGCACCATGAACTTTCTTCGCTTCGAATGACTTCTGCTACTTTGATGTGGAGACCATTCGGCGTTAACGGGCCCGCCAAGATGCTAGGGGGAGTACCCACCCTTATCAGCATGGTACGGGTGCCGAGAACCGATTCCCGTCCAAGTCTCACCGATTACCGATTGACGTGGAGGTACATCCGTCAAGGCCCATATATTCTCAAGACCTACTTCAGGAGGAAGTGTCAAATGGTCCCTACCCCTGAGTCTTATCATTTTGTCCGCCACCGCTAGCTGCGGTGATTATGTGGCGTCCACGTCCTCTAGCACAGAGGCCGTGCCGCGATGGTTCGTAAGTCATACAGAAAAAATAATAATGGACCACCGTTGAGATGCATTAGGTACGCGCGCCAATCTGAAACTGACCACGTATTCATTTCTTGGTTATCCGATGCCGATCAGCCCATTCCGTCCCTCGTGCTGGACCACTGAACGAGACATAAAGTACATCAACCTAATATGTCTGATACACGGGCTGCTTCTCTTTCTGCGCCGTTTCTGCTGCCCGTTGCACACCAAGTGCTATTTCTCTTCAGCCTTTCATTCATCCATTTGTTTTTTTGCTCGGCTCGGCTTGTCGTCCGGCTCTCACCACCATATCTCCTCTACAGATTCTGTTCCGTTGACTTGTATCATATGGAGGAAGCGGGTGCTGGCATCCAGCCTCCCAACAACCACTGTTCAGTAGTAATATGAAACTTGTCATTATCCGCGACAGAGCGACCTCTCGTGAATAACTCCATCTTTCCAGGCCTCGACTTATCTTCTCGGCTACTTATCTCCATCCCGGGTCACCAGGCACGGACACAGATACCAGTGACAAGATGAGATGGAGGATTCTTGGAACCATGGTGGCACTCGCCGGCCTGATCTTGGCAGACCAAGATCCCTTCATCAACAGTCAAGCGTTCGACGATGGCGAGTTTGGTAAATATCCCACACAAGAATATAAAACATCCGATATCCATGGGCCACGGCCCAATTTCCTGACACACTCGGGAAGCTGTTACAATGATGGGCTATATGTCATGACGACACCGAGAGGATATGCAGTCACGAGTTGTGGTCCAATGATCACCGACGAAAAGGGTGCTCTCGTGTGGCTAGATACGAGGTACACGGCCCCATATAACCTAGCCGTGCAGACATACAAAGGTGAACAATATCTAACCTTTTGGGCCGGTGATGATGGTGTGCGAGGACATGGTGCTGGTGTCTACTTTATGGTAAGTCTGGAGGGGGGGGGCCATTCCGCAGTGTCTTATCGTGGCAGAACCGGACAGAACGTGGCTAATCTTGACGGCAGCTCAACTCGCACTACGAGGAAGCATACAGGATTGTCGGCGGCAATGGATTGGACGGAGACCTCCACGAATTTCGCATCACCGATCAAGACACGGTCTTGATTACTGTCTACGAAATCGTACAAGCAGACTTGAGCTCCGTCGGTGGTCCCGTCGATGGATGGATCTGGGAGGGCATCTTTCAAGAGTTGGACATCGAGACCAATGACGTGCTGTTCGAATGGCGGGCTTCCGAACATATTGGCCTTGATGAATCTTTTGCCTCCAGAGGCGACAATACGGGGATTTCGAGCGATTCAGCGTGGGATTGGTTCCATATCAACAGCGTGGACAAAGACCCCGATGGGAATTATATTATCTCGTCTCGCTATGTCTGTTCCGTGACTCATATCAACGGAACGACTGGTGAAATTATTTGGATTCTAGGCGGAAAGAGCAATATGTTCCGTGACCTGTCCGATGGCATGGTCACTCAGTTCGCTTCCCAGCATCACGCCCGATGGCGAGATGACTATACGGCCATCACCATATTTGATAACGAGAATCCCGGACCACGACGCCCTAGCAATGGACTGTACATCGACCTGGATGAGACGAAAATGACGGCCAAGCTCCGAACCAAATACAAAAGCCCCCATCCAGAATTATCCGAGTCTCAAGGTTCCTTGCAAATTCTCGATAATGGCAATGTCATCGTCGGGTATGGGTATTTGGGCCAATATACCGAATTTACCAATGACGGAAAACCCATATGCGATGTCCATCTCGGGCCTCAGACACAGTATGGCTCGGGCAATATTCAATCCTACCGCGTCGGAAAGTTTGCCTGGGTCGGCAAACCGAATTGGCCGCCCGCGATAGTCCAAGAGGAGGGACATATCTACATGAGTTGGATGGGATCTACCGAAGTCTCGCAATGGATGATCGAAGAAGCTGACAGCGTCGACGCGACTGATGACGAATTTTCATACGTCAAGAAGGTCGACAAGAACGGCTTCGAAACCGAGATCACCAACTTCGGTTCACAAAAGGCCTTCATTCGTGCTGTCGCCTTGGACAAAGACAATAATCGACTCAGCGTTTCCGCGGTTGTTGAACGCGGGCCTCTGGTCGAAGAACCGGACCCTGAACCCAGCCCCGACCCCGAGCCAGCCCCTGCTGGCAATACCTCTCCCTCCGCCTCCTCCGAGAGTACTGTTGGAATGATCATGCCCATCTTAATCGCGCTCATCATTTCCACCTGTGTCGCGACCGTCGTCGTGATCAGTTTGTCTATACGCAGCGGGATAAAGTACAGAACCTACCGTCGCGTGGGTACTTCCGACTCGGAGAAGAAAGACCAACAAATCCAAACCGCGAAGAAAATCGAGATTGACGATTCGGATACGCTGTCACTAGTTTCGGAGGAACAGCAGCCGATGATGCCCATAGCTGAGCACAGTTGAGAGAAATTCACGAAACCCGCAGATATATCAATGTAATATCATACCATTTCCGCCACCGAAATTGCAGAGAGGGAGAACATGTTTGTGTCTACATCCACCACGACGCTATAGCTGCGTTGCGTTGCGTTGCTCGATACCAAATATTTTCTATTTTCCGAAACATCTTAGACACAATGGTCAGACAACTTGATTATGCTCACAAGTACACTTCATCATCCGGGAATCAAGTCTGAGGCTCCCATCTGCCCAGATCAAGTCGCTCTTCTTGGACAACTATCTCCCATCCTCCTTTGGTTGCGGTCCAAGATTCCCATGCTCACAGCGAATCCTTCATGTCATGACTTATTTACGACTCTGTCAAAGCTAGTGATAGATACAACTTGACGCTGGCTCACTCTGTTCACAGCCACCATCAGAAGCTTCACTTGGATCTCCCTTTTAGCGCCTCTATCAATGTCACCGGATCAAACAAACAACACATTTCCCAAACAGAGATCTCCACCCGAAACTCCAAGTGATTTCTGAACTCACCATCCTCCGCTTGGTCATAAAGCTTGTAAATCTAGAAGATCTTCAAACCTCAGATGGTAAAATGGTTCCCACAGTTTCCAAGACCATCGACCACTCCCGCATCACGATCTGTGACATCGGTCACTCCAGCGCCGCCGCCATGATCGCCTCAGCAAAAGAACTCCACGTCAAAGCCACTGTTCCCTACATGCCAATGCCCTTGACGCAAAGACCATGCCTCCATTGACTCTGCGATCCGCAAACGCGAAGAATATGTCGTCGGCAAACTTGTGGGTTCGAGACCAATCTACGTGCTCATCTTCGACGGTAAGTCTCGAATAGGTGCGTCTCCCTATGACCAAGCCACTGATGGCCAGGGCCACCGCGTCTGGATCCATGTCGAGGTTGCCTCTAATTTCGCATGGGCTGGCGCTGCACGGTCCAAGAAGGCCGGAACACCATGGGAAATCGCATCACGTTGCAGTCGCCATGTCGCATCACAAGGGCGGAACCGGAGGATCATACCCACAAGATCGCGCCGAGGAAGTTGTTGTATTTGGTGGCGAAGGAGGAACCGTTGACGGGGCCGTTGGAGAATGATAGGAGGGTTTTTGAAAGCGCGAAGAAATTATTTACGGAATTTCGAAGAATTTGTGAACACAACCAAAAAAAGCCCTAAATAGCACGTAGTAGTAGGTTCCATATCATGACCTAGTTGTGAAAAGAAAGAGAAGAGAGTGCCATGGTACAAGGCATGGCCACAGGTGAGATAGTAATTTGGTGGATCTTGATTTACTGGTTAGAAACACCAAAATGCCATGATATGTTCATTACCGTTCTCAATTCCCTCTTATTCAGCTTGATCAAGCAGTTCCTTCGCCTTCCTCTGATACTCGTCCATGGCAAAGAGCTGAATGGCCGGTCCAACACTGATTCTCGCGACGCCTATTTCGGCGAGCTCCTTCACCGTCAACCCTTCGCTCCATTTCAACGACACATTCAAGCGGCCCTGAAACTCCTGGACCATTCTCTCGACCTCCGCCCGGCTTACGCCCCTCTTCCTGCCTCCCCAGACGAAGACCGTCGTTGCCCCGGCGTCCAAATACTTCTTACCCCGGTCGATGACTTCGTCCATGGCCCCACCGTGAATTAACGTATCACAGCGAGCGTTGACCACCAAGTCAGGAACGCCCATTTCTCTAGCCGTTTTCAATGCTCTCGTGACGCGACTCACCGCAACATCCACGGGGTACATTTTCTGGGACTCGTTGTCGCAGTCCTCGAGATTAATGCCTACGGCGCCCGCGTCAATGACGCTTTTGATCGCTTCTTCCAGCCGGTCGCCATATGCGTCCTGAAGATCAACGGTCAAGGGCTTGCCATGTTGTGCAGCGACCTTGCCGATGCCGCGCACGGCGGCAATGTTCTGCTCGAGCGTCATGTTGTCGTCCTCCGTGCCAGCGGCGCGGGCAACGGCGGAGGATGTCGTCGCTAGAACGTGGGCGGACGGCAGAGACGCGACGGCGCTCGCGGAGAGAATGTCGTACACATTGGCGAGGACGAGGGGCCGACCGGGACGATGGAGAGAACGGAGGGTGAGAGCCGCTGCGTTGAGGTCTGTTGAAGCCATCGTGGAAACGGAATCGGAATCAGATGTGTTGGTTTGAAACACAAAATGTTGAAGAACGGTTTCCGAAATGTCCCGCGTCGCTTTCGTTCAGCGTCCAATGCCAGATTTCTGGACTGTCACTTTCAAACTGAGTGGATAATAAGGGGAAAGCAGGCGTTCTTAACCTTTGAATTGCACCGTATCTTGTATGGCCATTGCAGCAGCCAAACTTCAGGCTACAGCCTGTGGCCGAAGATCATTGTAGATCCCATTTGTGAGATATGTAGAGTGGAACGCGTACTGGGCTTACAAATAGGATTCATTTATAAGAAAAGAACCAGGAATCACGCCCTTTTCCAACATGTCTTTGCCAAGGACCAAAAGATTGAAGATTTTCTTTAGGTAATGCTGCCTGTGCCTCCTGGTGTCGAACCAACATTGCAGCGGGGCTGGGGTTTGGAGGAAAAGTGTCTGTAGTACTTTGCCCTGGTTAGGAATTGGGGAAAGAGAACTGTTGTTTCCAGGTGGGTAAGCTTTTGCTATTGGTCAATTCGAGAGCAACACAGCCAGTTCATAAATACAATTTCTCTGATATCTAGCTTGTGAAAGGCATATTGTCTCCGAATGGAGGAAACTTGAAGTACGCCATCTCTGATTGTAGAGAAAACCTGGCGTGAATCAAGGAAGGTTTGTGTCAAACAGGAACAACTTGAGATGTATCGACTGGTCCGTCCCTTACCAACAGAGAGTGCAACAGGAGTTATATATACACACTTGAGAGGTCTCTACAGCGTCTGTAACTCCTTCTCAATAGGATTGCTCTTCAAACGACCCCTCAAAAGGTGTAACATGTCGTTGTATCATACGTTGTCAGGCAATCAAAGTGTGCGACCTTCCAACAGTTTGCTTTGTCACTAGGTTAGGCATCATCATTACACTGACTGTGCTAATTTCTTTGATACCATCATGGGTTCAGGTTGAGTTGTGACATTCTCGTCGAGATGGAACGGTCAGAAATCTGGAGCCAAAAATAGTCAGATTGTGGTCCATAGGCTCCGATCATAGCTAGGTCGTCTGGACGTTAAGGGGAGCAATGCTTTGGTCATATATAGCAAGGGAATTCCAAACAACTCAAAACACCAGGATTGAAGGAGAACTGAAGGTACCCGGCGAGCACTGTGTGCATTGAAGAAGAATTGTTTGGAAGAGATTGTCCCTTCTGGGCTTGTATTCCATCTAAAGCTCCGCTGCGGTCAGAAGAGGCTTTGGGATCTGCCCGACAGATATCAGGAGCAAAAGATCATATTTGGAATGAGACCAATGTGGACCTGAAAGCTGCCTTCGCGAGAAGAGGCCAATTCGTTGGGAACTGGAACGAGAAGTTCTTTGCGGGTCTCGTCGTTCGCGGAGCTGCTCGTCTAACGGGAGTTAAACGTGTCGAAATCGTCAATGTGAATGAAGAGGGAGTCTCTATCCTGGTCCAGAAAGCCGTGGAACTCGCCGCTAGGTCTGAGCCAGTGATGCCTGACACACCTTGGCTTGAAAGGTTTGGATTTCTAGACACCAAGGCACGCAACAGCTGCGAATAAGTTCCGAGGCATCTTGTAATTTTTGGAGGCGGTATCGTCGGCCGCGAAATGGCCAGGACGTACAAGAAGACCTCTGGGCCTCCCGGGAAGAAAGGGGTTGGTTGGGGGAGTGTTGTTGACTTCGAGGCTTTGCAGTCTGGTGGACAGAAGATCTCTGGAACAACGTTACTCATTGCCGTTGATCGCAAACCTCGATCGGAGTACATCGATCTTGAGAAAATGGGAGACTTGAGCCATTGAAATGGTCCGCCGATGGCGGCCTTTGTGCGAGGAATCCATCAGACTATTGGCTGCTTGTTATTGGTGATGCAGATGGGAGGAATCCGCTCACACATATGGGGGTATATTGATCTCGCCCTGCAGCGTTGACTGTCATCGCACGTTCCCAGGGTGAAAACCCTTCAGTGAACTATCATTCTCATTTCTCAGAGGCATAGGCTCATCCTTTAGGAGGGAATCCAGATCAATGTCGAATTGAGGATCGAGGTGATAGAAATGGTCTTAAGGCGGCATGATTCTCGTATAAAAGCAGCGAGAGAGGTAACTGAGGCAAGGCTCGACATTTTTACCAAATTTGCCATCAAAACAGGCTTTCTGACTGTGCAGCGGTGGGAATGTCGGCATCTGCACTTCGGAGGGCGAGGCGATAAATCTCTACAGCTTGTCCAAAATTGTAAAGTATGGAAAAAGCAACAGAAGGCGTGGCTTAAGCACTCTTGCGCGAACCCGCCGAATATCCTCAATTGCTCGCTTTCGCCGTGGAAAACGGCGGCGATGTCTGTCCACACATGATCTATCGCTTCACAAGGCGCCAAACATGGCAGCGACAACGGCAGAGTCATAAGAAGAGCATGCGCATCCAGAGACACGAGAGCCAGCGACAAATCAGGATCGGCTTTCAGCAGATTGTGCTCCAGAAGCACCTCTTTCCTGGATGCCCTCCCTTTTTAGGTCGTGGAAGATAGTGCTGGGGACATGTCTTTGTGGAAGGGACCATTCCAGGTTGCAGATACCGGCGTATCGGCGATCCAGGTGTCGACTTTTGTGTCAACTGTCAGGAGTGGGAAGAGTCTGAATTGATTGGGTCAGAGAGCATACCATAAAATCTTGCCTGAGAGTCGAGCTCAGTCACGCTCTCTGTCATGACCGCTTTTGCTGTCCTACGTGTAGAGCCCGAGGCTGGCATGTTCACCCTCCGGCTGGTTGACGAGCCCGTCGGAGCCATGCCGAGCTCGCTTCCAGACGGACGAACTCCTTCGGCTCCAGCCGTTTCTTAAAATCCTTCCGCTGTTCTCTATGAGGATGAACTTGTCCCGCCCGGCAGCCACGGAAAGTACAAGTTTCTGGTCGATCCTCTCCGTTTCCCCGGTCAGTTCCCATCTGCTGCCATCCCAGAGTTTCTGCAATGCTATTTTATTCCCCCAAACTATTCCTGAAGTATCGGAACGGGCTTCGCATGGTTCATGGGACACGAATGCTTCGGGAACCCCAGTGACGGCAGGCACTGCATTTGGATCCTCGGGAGATTCCAAAATTGTATTGTGAGTTGTTCTTGTGATCTCCCATCGCGACTTGTGCTCTTTCTGCCCAGACTCGCTGAGGTATCCTTCGAGATAGTACTCTGCATCGGCAGCTCCTGAGATGAATGGTACCATTATCACCGCATGAGACTCAATAACCGTGTGCGGCAACCGGCATGACAACACCTCACGCATGTCCAGCTCTCCGGACACATATTCGTTTGGGATCTATCGCCAGAGTCAGGGAGATGCCATATGTAATGGCATCGGTAAAATCTTCCACTTCCTGGAAGAGATTTGCATCATTTCGAGGAAGCCTGTCACTACTTCTCCAATGTCGACTATTTCTCGACGGTTTCTCGACTTTCCAGAACGACGTGACCAGCTCCATGGTCCTTTTCAAGTATAAGAAAATGATTCGGTCGCATCCCAGTTTCATGTTTTCTCGAGAATCCCTCACCACATGCATTTGATCACGCAGATGTCATTGAACCAAGAATGTGTTGCTTGATGTTCAATTCACACGGCCACCGGCTACGGACGCCATGCGTGATTTCGGGGCCCCCTTGGTGAACAATGGGGCCAAGGCTCTCAGTTCCTTCTTCAGCTTTCCGATGAAGCCATCCACAACTAATTCCCTCGGTGACGGGACTTTAAGTGCGACCTGGCGCTGGAGTTGTTCAAGAGGATATGAATTGGATGTCTCTCGACCAGGTCTTACAAGATTCGACTTCGGAATCGAATCTAAATTCAAATGTACTGAAGGTAAGTTTTGCTCGGTTTCAGATCGTTGTTTTCATGTGAGAATGTGACTATTCGAGGCGTTGGCCTATGCCTATATTTCATATCCATATCCATATCCATATTCATGTTCATGTTTATATTCACTTTGGAATGTCCGCATCACCCACACTCTCCGTGACACTCTTCCATCTCTCCAGTTCGTCCATCTTCGCGCTCTCCTTCGCCCTAATAATCCCATAGGCATCCTTCCCCGTCGGCAATCTCATTGGCAACGCTTCATGTTTCTCCAGCACGTCGAACAAGGTCTTCGCCACGCGCTCCGCCTCAATCAACTTCTCATTCAATCCTGGGTCACTTAGCGCCTTAATCATCTGATTCACAGCCATATTCTCGTCCTGATACGCCGAATGCTCTCTAAAATCTGCTCTACTGTTCGCGTTTGACTGCGTAGTGAACTGCGACTTCGTCCCGCCAGGCTCTAGAAGCATGACTCGAATTTTCCAGTCGGGATGCAATTCCGAGGTAATTGCTTCCGTGAATCCTTCCAGCGCGAATTTACTCGCGTGGTACGCTGCTTCGGCAGGCAACGCGAGCCGGCCGCCAATGCTTGTCACGTTCACGATTGTGCCGCCGATGCTTCCAGAATTCGGGTTGACGTCGCGAAGGATAGCGACGGCTTTGCGCGTCAAGCGCATGGGACCCCAGAAGTTGGTTTCCATGGTCAAACGCATGGTGGATTCGGGGACGACTTCGGCGATGCCAACGCTGTTGTATCCGGCGTTGTTGATCATGACGTCCAGGCGGCCGAATTTTTCCAGTGTAGCGTGGAGGGCGCCGTCGATGGATTCGAGGCTGCAGACGTCAAGGGGGAGTTTGAGGATGTTGGGATCACTATCCGGAAGATAGGACAATGTGGACACTTTGCGGGCTGTGGCGATGAGGCGGTGGCCTTGGGAGACAACGTGTCTGGCGATGGCCACGCCAATGCCTGATGAACAGCCGGTGACTATGCAAGGCCTTGATGTTAGCCTTGTGGTGTAGAATAAGGAAAGGGAAAGAGGGATCAACTGGGAAAACTGACCGAACCAGACAGCGTCGGGAGGGAGCATCCTTGCGTGAATCGCTATAGTGATTCTTGCGTGTGTGTACTATTGTAATTATTGTAGCTGGTTCATTGCTTTGGTTTAGAAGTCTATTTTGCTGACATTTCATATGCCGTGTACGTACCTGTGAGTTGCCCTCTAGGGCAAGGCGGCGCCCAGGGGCCCCAGGGTTGGCGCCGCCGTTCCGTGACAACCCGGCGGTGAGGTGGGTGCCTACCACGTGACTGGCCTGCTCTTGGCCGTTTGTGGCTGTTTCGGACTCCCCCGACGACATCAAACGCACTATGTCGAAAATCGCTGGTCAACAGTCGTTTAGGGCTCTTTGCAGTCGACTCCGCCGTCCTCTTCTTTCGCATCGTCCTCACCGAACTCTTCGTCCCTTCTCTTCATATCCTAATCCAGTAAACCTCTTCGCTGTGGGGAGTTGGGAAAAGGCTGCACGCTCTGGTGAATATGTTGACGTTCACGATCTTAACGAGATCACCGACCTGGAAGTGAACAACTATGACGTTCCGATTGCAGATCTTAACGACCAAAAACTACGAACTGAGATATCAAAAGTCCTTGGCATCGATTACTTGGCGGAGGCTGCTGAAGACGATGCGAGGAGGGAGGTTGGTGCCATCGATGGTTATCTGTACGGCGACGCGCGTCGTCCAATGGTCCCGTGTGTGGTCTGCAACGGGGGCAAGCCTTATTGGGTACATTTTTTTGTGAGAGCTGGTGCACCTGTGACGTATCTTTCGAAGAGGGTGAATACCCCCACCGCTACGGAGGCTATGCTTAGCTGCTAATTTAATTCCAGGTCTGTGAGGTTCTCGATATCAGGAAGGATGCAATCACTACTGCCACCATTGCTGGGTGTTACCATCAAGTCCGAATGTCGCCGCCCACGTCGCACTTTGCGGAAATCAATGTGTTGGGTGCCGACTTTTGCGACAATTTCAAGTTCACACCATGGTTCCGAGGCAAGGGGAGGGTGACATATATCTTCGAAGACCGGTGTGATAAAGTCAAAAAGTTGTTCGAGCGATAAGCTTAGTATGGCAAACCAAGGCATAACCTGAAGCCAAGTTGTGGATATTAGCATTAACGGCTTCAACATCTTCGGCACTCACTGTACAAATAACGCAGGTGCACCGTACAAGGGGAAAGCTGATTTCAGAGGCGGGCGGTTCACACGTCGTCAGGACGGCGAGAGCTTTGGGCCAGGAAAATTTGTGGAGAAGTATCAGAAAACCATTACCCGAAGCGTCATTCTTCTGCCGCCATCCCACAAGAACTCAGTTTCTGTTTGATATCTTGAATCAATCTGTTGTTCTTTGCAGCTTATCGGACAGGCGAGGTCGTTCCTCGGAGTGACTTTTACAGTCAATATCAAACAAGACATGGCTGAGAGGGCCTAAATCAGTTAGATAATCGCTTTGCTGGCGTTGATTCGACGATCGTAAATCTTGGTACTCAAAGTCTCAGTTTCAAGGGTCTGCTCTCCTGAACCCTTTCCGGCGTCTTCCTTTCCCGTATCTCCGAAGCCCAGAGTTGTGTTGTACTACAGACGTCACATCTTCGGTTGCGGAAGTCGAAACTAAGTTTTCCGTTCAATGGATTGAAAAGTCAGTCCAAAACAAGGTTAGGATGTCGTTGAGAGTGCGTTGCGTTCTGGATTGGCCAAAGGAGGAAAGTAGAGATTTTGATCTGGTTCAGATGGTTCGAGCTGGCGTAGATTTCAGGCACGAGCTCATGCGTCCGCAAAACACAACGATGAATTCAAGGCTGGCGAGATGGAGCATTGGAAGGACTATCGGGAGTGTCCTTGAGCATACGCTGGTTGTTACATCTTGTTATCGATCTATATACTCCTATCGACCATCCTCCTCTGTCCCTGCCGACTGAACCCTTCCCTCTACCGTGAATACGTATCCTTACATTCTGTGCACTGAGCTATTCTTAGACCACCTCCGGAAAGTCTTGCCCTTGTAGTAGAAGAGAATGCCAAAGAGACACCAGAGCAGAATCAAGGATGCATTCGTCATGATAGGAGGGATGTAGCCGTCATCGATGATCCAATCCGTAATAAACTTGCTGAACCCATACCCCCACACGTTCTTATTGACGGTGATGGCCACAAACAAACTGCCGGCAACCGGCTTGTAGCTGTCGACCGCATATGTGGATACCATGCCGGGAATAGCCGCCACTTGGATGCCCGCACAGGTGTACCCAATAATCACAATCGCTTGCCAGGGCCATTTCTTTTCATACCCGACGCTCACGATGATGTTGCCGAGATACATAATGATCACGTAGGGAATCATTGCTGGCAGACGCATCTCAGGTTCACGAATACCCCTGTTCTTTGTCGTGGCTCTTGCAGACACCCAATCGGAAAGCGGACCGGCGGTAGCTAGGCCGATCATGGCCCCGGCGACGATGGCGAAGTTTGTAAACCCAATGCTTTGACTGCTCCAGTTATATGGAGGTGCGGCGAAATTTTGTGTTTGAGTCAGATTGATGGTCAAGAAGGACGAGCAACTCCAGCTCACCACGAAACTGGCAAACTCGACGATGGGGAAGGCGAAGAGCTTCCACGGAATCCAGAGATCGAGAAGAATGGTCTTGATGGGAGTTGGGTTTGGCGTGTATAGGCCCCATTGTGTCTTACTGGGACCGCCACGACCAAGCCAAGGGTCGCGTTCGGCGAGGGGGAGGGCCTCGGAGGGGGTGTGCGACATATCTGCCGAATCCGTCGTCGCGACCGGCGTTGGCGAGTCGCTCGCGGCCTTCTCATTTGTTTCCACCGTCGGCTTGGATTCGGCCAAAATGGGGGTGTGATGGAGCTCGCTCGGATGGACTCGATGCCATTTCGTCTCCGGGAACATGAAGACGACCATGACAAAGGAGAGGGCGATTAACGCCGTATTGAGCCACCAAAAGTTTCGCCAGCCGACATGAGCTGACATGGTACCGGAAATGATGGGTGCAACCATCAGCGAACCCATGTAGACGACCCAGTAAAGTGTATTCCATTTTCCGCGGTCGTGGAGGAAGAAAATATCGGCAATGACGGCTGGTTGGATGGTCTCTGCTGGGCCAGCGCCGATCCCGTTGAGACTAAAGAACGATTAGTGCTCGGCGGACTGGGAATGGAAAGGGTTTCTTTGCACATACACACAAGCGCCCATAAAGCTGCCATACGTTTGAGCTCGCGCTCGCCAAATGGAGGAACCCAGGCAGATAAGTTGAGAGAAGAGGTAAACAGGTCGTCGACCGAATGAGGTGCTAATAGGAACCCTGGACCATGGGTGAATATATATGTCCTCCCTTCTTTCTCAGAGTCGAGACATACCAAATGAAATTGCTGAACCCCAGAACAAGAATAGCGACACCAGTGAACTGAACAGCGTCCGCCAACGAACAGTTGAATGCCTCGATGTAATCACCAAACATAGGCGCTAAAGACAGTGGACCAAAGCCTTGCATGAAAGTGACAAAACTGGACGCGACAATGGCCGCAATTTTCCAGGACAAAGACCAGTTCAGAGGATCATTTTTGTTATCCGATGGCTGTGGAACCAAAACTCGGTGACTCTTATCGCCGCTCTTGACGAAATGATGCGACCCAACATCGGCCATAAGTTCCGTGCCTGGAAGCAGTTCAACATGGAGCTCCTGCTCGAGTTGGTGGAGCTCCTTGAAGGAAGAAACATGTTAGCGGGTCATTCTCGTCCTATCCATGTGTGTAAAGTGGGAGTACCTTCTCATCATAATTCATCTCCATGATGGCTGATGACTTGGAAGAAGACCGGAATGATGATGCAGACCCGGTGGAAAATTCGAAGAAATCACAGGACAAGACCGACGTGACACAAACGTATATGTACTTTCTGGAAGCCCATGGCCAATTGTACCTGCCGAACGAAACTGTAATGAACTAGGGTATGGCACCGGACATCCGTTCGTGCGGGTGTTCCTACACTTTGAACAGCGAGGAGGCCAGACCTGGAATAAGCCCCCTTGCTGGAGAGGGAATCGGGGCTTCCCTCGCGCTGGGGTCCCCCGCATGGAGTCTGGGGATACAATACGTCCTCAGGGGTGTCTGATCCGATGCAAGAAGGGCATAAAAAGGTTTGATGGGGTTCGGCTAGTAGACTCGGCATTGTTGATGTTTGAGGGACATTTGGCCTCGTGGTCAAATTATGGCTGACAAGCGAGATTTTAGACGACAAAGGACAACTGCCGAAGGATCAACAAACACCTTGCAAGTTTAGCCCCAGCAAAGGGGATCAATTGGGACATGTTTTTGCCCGGCCATGTGCACTAGATCAGCTTGCAGCTTGTTGATCAGAGAGATCTCATTGACAGCACCAAACAGTACGATCAGGGCTCATGGAGGCTGAATGCTGCATCGGCAAAGAGATGGCAAGGTTACGAGGAGTCCAGTTGGATGTGCCCTGTTGTTGCTTTGCTTGGGATGCGAGCGGGTGGCTTGAAAGAACAACAGTCTTCTTGCAGAGCCCGATAGCCGTGGTATTGAATCAAGCGCTGTCGCAAACCCCATTTGGTCTGTATGGTGTGGCTCCTTCGAGCTTCACGACTTGTTTGGAGGCCGTCAAAAAGGATGCCAAGATTACGGTCGAGTATTGAGCAATATTACTACGGGCGAGCATAGCTGCGGCCAATACATTCATGCTCAATCCAATCTCTTCTCACATCTTTTCGTCTAGAGAGTTTCATCTAGTCGTGGTTCGATCTGGATACGTTCGTCAGGTCGATAGGCTGTTGAGAATGCAATGGAAGGACCATCAACTCCTCCTTGGCTTTGCGTCTGGCCTTGTCGTAGCTGCCCTCATTGACCAGCTCCGTCAGCGCTACACATCATCCCCATCAAAATCAAGTCGTCTATCGAAGACCAATCCATCTTCGCCAAGCCAATCGCCCCGTCCAGCAGGCTCGGGTATTGAGTCCACAATTGGAAATACACCTCTCATTGAAATACCGTCCCTCTCCGCGGCAACCGGATGCACTATCCTTGCAAAATGCGAATTTCTCAACGGGGCCGGCAATAGTCCCAAAGATCGCGTGGCACTGAGCATCATCGACCGCGCCGAAGCCGATGGGCTTTTGGTTCCGTACTCCGGCGACACAGTGTACGAAGGAACCGTGGGTTCAACTGGTATCTCGCTCGCGACCTTGTGCCGCGCTCGAGGCCACCTCGCGTACATCTGCATGCCGAGTGACCAAAGCCATGAAAAATCGAATCTCTTGCTTAAGCTCGGCGCCGTGGTCGAGCGACTATCTCCAGCCCCGATCGTCGACCCGGGCCATTTCGTCAACCGGGCCCGAAATCTGGCGCGAGAGCACACGAATGACCCCAATAGGGAGGGTAGGGGCTACTTTGCCAACCAGTTCGAGACAGAGGCGAACTGGCGCGCACATTACGAGGGAACAGGGCCTGAGATCTATGCGCAAGCCAATGGACGAATCGATGCATTTGTTGCCGGCGCCGGAACTGGCGGCACCGTGTCTGGGGTGGCCATGTTTCTCAAAGAGTGTCTGTCGCGAGTTCAGGTTGTGCTCGCCGATCCCCAGGGCAGTGGTCTGTACAATAAGATCCAGCATGGGGTCATGTTTCACAGTCTAGAAAGAGAAGGGACTCGGAGACGGGATCAAGTCGATTCCATCGTGGAGGGCATTGGGCTGACGCGCTCCACAGCCAATTTCGAACAGGGCAGAGAATTGATTGATGATGCCGTCAAGGTCACAGATACTCAGGCAATGAATATGGCGAGGTGGTTAGTGGAACGTGAAGGGATATTCATTGGAAGCAGCAGTGCGGTCAATTGTGAGTATTTCTGCTACGTGCAATATGCGATAGGTGACTTGGCTGAGCTCTTCTGTATACGACGGAACAGGTGTTGCTGCTCTTGAAACGGCCTTCAAGCTCGGCCCTGGTCATCGAGTCGTAACGATTCTCTGTGACTCGGGTCTGCGCCATCTTTCCAAATTCTGGGCTCAGGTAGGTGATGTTGGAGGGGAAGCAAGAACGACCATCGAGGATATCCGTCAAGGCAGATCCCTGAGCTGAATGTCCACGCACAGGCATCACCGGTGTCGGGACCCCTCGTCTTCTGACTCCTCCTCCTTGACAAAGGGGTTATCGATTGACGACTCTCGTTGACGGATGCTTCGTTGCGGAGGCGTCGGGGTGGATTCAATGCCCTGCTCTTCGGTGGGTGTTGTAGGTATCTGTGACGGTCTGGCGGCTATTTGGCCAGACTTCCAGAGTGCTTCCAACCAAATTTCGGCGAGTTTGTCTCCAATCTCAATGCTGCTGCGGTTCTGGAATTGTCGAGAAAAGGTCCCCAGGTCCGCTTTGGGATTTTCACAAAGTTTATTCAGGATCTTCATTTCCTCTTCGGACCAGTCACGGACGGCTCCTCGGCCCGGTGGATGACCAGGGGGAGATCGATATCTATCATAGACATCATTCAGTGCCGGTCCTGTTTTGCGGGTCCGAAGTGCCCGACATTGAGCAATTTGAACAAAGGACAGACCGGCACCTTCGTGCAATTCCACCAACGTCCTGAAATCACCAAGGACTAGTCTTGGAGATCGCACGGTGACGATTTTGCGACGCCTCGAACGATAATGTCGAAGATAATGAATGTCGTGCACCTCATCGGGATTCGCTTGGAGCCTTTCAGCCTCGCCGAGGAGTTTGCACCAGTGAGTCCAGACGCCAGATCTCGAAGCCCATTGCTTGGAGCAGTACAAACATATGCCCTGCTTCATCAACACGACTTGCTCGTCCTCAGGCACCACATACTCTTCTTCCCGTTCTTGTTTGGTCTCCCAGTCAGAATCTCCTCCGCTGTCGCGGACAAAACCCTCTTGCAACGGATCTTCTGATTCTGCGCGTATTCGCATCTGCGTAAGTGCCTGATCTTTAGACCGTCTCTTTGGCCGTTGCCTCTTTGGCTCCCACAGCGATCGATCATGATCTGGAGAACACGACTTTGCAACATCAGGACGCGGGGCGATCGGAGAAGGTGGCGTACTTAATTTCGAAAACGAACGAGAGACTTTTGGAGGGATGACATTGGCTGGTATTCGCCAGGCGGGTTCGATGTGGGCTTCAGTCGCCGTGTTTCTAGCTTTCTGTACTATGCCCAAAACTTCCCGCCCGATCTGAGGCCCGAACTTGTCCAGGATGGCACTTTCGTCGACATCCTCCCCCAGACCCGATGAGCCAATGTGTGCATTTGTTCTGTCCATCGAGGCAGAATCGTCGTCGATTCGTTGCACTTCGAACAAGGAGTCGGGACTGGCCGATCTCGGAGGTGGCCGAATTTCGAAAAGCGAATCTCGGTCGGACTCGAAGGGATCGGATTGGACAGTGGGATTGCTGCCACGAGAGTCTGGGATGGTCACAAACAGGGGACGAGACTGTACAGGAACAAAGAGTTCTTCATCGCTGTCCGGCTGGGTGATCTTGTCGTGTGATATTCTGGTATCCTGCGGAATTTTCTGGGTATTGTACTGGACCGGGGTAAAGAGTTCCTCATCATTGTCCTCCTGGTTGGACCCGTCGTCTGACATGGCGGCATTCTCTGCCATTTCTTCAATACTCATGATCACATCATCTGCTCCCTCATCAAAATATGAATCTTCCCCATCCGGCATCCGGGTCATTGCTCTCAGCAGCGATTGTCCTTTTGCATTCTCCCGATTTGATGCTGTCCGCCCCAGGTCTGTTTCATTCTTCATCCCCTCCAGATGGCCATTGTTCACCACGATTTTTCCAGTCCCCAGGTCGATTTCGTCCCCAATCCCGCTGAAATCGTGTGAGTATTTCTCAAATATCGACTCGAATCGCGACTTCAACAAATTGTCGTTTTGGTGGCGCAGAGAACTGAGATCCTGGTCGAGTGCTGTATCGGAGGGCTGGCCAGCAAAGATAGAAAGGCGGGGTCTTTTTCGAAATGGCTCTTCCATTGTGAGGACCTGGGCGGGGATGGGAAATGTTAGGAGATTTAGTTAGGAACGAGAGACCGTTGGTCATAAACAACCACCGTCATTGAGGAGAGTGCATAACTAATGAATGAAACCTAGAAATGAAGGGGGAATAATCTCAATCGAACTTTTCGCACGCGCGTCGCGAGTTCACCCGCGGTTGGACGTTTATGGTAATTAAACTGGCGTCATTTCATCTGCACGTCTCGGTGTTTACGTCGTCTCTAGGCACCAACCAACTCAACGGCAAACATTCATCCTTTTTTGGACTCTCCCATGCAGTTGAAATGTACTGTCAGAAGTGCCGCCAACCTCTTCGAATAGATGGTTCTGTCGAAGAGCTGAATCCTGCTTCATTCGATCTGCTCGTTGGTCAGTATCTTTTCCCCGTTGGCCTCCCTGCAGAATAACTCATTCCTTCAGTGTCGACGGGCAGATCTCAACAGACAAGCGCCAATGCCTCTCGCCTAAATTATCCACAAGAACGAAAAGATCTCTACGATCGCGTCGCCACCCAGGCCGGCTCTCCGATCTACAAGCGAAACATCCCCGCTCCTCAGGATGAAACTCCCTCAGCTCAACACGGTGTTGCGGGAGGACATGGACCCAGCAATGGAAACCCTGATATGTCTTTTGTCGAGATAACCCAGTCACAAGTCGTTCTACCCCACAGAGACCATGCCAACAGAAAAAGCCGAAATGCAGAGGGCGAAGGAGAGAATGGCGGTAGCGATCCCGAGAAAGACACTCGTTTGTCCACTCAAATCAACAAGACCGAAGAACTCTTCGCAATACTGTCATCTCACTCGGACATTGATCACCCAATATGCTCGGAGTGTACGTCTCTTTTGCTAGCCTCGTTTAACAGCCGGCTAGGGACTTCGACGAGGGAACGGGATTCCTACGCTTCATTTCTCAAGTCCGTGCAACAGACGGCCTCTTCGGCGGCACATGGGAGTCAAGCGAAATCTCAAAAAGCAGTTTCTCACGCTCATAAGGACGGAGAGTCCACGTACGAACAGCTGAAACGCACCGAAAGCAACTCCCAAAAGATACGGGCAGAAATCATGGCCCTGGAAGACGAGACGCAGCGAGCGGATCTGGAGGAACAAGCATATTGGATGTCTCGAAACTCTTTGGAGGATGATTTGCATGAGGCTACTGTGCGTTTATCATTCTTACAAGAGAAGTTCGCTCATGACCATCAACAACTTGATCGATTGCAGCGTACTAATGTTTACAACGACACCTTCTGTATTGGTCATGATGGCTATTTTGGAACCATTAACGGCCTTCGACTCGGTCGTTTGCCCAATCAAAACGTTGACTGGGCTGAAATCAACGCGGCATGGGGACAGACGTTGTTACTTCTGGCAACTGTTGCCGAAAGGCTCAAATACACATTTCAAGGCTATCGTCTACGCCCTCAAGGCAGCACATCTCGCATTGAAAAATTGGAATACCCACAACAATTTCCTGACACCGCTCGACAACATGCAGCAGGTCGAGATCGTGGACTTCATTCGGCGGCTGCAAACCCGGAACCGAAAGTCACGCCTTTGGATTTGTTCAGCAGCGGTGACATGGCTATTGGGAGACTTCTGAACCATCGTCGTTTTGATAGCGGAATGGTTGCATTTCTTGATTGCCTAGGACAGCTCGGAAAACATGTTGAGCGAACGTCAAGTCTGGATATTAACACCAAACCCATTTCTAATAGAAATGCAGGTTTGCGGAATCCCCCTACGAAAAGGCTTTTGCCGTATCCTATCCAAGGCGATAAGATTGGCGATGTGTCCATAAAGCTAGGAGTTGGCTTTCACCAAGATGAGAATTTCACCAAAGCCTGCAAATATGCCCTGACATGCTGCAAATTCCTCCTTGCCCATGTTAGCAACCTGGAAAGCCAGAAGGCTGCCTAAACTACTCCAGTGCTAACCTGAGACGGTGCCGATTACCAAAAGTTTATGATACGAGTACGCCGCCAGATGGTCGGAGAAGCTACCCAAGTCGACATTCTACGGCCGTGTCTTGATTAAGACTTTTTCGGCGAAATCTTTTTCGCTCCCTACCGGGGTTGAACGAGCCTTGAGCAAGGGAAAGCGTTCATGCATTCAATTTATAATACGAGACAAGCCGTGATACACGACTGACTAATGCGTCCTTCAGAATTGGCACTGCGCCATTCACGTGTGGAAAGGCGCAATCCATTGTTACGGGATGCTGTGCACCAAGGTTTAGTAATCCTGCATAACTACACTCACAAGGCTACGGAGACGAGTGGTTGCCAAATCTAAAAGCGACTTCATCATGGTCACTTCGCCAACTATTCATCAAATTCTTCTTCGGGATTCCGAGCCATCGAGGGTAGCAGCACAATTAATTCCCCCTTCACACTCCCCTTCACTCGCAGGCGAACAATGACTACTGAGATATTCCAACCTTGGGATGCATTCGTTCAGATACCAATTCTTATTGACTGAGCAACGTCTACATCTTCATTTTGTCCCGGTCAATCATCCGGGCTCTTGGGAATCTATGACGCAAATGCGCGGGCCTTTATGCGCGTCTTTGTGATGCGAGATTACCCCGACTGCACATTCTCTCCAGCGAAAGTTACTGGCTGAGTTGACTCATATATCGAGATTTCGATCCACGAAACCTCTAAAAACAGCAAAGCGCAAGGACCAGACAGAGAAAGCGCGCAGAAGTCAGGAATTCCGAGGGATGGTGGACATCTATTCCATTGATGGACCTAGCAATCATATTTGCAACACTGAGTTTAGTGACGATCCATGAGAGACTGTTTCTTCATCGGATTTGTCCAAGGTGTGCTTCAAACATTGGGGCGCAGCTATGAGAATTATGGCCGGCCGATTGAACGACTTGAATGAATTTGTGAGTGACATAACCATTGACACGATGGCCATTCTTTCAAGCTCTGACAACCATTTCGACTGGCCGTCCGAAGTTCAAACGTCACATTCTTATGGACTAGCCCAACTAATTGCAATGCGTGGTGGCATAAAGAGATTGAGTTTGCAGACGTGTTCAATGAGTCGTGTGATGGTCAGATTTGCTGCCATCTGCAATGCATGGAGGCAGTCAACAAGTAAAAATGTCAGCGACCCAAACAGAATCTTCAGGAAGCAAGTTGGACACAACCATCGACAACCACAATACTCAATACTGTCTGCGTGGAATCGTGTTGCAAGGCTTGCCCAAAGCCCGTTGCGACTATACTCAGACAACTCTGGACCTTGTCAGGCTTGAAATCTCTATCAGTTGCCGACCGCAACACCCAATTATGTTGAACATTTTAAGTGATATGTTTTGGAAAGCGGAGCACTCTATTTTGAGCCTTCTGGATGTGACTGGCGGTCGGAACCAAAGAACTCGGCATGACGGTTTCCTTCAAACCCCTAGACACCGAACATCGTTGGGCACCACTATCTTAATTTTCAGAAAACTGAGTGGAAGATCGAGAAGGGGTCTGATCCAATTGATGATGTCCTCCCTCTCCAAAGCAGGCTCAGAACTGTACTGTTTCCTTTGAGAGCCTTCTCAGGAGAGGATGAAGTCCCCCCTCTTCTGCTATGGGTTCTCCACATAGGGTGTCATGGATCACACGAGCATAAGGAAACCTAGAGGTGGTTCATGGAATGCGTGTTGGAAAGATGGGGTTCTGTCGTCCGAAGAGAAGATCCCCAGTGTAGTCCCCTAAGCGCAGGTGTTGATGGGGTAATCAAATGAAGTCCAGGACCAGAGTAGAAGAGCTGATGAGGTCCAAGATTATCACCCGTCCCTTGAGAAAAGCTCAGGCAAGGGCTTATCGAGTCCTTTGCTGTCGTCGTTATCCTCTTGCTCGTCCACCCGCTGACTAACTCCATCTTCATCGCCATTTGCTACTTTACGCGACTCCCCCGCGTCATTTGAGTCGCGTCTGCATTCAACCCACACAATCTTATTCCTCACCATCACCGCATTGCCCAAATCGCCAAGATGGCTCGGGGAGCACAGGTGGTGCCGGTGGAGCATCCAGACTTTGAAAAACAACGTCTCGCCAACATCGCCGAGCGAGATGCGCTGCTCAAGAAATTAACCCAAGATGCCCAACAAGCAGGCCTCTACTCAAAACCTGCAACTGGAGCAGGAACACACAAGGGGCAAAAACGACCGGCAAAGCGCAAAGAGCATCCTACGAAACGAGTCAAGCAAGAAGAAGTCCTGCCCCGGCGCACATCGTCGAGATTGGCCGGCATCCAAGCGGACAGTGAAGTTGCGAAGCAGAAAGCAGACGAGGAATATGAGAAGGCCAAAGAAGCCGAGAGACAAAAGCGACTACGCGTCACTGGAGATCTGAACTTTGCGGATGGCTCCAGTCTGATCGGTACGGATGTGATTCTCAAGGGCGTGGCGAAGCCGTATGAACGCACATTTCACGAGGAGGACATTCGACAGACAAGTGACAAGGGCCTGAAGGCCCTGAGGGAGAGAATGAGTTCGTTGCAGCTGTGGAATGCTTGGGAACCAAATCGGATCAAGATCACCCATGAGAGGATCTACAGCATGGCATTCCACCCGACGACGAGTAAGCCGATTGTCTTTGCCGGAGATAAGATGGGCACATTGGGCATCGTGGATGCGTCGCAGGAACCCGTCAAGGCTGTAAAGCAGGAAGATGAAGAGGAAGAGGACGAAGACCCCCAAATCACGAACATCAAACCTCACACCCGGACCATATCTGCAATGCACACCCACCCCTCAAAGCCCGAGACACTATACACCGCATCCTACGACTCTTCGATCCGCGCGACGGATCTTCAAAAGGCCGTCGCCGTCGAAGTCTACGGCCCCACCAACAAAGAAGACGACGAGCCCGTCTCCGGCATCGACATGGCGGCCCTCGACCCGAACATTCTCTACTTCGCCACCTTGAACGGAGCATTCGGCAAATTTGACATGCGGGAACCCCCCTCGTCCGCCGAGTTATACCAGTTATCTGAGAAGAAAATCGGAGGTTTCTCCTTGAACCCGTTGGCGCCGCATTACGTCGCGACCGCATCTCTTGATCGTTTCCTTCGGCTCTGGGACCTGCGGAAAATCAGCAAAAAGTTGCCGACGTTGGTCGGCGAGCATGAGTCGAGACTAAGCGTGAGTCACGCGGCGTTTAATACGGCGGGACAGGTTGCGACGACAAGTTATGACGATACGATCAAGATCCATTCGTTCGGTGTCATCCACAACGTCCGCAGCAACAGCAAGAAAGGTACAATTGCATTGGAAAACATGAGTTCATGGAAACCCGGATTTCAGCTTGACGAAGACGCAATGAAGCCCGAAGTCGTCGTGAGGCATAATAACCAAACGTGCGTTCTCCCCTATCCTTCGCCCTCCTATTCTTGATGCGGTTCAAATCTCTTTGAACGTTCTTCTAAGGCGATCACCGTTTGGAGATATTTTTGTTCTTTTTTGCTGACGATTATTGTTCGACTTTTTGTATAGTGGTCGATGGACAACCATCCTCAAACCACGCTGGCAAATGTATCCGGAAGACAACATCCAGAAGCTCGTTGTGGGGAATATGAATCGGTCAGTACCTACTTATTTGCCTGCCTGCCTACATACCTACCCAGCCTTTCCTCACATGCCTTCCGATGACCTTTTCTGTGTCATCCTGTTCCTGTTCCTCCTCCTTAATCCCTACCTTCTCTTAAATTTCTCTTGCCTAGTTGTCGTTCTGTCCATTGTTATGTTCAGTTCTTAACGTATCGTTGTTTACAGGTTTGTCGACATGTATGCCGGCGACGGTACCCAACTAGCTCAACTTGGCGGTGAAGGGATCACTGCTGTTCCTGCCGTTGCGGTTCTCCATCCTTCTAAAGAGTGGGTCGCGGGCGGTACCTCGTCGGGGAAATTAACGCTTTGGATGTAATACCATCAGTTTTCCGTTTCCCAGCGAAGCTGGATAGGATTGGATGTTGGACTGAGTGTGATGTTTCAAAACGGAAACCAAAGGAGACGAAAATGAAAGAAAACCAAAAGATAATATGACTGGCAGGTAGGAGAGAAGAGGATATTCACTCTGTGCTCTGACTGGTGAATATGATGCCGTGAACAAATGGGTGAGGGCTGAGTGTGCAACGGTCATTGTGGGCGAGCCGATGCAAGCTTTACTGCGGACAATGCTCGAGCTACGCCACAGCACTCAGCATGGGGTTTGACCACAGTCGACAGTCAGAAATCAAGGTGAAATATACTGTCATAAGGAATGCGGGCACGTCTGCGGTATTGACGGGCTTGGACGAGTTCGTCCATGTGGTGATCCGTGATGTGGGCGTGCCCTCTGTGTGCCAGAAACTCAGTCCGGCGAGACCAAAACCAGGTCTTCTAGATCCGCTCAGCCGCCTCCTATGTATTCATGCCAGTACAAGAGGGGCGCCGCCTAGGGCCGCTCTGCTGCAGGTGACAGCCCAGGACCACCTCCGGGACATGTGTCTTGTCTTACTGCAAAAACAGCGAGTGGCTGAGCCTGATGCGGAGCTGGCGTTCCAGTTGCAGTGGTCAGTGTTGGTATGGTGACTGTCTACTACTATATGGCCATTCCAATGGCAGGACACACGAAAAGCATGTAGGCCAGGATTGTCCCAACCGGCACCCGATCGGGTACCTCATTCATCAACATTTTCAACACTCCATCTCATAGTCAAAATCTATTCTCTCAGCCAAAGACTCAAACGGGGCATCTTCCATATCAAAATCGCCATCGCCATCGTCAACACCTACACTCATCCCGTGCTCTCCCCCCGGGGGTTTCCCAAGCATGTTTTTCAACCTTGCTACCTCCCCTTCGGCTCTCCTTCCGGCTTCCTCCAGCGCCGCTAAAACGGTTCCCAGTAATACATCCAGCTGCAAATCCTGTAGAACCTTCTCATACCGTTTAACCTTGCCGCGGTCCCACTCTTCCTCAGCTCGTTCGTGGCCGTGGAAAGAATCGTCGGGCCGCTGTTCCACGTCTTTCCATTTATTACGGAACTCCTTTGCCACGCCAATGTATTCTCTCGCGTCGCCTGTGCCAAGGATTTCATGAAGCGGATTGGAAGGATGATCAAGCGCGTCGAGAACATTGGCATGAAATCGATGTGATGCGCCGTGGAAAGTGCGGGAGTCGCCGATGATAGGTTCCGGCATTCTACTCGCTTGCTTCTGAGGATTCGTAGAATATGCAGGAGGGATTTGTCCCGTCGTATTTGTAGGAGCGGTGGAAGTGATAACAATTCCCCAGACGCCAAGTAGACAGACTAGTCCACGTTCTAAGAGAGTGTAGAACTCGTAGAAGTCAATCTTGAATTGTCGCTCGGCTTCAACGGGGTCGATGATCATCTCGTATCGACCCAACGAGGCTCTGGGGCTCGGGTCTGGATAACCATGGCCGCTAACTGGGTGGGCGTGGGGTGGGGGGTCGGGATGATTCTGAGAGTGAAATTGAGATTGATGTTCTTGGGCCAAATTTAATGCCCGATGTGACCAGTGCGTTAAACTGTTTGCTTTCCATGCTAGGCGTCGGAACAGTCGGCGGAAGCGCTGCAATTCTGCTTGACGAGTCACATAGAGGCGTTGAGCGGAGCTAAGTGGTGGTGCTGGGGATGAGAAAGATTGCGCAGCGGTGGATCTCGAGGGTGGGATGGATGTTTGGTTGAGGGCTGGATCTGGGGTACTGGAGTTTGGTTTACGTGGTGATGGAGTTCTCATATGATTTTGAAATTCTCGCTCTCGACGCACTTCGGGACTCGCCCAGCGCGAGGCTGTGAGGTCAAGTCTTTGCATTTACGCCGGCCTCGCAAAGATGGGAGACCGACTGGATTTTCTAGACCGTGGCGGGTGGTCGCACTTTCCTACATTGTCTGTGCTCTCTTTATTTTGTTCACCTCACAGGCGAGGCTGTCGTTGGGTGAGGTGCTTGTGATTCAATAAATGTTTCAGGCGATGCAAAAAGTAAAAGCGGCGCGCCATTGAAGTATGCGTTCCGATCACATGCTGCTTTAAGGAGAGACAGGCCAAATGCTGGCTATTGACTCGGTCCATTTATCAGGAATCCTCAAGAGAGGCCCAAGATAACCAAGAGAAATGGCGAGATACCCGATAATCGGCGATGACGAGAGCAGCATCCAGGGTTTTGCTACAGGACTGGCTTTTATCAATTGCCAAACCATTCAGATGGCAAGGTATGTCGACGTGAAGAATTCCATACCAATACATCCAGACAGTTCCCGTCGAAATATCAGCAGTCTGCAAACACTCTTCGTATGTGCATGTGGTGCTGTCTCCTCCTCGGAACAGCCGAGTGTGCAAGGTCAGCTCAATTCAACCGCCCATGCTCTTGGCCCAAACCCTTGCCTTTGCTGTATATATCCAGGCGGCATTCTGAGCCGTCTCTCATGTTGTTTGACCATCGCCAGAGGACAAATTTTCATCACGTTGCTCTGCCCGTCGCCGTTGGGTATACCAAAGACAGCGATCACACCAAAGAACTGGAATTTTCATCGCATTAGCCATATGGCTCCCCCGATAATCGATACGGCCATCAAGACAGTCAAAATAGCAGCTCCCGCTTTGTCTTTTGTAGTGATGGGTTCTTCGTTGACACGTGGAAGACTAGGAGCTGTGGACCCAGCATTGGGATCACTCTGTGATTTAGCTCCTGTTCTTAGAGTAAGAGGCCTCATGCTTTCGTCGATCAGATTCGCCCCGATGACTGATAAAGCGCCCATCTGCATGTAATGTGTGAGCAATCTCTGATCGGTGTTCATTCTTCCCGGAGTAATCCTTACCTGTTGACCAACACCATTCGTTCCATCCCAAGTAGTGGTCCACCATTGCATACCACATTGTCGTCCATTGCTCCCTCCATCACACTGACCTGCGGCGCCGTTGGCACTGGCCTCCAGTTTCGGTTTGATTCCATCCGCGGTCTTGGGGACGAGTAAACTCGTAATTGCCATCCATCTTGCAAGATATGCTTTGAAACTCTTTTGATCTTCATCGCAGGTTTTAGCCTCCTCACATTCCAGCTCGTACATGACGTTGCCTCCATATTTCTGGGGGAAGAATAATGAGTAGGCACTGCTGAGGATTGTCTCGACACGATCCAGCCAGAGAGCGCTTCCGTTGGTGAAATTGTACATGTATGCCGCGCCTGAGAGCATAGTTCCGTAGTTGTAAGTCCACACGTAGTTGGCAACGTTGGAGCAGTTGTTGTCGGTATCGGTGTTATCCCAGATGTAGAAGATGCCACTAGAATTGTCCATCTGCAAGAGAGGGCTTTGCTCCATCCAATCCCACACCTGGGTCGCCCAGTCCGCATAACTTTGATTTCCCGTAATGTAGGCTAATCTGGCCGACAACTGGAAGTTTCCGCCATTGGAAATCGAATTCTTCAGATTGAAACCAGCATTGAACGAGAACACTTGCCACCTAAATCCGCCCCCGCAAGTTGCGGTGTCCCAGAGACCTGTTTGGAAATTGAACACAGCCTGCGCCAGTGAAAGCCAAGAAGGATTATCACCCCCGGCCTCGGGAAAGTTGGATTCTACTGCATCCAACGCGGAGAAAGCCCAAAAGACTTGGTCATCGACACCCATGCTTTTCGATTGATTAGAAGGATTGTAGTTATTGTCCGGCCCTCTTTGGAATTGGAGGGCCTCGGAAACGACTGCATTGTACGTCGTGTCATTGGTGTACTGCCAGTAGTTGATTAATGCTCCCCACATGGCACCTGCTTCCCACCAACAATATGTTCCAAGGACATTCGGATCACAACTCAGGGAACCTGGAAGCAAGCCCGGAACTTGGCCTGTTTGATTTCCTGTGTAGACAGTCATCATGTCGTAGGCAATAGTTGAGGTGACGGAACTTATTGAACTCGCGGTGTTGAGGTCGAGGTTGATGGCTGCCGTGAGCGGCGTCCATAGGAGGAACGATATTCTCATCGTCGGCGATATCGAGGCCTGAAGGAGGTCGTATTGTAGATAATTCTTAACTGTTTGTGTAGATGCCCAAGAGCACCCAGCGAGAAGTATACGCCGCCAGCGGCACTAAAGACGTCAAGATAAGCACGACAAGCACGACAAGCACTTGGAACCAAGAGTCGAAAGTATCATCGGAGGAATAGAAACGAGACCGGCGACAGAAAGACGGGTCATAAGAATCGTTTTGCGACCAGTTGGGCCACCAATGGAAGTATGGTATACCTGACTCCACCTCCCCCTCCCTCCCATTGTCGCGTGTTCCAACAGGTCGAACGTTTGATGTGTGTGAGACAAGACCGGGGGGATTCGTATGTATCGGAGGAGGCGGTGCAGGGCTGACAACGCGTCTTCCCCCACTTGAAGTTGGAACAGACGATAGATCGGGGTGTTTTGAGGAGTCATCTCACGCATTTTCTTTCCTAAATTATAATTATCTTTTTCTCCCGTATCGCCTGTCTGAGTTTCACAAATGGTCGAACGAAGAGATACCGAGTTCGTCATGGATCAGGGGAGCAATCGAAAGTAAATGAGGCCGGCCGCATGAGTCAGGTCCATTGGATCAATTTGACGGATGCGTCAGCTCAAAACAGAAAGGCGATCTGCGACACCGATTGTGTATCATGGGGCCAGAATTGATTTGCACTGGATTTGCGAGCTGCAAAAGACGGTGTAAATTTGGCCATTGCGAAGGCGGCTAGGCTCTCGTTTCAGTTCGGTGCCCCCGCCTCGTGGCCTTGAGGAAATAGGAGAGCGAGCAAAGCTTGGCCATGCTTGGTCAAGCTTGATTCATGACTCCTGGCATCCAGCTATTATCATTTACTTTTGCATTCGTCCACACAACACTCGCAATGCGCAGAATTCATACATATGCGTTCCAGGAGCGCAGCCTGAAAAAAAAAAAAAAAAAAATTTTTGGTGTCCTCACTGTCATAGCGCCTATGCATAACACGATACAGCCAGAATCGAATGCCCAGTGGCAAGAATTCCATACCGAAGTCATTCATGATGCTTCCAACCAAAGGTCCGATGCGCGTGCAGCGGTGGTATGCCGTCCATAGCCCCCCCATTGATCCATGGTCCAATTTGATACTGCTAATTATCACCATCATTAGCTCCGTGCCGCGTTCCTCTCCCTCGCGCCTGATTTGTCCTTCCAGAACGGCTGACTCGTCCCGTAATATCCTGCCAGGTGGCATCAAACCTGCGGCCTGTACTCGCCAAAAGACCTTCCTCCTCTTCTTCAAGAGCGTCATCGTCCGCATCTGAGTCCGAAAGTTTGGGTGTGCGGAACAATAGTATGACAAAGGCGAGTAGGAACATGCCCAAGAAAACGAATTGGGCCCAGAAATCCACAACACCGAAGAAGGGGAAGTTTACCGTCACACGGTTGAGGAAGGTAGAGACTACTGACGGCGTGCATACGTTTTGGGCGGCTGGGTTATCGGTAGACTCGGTGCAGGGGACAATGTGCTGAGTGTGGTTGGAACAGTCAGGTTGTTCGCCAGGGTATTTGAGGGGACGGTCACAGAATGTCTGAGGACCGAAAGTAGCATATTGCGGGGCGACCATCATTGCGATGGAGTAGTTGATGGCTAGCGTCATGAGCGTGAGCATGACGGTCGCGATGAGCAGTGCTTGTGGTGAAGTATGAGCTTTACGGATTCTGAAGATGGTGATCCAGAGAATGCGAATTCCAATAGTGGCAATGCCGACGATGCTGGCGCCAAAGAAGAGCATGACGAGCAGGAGAAAGATCACGTAGTCAATGGGAAAGACTTTGGCGGATATGACCAGGATCCAATTGATCGGTTGGAAGATGTTGATGTGGGCAAGAAGGTAGCCACAATGTCGTTTGCAAATGGAATTCTTTGCTTTGTCAATCCCGGTGATGAGCATGCTGGCAAAGATCAACAGAACTATGATCACCAGGAGAACACCCACGATGAGCTTGATGGGACGGAAAATCGCTTCGATCTTGAGCCAGATTTTTCCCACGATGCCCTGATCCTCACCCGAAGCTTCGGCAGCTAATCGTTGGTGTCGACGCAAGGTGCGCTCTTCACGGACCAAAGCTTCCAGCTCTCGCTGATCCTTGGCGGACAGTCCATCGGGATTTCCCTGTGCGCGACCTTCGAGTTGCCTCTGCCTTTCCTGATTGCTTTCCAATTGCGCCGCAGTCGACTCCGAAAGGGCCGGGGCCGAGATTCCAGGAGTCGACTTAATAAAGGTGAGTGGAAGCAGGGCGAGCCCCGCTGCTGTGTAAAAGCAGTAAATCAGAATACCGATGGTGATCAAGAGACCCAGGGCAAATGTCAGCGCCCGTTCGCCATGGTTCTCGGCAAGTAATTTCTTGAAAAAGTCCAAGTCGAAGTGCGCTCCCTGGCGGTGACGTGCAACCGGGACGAAGAAGCCGACCAAGAAAAGGGCGACGCAGAGGAAGATGAAGACCACGGTATATTTGAATGCTGCCCCAAATCGTGAAGCAAATGTTTGGGATCCTTCCTCTTGAGCAACCTCATCGTACTCTTCATACCAGAAATAGGTGAAAGGGATGACGAGCAGGCACAGCAGCGCGTCGAGCGAGTAGAGGAGGTAGTAGACAACGCGGAGAGTGAACGTAATCTTGTCGACTTGGTCTTGGCTGGCCCAATCCTTTCGTTGGCCTAGCTTGGAACTTGTCGTACTCGAGACTAAAGCCACGTCGACCGGTAGGAGGAGAACGGTCGCGAGGAGACTGGTGATGCTGAAAATGCAGACAATAGTGACGAAGGCGGATCGTTCTCGATGCGTCTGGTACCCGTAGACAAAGAGGGAGGTAATAGACAAGAGGAGGACGATGGCAATGGCATAGACGACCCAAATCAAAGTAATGTGTACATACCCGGCAGATGCCATAGCAGAAAAGGCCGGGTCAGCCATCCGAGTCAGTGGGAGGAGCTGCATACGTTGAACTCTTGAAGAAATTCAAGCGGGTCGATGAGTGCTGCCAGAGCATCTCCCTTTGAAGGGTCGCAACAAGTCCGGAGAAGGGAGAAAATGGGAGTGGTCGATTGCATCACCCGCAATCCAAACCTTTCGTCATCGTCTCAAGTCCCCATGTCACGCCAATATCACGTGTTAATGTCACGTGTACGCCAAGATATCAAATTCGACGCGCCTCGGGGCTTGGAGCTCGAAACTCATCTCAATCTCGATGGTCGTACACAAGTCCCACTCGCATCGACAACCTCTCATATCTGACATCATCTGGCTTGTCCGGATTGGGTGCGTCGAATACGGTTCTTCGTGGCTGTCGCGGAGCATGGCGCGACGCTTGTGCTTGTTTTGACCGTCCTCTCTCTTCTTACATCCACGACAACTCTAAATGCAGTGCTACACAGAGCTTCTACCGCCTTCCGGCGTCACTCATGCCCTGTCGGTGCCTTTCACTTCAGCTAAAGCCGAAAACTTGATAGTTGCTCGCACATCCCTGCTTCAAGTCTTTCGGTGGGGGCAGGCCATTCCGGGGCAAGAAACAAAACTCGTCCTGGTTGCGGAATACAATCTTGCTGGCACCGTCACCGCCTTGGGCAATGTCAAGATCGAAGATTCCAAAAGTGGTGGAGATGCCATCCTTGTGGCGTTCCGAGATGCAAAACTCAGTCTCATCGATTGGGATCCTACATTGCATAGCATATCTACCCTGTCAATACATTACTACGAGCACCATGACCTTCCATCTGCTCCTTGGCAGCCTGATTACGCCCACTGTGTCAGTCGTTTGACCATTGACCCGTCCAGTAGATGTGCTGCTTTCAACTTTGGTGTCAGTAACCTTGCCATTCTTCCCTTCCATCAAATCGGAGATGATTTGGCCATGGACGATTTTGATGACCTCGACGATGAAGAGAAGGCGCGACATTCCCCCACCAAGCTGAGAGACGCTCACCCCAATGGTCACGAGACTCCTTTCCATCCTTCATTCGTCTTGCCTCTCACCGTCCTGGATCCGGGTTTACTCCATCCCGTGGATATGGCTTTCCTTCACGAATACCGGGACCCCACCATTGGCATCCTCTACTCCACCTTCGCGCGCTCATCCAACATGAGCCCTGAACGTCGAGATGTCACAATATATGCCGTCTATGCCTTGGACCTGGAGCAAAAGGCGTCAACCACGCTGCAGTCGGTCTCCAAACTTCCCAATGATCTTTACCGAGTCATGGCTCTTCCTCTTCCCGTCGGTGGTGCTCTCCTTGTGGGAGGAAACGAGTTGATCCATATCGACCAGGGCGGGAAATCCAGTGCCATCGCGGTCAACGAATTTGCGCGAGACGCATCCTCTTTCTCCATGGCTGATCATTCTGAATGTCGGCTCAAATTGGAAAACTGCCAAATCGAGCATTTGGGAAATGCCAGTGGTGACATGTTGGTCGTCTTAAAGACCGGAGAGGTCACGCTTTTGACATTCAGAATGGACGGTCGTTCCGTCTCCAGCATGGCTCTCCGCCGACTTCACGAAGCACAATTACCGAGTCTGATTATGGGAACCGCGTCCTGCACAGCATATCTCGGGTCCAATCGTTTATTCATTGGCAGTGAAGAGTATGATTCAATCGTGATCAGCACCGCCAAGAAATCTTCTCAATTGAAGAGAACGAATTCTCGATTACAGCTTCCCATGAGTGGAAGAGGCGTCGAAGACGACGAAGACGAGGATGAAGTCGAAGATGATGACGATCTTTATGCCGAAGTCTGGGATGAGCCTAATGGACATTCTTCTGCCGCTGACGTCGGTGGTCCAAACTTACGCGTGACGGATCGTCTCCCTTGCATAGCGCCGATCAACGATATGGCCTTTGGAAATGTGGGGAAGCGCAAGCGTGATGATCCCGAGGCCCTCGATCTACCTCCTCTCCACGGCCGTGAACTGGCCATCGCCTATGGAAGGGGCGCTGCCGGTGGACTTGCATTCGTATCGAGCAAACTTGAGCCACGCGTGACCAGAAGAATGAAATGTGAGAATGCGACCGGACTGTGGTGCTTCAGCTCCAACAGTAAAAGTCAGGTGGGGGACAATGGAAAAGACGAGATCATCGACGACCTTGCCATCATCTCGCGGATCACGAGTGATGGTGTCGGATACTCTTCGGTGTTCCGACTCAGCGGTGTCGATTCGATGACGGATTCGGAATTTGATGAATCGGCCGGATCGACTATTTCGGTCTCCAAGTTGGAGGCGACGAATCATACCGTTCAGGTTCTGCCCACAGAAATCCGTGTTTATGATGATAAATTTGCTCTTTCACAAATCTTCCCCGTCGTGGACGAAGAAGAGGGTCAGCTGAGCAAGGCCGTCAAGGCCCACTTTGCCGAACCCTACCTCCTCGTCATCAAAGATGATGGAATCATGTCTCTGCTCAAGGCCGACAAAGCCGGTGAACTGGACGAAGTGGAACTTCCCGAAGCTCTGAACAAGAAAATGATCCTCTCAGCATCCCTGTACCAGGATCACCAAGACTTCTTTCAAACTTCGAGATTCTACGGAAATACGACGTCGCCGGGACCAATCTTGACGGCTCTAACGTCGGAAGGGCATTTTTACTTGCTGTCACTCCCCAATATCGACATTCGCATATTCCAGTGTCAGAGTCTGCCATTCCTGCCTACCTACCTGATGCAAGATCTGCAGTTGCCCAAGCACTGGAGAAACAAAGATGACCTTGCCGAGGCGCTGTTGGTCAATCTGGGAAATGCAACAGATCATCGGCCATATTTGGTTGTTCGAACGACGACGGGTGATATTGCTCTTTACGAACCTTTTGCCATTCCCGATGTGGGAGGAAGTTTTAAATTCAAAAAGGTCATGACCAAATCGGCCGAGACTCCGGACGACCAAGAAGAGGAGGAAGGAGAGCAATCATCAATGCGTCCCATGCAAATCATACCCAATTTTTCCGGCCGCAGCTCGGTATTTATTCCGGGCTCCCGCCCTCTCATTATCCTACGAGAGGCCTCGACCATGCCTCATGTGTATGAGATGAACACGGACAATATCAAATCGATGAGCAGTATCCATGTAGACTTCTGCCAAAACGGAGTGGCATTCCTCGATGAGAGAGATGATATTTGCTTTGCCGAACTTCCCGAGTCGACAATAATAGGGCAGTCAGACTGGGTGGTGAACAGAGTGCCCCTGGCCCAGGACATCAGTGCCTTGGCTTACTATGAACCAACCGACGCATACGTTCTGGCGACGAACTATACGACGGCGTTTCAACTTCCTCAAGATGACGAATGGCATCCGGAATGGCACCATGAAGCCACCACATTCCTTCCCACCACACGTCAAAGTACTCTCAAACTTCTCAGCTCCAAAAGCCACTCCATCATCAGTCAATACCATTTTGCGGCCGGTGAACGAATCCTGTGCGTCAAGAGCCTGAACCTGGAAGTCTCCGAAGAGACCCACGAGCGGAAAGACTTGATTGTCGTCGGAACGGCCGTCGTAAAAGGCGAAAACATTACCACGAGAGGAAACCTTTATCTGTTCGACGTGGTCGAAGTGGTCCCGGAGCCTGACATCCCGGAGACCGATCTCAAGCTCAAATTAATCACCAAGGAAGACGTCCGTGGAGCGGTGAGTGCGCTCTGTGGTGTGGGTTCGCAAGGGTTTGTTCTCGCCGCCCAAGGCCAAAAGTGTATGGTGCGAGGATTGAAAGAAGACATGTCTATTCTACCCGTGGCGTTTCTCGACATGCGATATTACGTCCATGTCGCCAAAGAGCTCCCCGCAACGGGTTTGTGCATTCTCGGCGACGCGTTCTCCGGCCTCTGGCTCGTCGGATACTCCGAAGAACCGTATAAGATGCAGATACTGGGGCGAGATCTTGACAACCCCGCAGTCATGGCAGCAGAATTTCTTCCCGACGACAAACAACTATACATTATTTCGGCGGACGATGACGGGCTGCTACGAGTCTTGCAATATGATCCCGAGAATCCCAAGACGGAACGAGGCACCAAATTACTGCTTCGAAGCACGTTCAACATGGGCGCCGTGCCGACGACGATGACATTGCTACCGGCCAAGATGGATCCCGACCTTGATATGGACTTGGTCTCGACGCCACCGTCAGACTCGATGCAGCGAATCCTGATAAGCACGCAATCCGGCTCACTATGCATGCTGACTCCACTACCCGAGACCGCATACCGTCGTCTGTCGACGTTGCAAAATACCTTACTGACGACGCTCGACTTCCACCCATGCAGTTTGAATCCACGGGCGTATCGACAGGTCGAGACTGATGGCATAGGGGGTCGAGGCGTCATTGATGGTAACTTGGCCAAGAGATGGTGGGAGACAAGTACCCAGCAGAGGGTTGCCAGTGCAGACAAAGCTGGTGGAAGTGTGTGGGAAGTCAGGGCCGATATGGATATGATCAGTGGTGGCGATTTAGGGTTCTAGGATGAAAGGATGAATTGATTTTGGTGGTCGTGATACTGGCGAAGAGATAGAAGGCTGGCTGGCTATCTAGCTGTCTGTATGTTGCCCATCACAAGAATGACTCCAGGAAGGCCGAGAATCCTGTTCTCACCCGGAAGCCAAAATCCATTCTCGCTTCGTTGGACAGAACGAGATGGGCTTTGGGCACCAAATTCCTGGGCGAGAAAAAAAAAAAAAAAAAAAAAAATTTTTCCAGGTCACGTGAATATCCACTCAACTCGATGTACTTCGGATCGACTGTTGAAGCATTCCGCTTCTCCTCGACTGATGATGGTGTTGACGCCTTATAAGGCTACTTGGGACTTCTTCCCTTATCGTGGTCATAGTCAACGTGCTTTCCCCATTCTCCTTCTGGCTCCTCATTATCAGATATGCCATCTTATTCTCATTCCTCTTCCCCTTGTTTAGTCCTTCAGATGCTCCTACATCTAGCTTGCTGGTTCGCCCGACCCATGTATCGGATTCTCAGCCTGCCCCGCCAATGCCCACGCTCTGCAGGTGGTTTCCCCGTGGCCTCGGCAAACCGCGGCGGCGGACGAAAGGGGACTCGTCCACGCACGAACTGTGGGGATACGCCCATTGTGCTAATTCACCAACGGCTGCCTTGCCATTTGGCAGTTCTAGTTCCCTACGCCGGGCTGGGCCGGGCTGGGCCGGGCTGGGCTGAATTCAGCATAGCCTCGGACTGGGGCTGTACAAAGAATCGCTTTACATAAATGGTACTCATCACAGATACCTAGGTACCTCCGAGAATGAACGCGCATGATCGCTTTAAAAGTTCGAATTCGGCCTCGAAATCTCTAACTGCCGTGGTAGGAGGTTCTCCTAATTTCTCGCCCGAGATCTTTCACTAGAACCCATATCTAGCAGCTTCCCTGTCAGTATCCCATCTGGACTTCCCCCTCCACCCCCCTCAAGAATAAAGAAACGGGTCGACTCCATCAAAATCTTAGTGGATTCATATCAACATTGCATTTCCACAGCCGACGAGCACGTTAAGGACAAACCAACATCCCCTCTCGACTCGACCGGACCTCCATCTTTCCATACGTTGACAACATGTCCACCGAGACAGCCTTTCAATCACCAACGCACCCCTCCGTCATGAACGTGATCCGCCGACCCGGTTCCTTCGAATCCTACAGCATCTCCGTCGTCACACTGGCCCCAGGAGCCCTCATGGCCCGCCTCACCAGCCCACCTATGACTCTGACAGCGACCCAGCGCTGGTCCAGCGTCCAGGTCTCCGAGACCCAACACGTCGAATTGAACTGCGACTTCCTGTACGTCAACCACAGCTGCGAACCGAGCCTCGAGTTCCACGTCATTCCCGACTGCGACGAACCGGTGATCGAGATCCGCGTGGCGACACGGCACGACGAGGCTGGACACCCCAAAGGCCTCAGCCCCGGCGACGAGTTGACCTTCTTCTACCCGAGTACCGAGTGGGTGATGAACCAGCCGTTCCAGTGCAGGTGCGGGACGAGGAGTTGTCAGGGCCGGATCTCGGGGTCGAGAGATATGAGTAGTGAGCAATTGCGAGGGTATTTCCTGAATGCTCATATTGAGGATTTGAGGAGCATTCCGCGGGAGGGAAAGGATAAAGGGGAGGGTAGAGCGAAGCCGGGAGGCTGGTAAGGCTGAAAGCTTTGCGGCTCTGGTTCATTCTAACAAGCATGATGGACTTTGTCAATGTGGCTGGAAAAATTGATTGCCGGCTGATAAAATTCATAGGACCAAGAAATGAATAAGTCGTCTTTCAACATCAAATCCCCAATCTCTTTTCGAGATCTAAACATGAAATCCATCAGTCGTTCGCGATTCAGATGGCGAATTGGATGCGGTCCGGGTATTTCGCGGGATCCCCTCTCCGGCCTTGCCTATTCCAATGATTTCCTCTCTCATCCGATCTCTTCCTCTCGCTTGTCTCAATCACCAACGTCCGATTGAACTTGCCGTCTCAGCCATTTCCATCAAAGCCTTCAGAAGCCGGACGTCATCCTCGCTCCATCCCACATGGTTGTTGATATTCATATCCAATCCATCCTCCTCCGGCGTCGTCTTCTTTTTCACCCCAAATGGCTTCACGTCCGACTTACACACCGTACCCGGCTCCGGTAACGTCCCCGTTTGAAAGTACTTTCTTACCGATTTCGCCGTGCACAGCGACGGGGCCGTGATCGAGCAATGGCCCTCCGCATCCTGCTGAAGGAGCACACTGCCGGGGAAGCGCTCATTCATCTTCTTCGCACTCTGCAACGGTGTCACGGTGTCAAGAGTATTCGCAATCCACAATACCGGATGAGCCGTATTATTCGCCGCAACAGGCCCGTGGAACCGCCATTTGGGGCTTGTCGCCCATCCCGCGCAACTCAAGCGCGTTTGGGCCCAGTAATCGCCCATCGCACTGCTCTGGCCTTGCAACACACGCCAATAGGCCTGAAACTCGTCTTCCGTGAGACTCCCGATATCTTGGGCATCCGTACAGAGGACCGCCGACGTCGCCTCAAGCTCATTCCAATCCGGCGCGACACACTCCTCGGAGAACGGGCCCGCGACTTCACACTGCGCAGAGCGACAGGCCGGTTTGCGTGCGGATTGCTTGTACGTGGCGAACAAGCTCCCGGTGCCATTGGTGACGTCTTGCATGAGCTCCGCCATGAGTGGACCCAGCATGACCGGCTGGTACAACGCGTCTCTGATCAGCATCTTGAGGTCTGTCCAGGTGATGATTTCGGGGCCGCGCGTGTCGCTGCCCACGACCGACAAGGGATCGTCCCAGATGTCGTGCAGGAGTTTCTCGTACGCGGCGAGTATGGCTTGAGGACCGCCAGGTCTCCAGAACGCACATCCCTCGGGCCCGGGTCCAGCTTCGGAGCAGTAGTCCATGATCTTGTGGAGAATCTTGTCGGTGTCGTGGAGATTCTGTAGCCAGGGCCCATTGTAGTAGTCTTGCGCGTCAACCACGCCGTCAAGGACGACTCGAGACACTCTATCCGGGTACATCGCCACGAATGTCGCGCCGAGAAGGGTCCCATACGAATAGCCCCAGTAAAGCAGTTGTTCTTCGCCTGGTTGCCATTTCGTTCGTTCCACGATTTGCTGGCTGGGATCATGACCGTGCATCATGTCATGTATCGCTTGAGCTTGGCTTCCCTGCTTCGCTCGCCATTGTCCATGCCGTTCGATGATCTCGAGCATATCTCTTGCCACGGGCGTGGTATTGACATGTTCCAGGAAATTCGTCGCATTGTTGTTGTTCTGGTCTGATTCCAGCCGTCGCGAACATCCATCTGCAAACGCCCTTGCTCGTCTCCAGTTGATGCGCAACGACCCCTCTGAGCTGCCCAGGATCCCTTCCGCTTCAGTTTGCATGTTCCAGATCTGGCGGGCAAAATTATCCGGAAAACACGTCAGAAGAGGCGTGCTATGGTTGATTCCTCGCGGGTCAAAGCCGATGATGTCGAAGTACTTTTCAGAGCCGGAAGAGTCGTGGGCAAAGTGGGCAGTGACAGGTCGGTCGGAATCGACGACCTGTTGGATCTGAGAGCCGTGATACAGGAGCTTTGCGACGCCGGAACCGCCGGGACCGCCAGGATTGATGAGCACGGCGCCCCCATACCGAGGATCGCTGACGGGGACTTTGGCGGGTTTTCGGATGATGGCGAGGGCGACGCGATCAAGGGAGCCGGGTGGTGCGTGATAGTCCATGGGGACATCAAGTCGAGCACATTGAAGGCCATCGTAGCAGTCGTGGTATTCCAGTTCTTTGGAAGGTTCGATACTTGACCATCGAAAGGGTGATAGAGAAGTGTCGTGGACTTTGTCACCCGATGGTACAAGGATACCTGACTGTGGAGGCAGCAGCCGCTCCAGACTGTGTAGTAACAGCGCAATTATCGCAACCGCAACAAGAGCGACTCGCAAGCGGGAAGAAAGTTTTGATCGGTCGTACGCTCTCCATGGATGTGGCTGTTGCTGCCGCTGCCGCTGTTGAGGGTCCAGCTTGGGTTCCATGTTTCAAACAACCTCGAATATTGTCGATATATCGACCCACTATACGCAGCCTGATCCTGGACGCAGAGAGAGGCTCTCAGTCTTACCATCCCAGATATTCAGCCCACGTTTTATCGAAAACATATATGTTCTGTAGGTCCGTCAACTCATATCTTATCAAAACCTGTGTCCAGCTTGGTTAGACTGAACCAGAAGCCATGGCTCATCAAACCCAAGCCACCGATAAGCGGACAACTGTCATCCATAGCGCCGTCTTGACTCGGTTCTTCTGCCCAAACAGAGGTCGGGCGCCCCTCATACCGACATTTACAGCAGACCAAAATCAATTCATTATCAATTGCAAATCAGCAGATGCTCATTTGCTTTTTTCCCCAATACGGACGTGGACATTTCCTGCGCTGGGTCGGGGACCTTCATCTCGCCTATCCCCCTAACGGCCATTTCCTGCGGTAATCCCCCATCTTTGACACGTTACCGAGCAAGGATTTGCTACCTAATGTGGCCATCCCTCCCAGTCTCAACGAGTGCGGTGCTGACCTTTCGTCCCTCCGCTTCGGCGATCGGGCATGCCCGCGTGATGGATTATCGTTGGACAGGCCCGTCAAGGTTACAGTCCAAACTGCAATTGCTATCGGACAACCCTTGTGTCGGGCGACACCCCGATATCCTGGACATCGACAGCCACTGAGGACCTGTGAGACGTTATCTGCATGCGCGCCAATACGACGTATGAATCCTCTAGGCAGGATATGGTATCAAACTCAAGAACTTGGTGTGGTTGTGGCCGGCTATGCTGGTTACGGTTCCATATCCCTGCCACTACATCTCCAGGTTCTTGATGCGGCGACCTATCAACCTGGCCTCTCTAGGATGAATGGCTATTAGGGTCTGCTCTTGTTCCTTTTTGGCCTTTATCAATCCCCCTCACTCGTTATATCAATGCGGTAGGTCCAAAGGCATGTATATGTAATCGAACTATGCTCTCTTTTGTCACTCCGCCACCCTCTGAGATCTGGGCTTTTCAGATGTGGAGGAAGAATAAAAACAATAATGGCTTCCGTCATTGAGATACAGTCTTCAGCTTCTGCTCAGGATCAAGAGATGCCGACTAAAACTGCTCCTGCTCGCTTTCTAGGCAAACAATCCCAACAGGAGGACGAGGACATGGAAATGGCCAAAGTGGGCGCCATCGTCGCCGACTCCAATATACCTAGTGGCGCAGCGCGGGCAGAAGCCATGCAACTCATCTGGGGTCGACATGGCAGACTTATCGTCTGGCTCGGAATTTGTATGATGCTGCTGGTCTAGTGAGTACCTCTTCTCACCCAGACCACAAACCACTTATGCCAACGTCTCCAGCCAGTTCGACAATGCCCTTCTCTACAACTACCGCAATTACGCCGCGTCCAACTTCAACAACGTCGCCGGCCTCGGAACCCTCGCTGTGGCCGGTAACATCGTCTTCGCCGTTTCCAAACCACCCATCGCCAAAATCTCCAACGTCATCGGCCGCGCCGAAGCATACGTCTTTTGCATCCTATGCTATTTGCTTGGCTACATACTCTGCGCGTCCTCGAGCAGCTTTGGCGTGTATGCTGGCGGATTCATCTTTGCGAACATCGGACAGACTGGCGTGAATATACTCAATGATATCATCATTGCCGATGTCACCAGTATGAGATCGAGAGCGTTTGCGATAGCGATCAGTTTCTTCCCGTTCCTGGTAACACCGTGGATCTCGGCATTTATTGTCGAAGACGTCGTTGAGCCGGGTGGGATTGGTTGGAGATGGGGGATAGGAATGTTTGCCATCATCATGCCCGTTGCCGCTCTAGCATTGGTCGGACCGCTCCTCTACTACCAGCACCGTGCGAAAAAAATGAGCGTCATTCTCACGACCAAAACGACACTTCGCGACTTTTGCTCGCAAATCGACCTGGGTGGATCGTTCCTCCTCGCCGCCGGATTCGCCATGTTTCTTATTCCGTTCTCTCTTGCCGGAACGACACCGTCCAGATGGGACACCGACTACGTTATCGCTCTCATTGTCGTTGGCGCAGTGACCCTGGTCGGTCTAGTGTTCTACGAAGGCTATGTCGCGACGCATCCTATCTTGCCCGCCCGGTATTTCAAAAACCTCTCGATTGTCATCTGCAGCTCCCTCGGATTCCTGGACACATTAGGCTTCCAGGTCACACACACCTACCTGTACACATGGAGCGTCATCACGCATGACATGGGCCCTCGCGACGCCACGTTCCTCCAGTATACCAACGGCGTCTGGCAATGCCTGATCGGCATCATTGCCGGTGCAATCATGTACAAGACCCGCCGCTACAAATGGCTCATGGTCATCGGGACAGTCATCAAACTAATCGGCTTCGGCGTAATGTTACGACTGCGAGGCGCTGATAACTCCTGGGCCGAGCTCTTCGTCGTCCAATCCATTCAGGGCTGGGGGTCGGGCATTATTGAAATCGGAATCATAGTTGGTGCACAAGTCGTGGTCTCACACATGGAAATGCCACAGGTAACAGCGCTCGTTTTGCTTGCCACATTTGTCGGGGCGAGCGTGGGCAACTCCATCGCCGGCGGAATCTATAGTGGCACATTCAAAGATGCTTTGCGACATCATCTCGGTTCTCAGGTGACCGATGCAATTGTCAATTCCGTCTTTGAATCGATTACGAGTCCCGATATTCCTGCACCGGGCACGACGCAAAGAACCGCGATTAATTTGGCGTATTCGGATGTGCTGCGATATGCCACGTACGCGGCGGTGGGGACGAGCGCGGTGTGTGTTGTGCTGGCTTTCTTCTTGCCAAATCTGCAATTGAACGATGGACAGAGTTTGGTATCTCGCGGTGCAGAGAATCAGGAAGAGGACGAAAGGTCGGATGTTCAACAGAGAACAGGAGAGGACAATGACAATACAGGAACGGGAACAGAAACAGGGGAGGCAGAAGCCCATACACCGACGATCTGAGGAGGCTGAGGGTAGTTTGATGGGCATGTCGTATGCATACCGACTTCAACGTACGTCCATCAACCACTACTAGAAGTATTAGTAGGACAGGGTGTCTTTCTTACTAGTCCTCTTCAACGGCCTGTGGGGGACCGAGTTTTGGAATTATGGATCGACCTTCAGTTGGAAGGGCTTAAGCTCCAGTCCCAGTCTGACGTAGATGAATCTTCTCGTGAGAGCGTCCTGGGCGCGGATGTCAATCCGAAATCGCCTTGTTAAAGATCACAGCTTCCATACTACACACGATGGAAGATACTCCATTATATTTTCTCGTCTCCGGACAGATACCTTCCTTGCTCCGGAAAATGTTCCCGCGGCGATGATTGCCCTGCCCTTCGCCATCATTCAGCGGATATGGTTAACAAGGTCGAAATTCGCAGTGATTGGAAGTTTCGTGTTCAAACACGCGCACACTCCTCGGGATCGTGGTCCGTCTCCAACACGCGTTCAAGCAGCTCCTCCTACATTCATATGTCAAATAGCGGTGGGATAGAACGGTGGATATGGAACAAATTGGACTCCCCTCTACCATGTTGCCATTCGTGCTCCAGAACTCTGCCACGACAACCAACGATGGGCACCTTGTTCAAATATATATCGTGTACAGGTACTTCTGGATAGGTAGAGTCGTTTGAATCCGAACAAGCAACGGAGTAAACCGCCATTTACAATCGAATTCGGCGTCATAGTCATCCTAGTTGGTGGTATTCTTGCAAATAGGGCTTGCTCATCCTCTCTTTGTGTTGGAACTCATCTTGTCTAATCCCAAGCGTATAGAAGCCCCGCGCATGATGAGTTGGATATAGCCTTGCCGATCGGGTAACTGAAGAATCCTAGCCTCGGGATAGATCCGGGGCTGCCTGCCACCGTCGCCAACGGTGGACCGCCAATCCTGTTCTCGAACGTCTAGACCAGCCTCAACGGGTAGATAGAGATATATTTTATCAGGCCGGGACAGGTCGACAAAGGTAGGCCGATTGTGTTGATGTTCAGGCAAGTCATCTCGCACGGAGAAGTGAAGAGCAGTATACAGCAGGCGAAATTGCACCAATAAGGCCTTGGTGAGTTGAATTTCCACCGAACTTTGGTGGGGATTCAGAGCTGATATGTACTTGCGCACCAGCCCATGCCAGGTCAACATAAGATTTAGCACTTGACGGAATCCGGAACAAGTGGCTGTCCAAGCCTGATGACTTAGACTGTATATAAATCGCCATCGATAAATTTCGTAAAAGGCCTGCTGGATGGCGGTACGACTGTCGAATTCATCGGGCAGGGAAGGCGCTGTCCGAGCTTCTGGGCTGATGGTCCGCCCGCCAAGGATGAAGGAAGGAGTTTTGAATGTAGAAATGACCGTTTCGACCTGTTTGAACATGGTCGAGATGGCAATTAGGGCGTAATTGTGATTATGGTGGGATTGAGTGACGTTTCCGTTGAGAATGCGGAGGCCAGGAATAATGTGTGACAAAGATTCGGCGGTTGGAGCGACCGGGTCTAGATTTTCATAGACCGAGAGCAAGGCACAGCAGATGAGCAACGTGTCTGTTGAGGTATTTCCTTGGGACGCATTTAGTATCGAAAGCGCCTTGGTGCAGTGTCTAGTGGCAAAGTGGGAGAGGTGGGTGGAGGACAAGCCATCCGCTTCCTGTCTTGCAGCGATGGCCAATGCCAGATGACGAACAGCGGTGACTGAATGAGTATATTGAAGAGCATGATAGCGCCAGAACTCTTGAGCAGTCGACGTAAAGGTATGCGAAGCGATCAACGGGGCTGCCACGTGGAAGAAATATTGATATGCTCGTTGTTCAAGGGTTGTTTTCCCCAGATCGGCCGAGAGACTCTTGAGCAAGGGACCAGCTCCTGGGACCGAGTCCGTCGAAGAAGAGTGGGAGGGTTTAAAAATCCAGGCTTTACGTCTCACGTAGCCTTCACACTGCCGCCCAGAGCGGGTACACTTTAAGCAGTTCGGCTCGCCTTCATCGCATTTGAGGTGGCGGCTTTTGCAGGTCAAGCAGCCCGTGGTGACCTTGGTATGCTTTCGTTTCACGCGACCGCGTTTGGTGATGCTTTTGGACTTGATGGATTGCTGCATGACAACTGGAGGTACGCTGGAGGACGTCTGTAAACAACGCAGGGTAAATCGACGGTGATAGTGGATGGTTTTGGAACAGGCTGATGTTTGAGCGGGAGTGTCATGTCGTACAGTTTGTCGTCTCTGACCGAGCACTGGAACATACACGACAGAAACCTGGTTGTCGTCCACCCGCAAGGCTGATTGACGTCGATCCACAATATTGCATTGCACAAACGAAGCCAGTGGTCTTCAAAGAAGTCAAATATTGCCTTAAATGGGGGTCGGGTCTGGCGAAAGTGTTCATCGGAATTCAAGTTAGGAAAAGAGAGCCTAATAATAAGCTTTTAATGATTGATGTTGCGCAGCGTAGGACGCCTGGCGGCCTTACAGGTGCTAGCAGGGGAGGTGGCAGACCTGGACCAATGGTTAAGCAAAGCTGGACAATTTTCCAGCATCAAAGCTCAATGTTCGCGGAGCTGAACTGGATATCGTTTCGAGTATATTGAAAATGGTAAATGGTGTCAAATTGTCTATCATTCTTGTGCGTTAAGCCAATCGGTGCCCATAGCAAACATCCGCTGCCAAAAAAGCTGTAAGGGCCGGAGTAGTAGGGTTCTTCTTAATCGGAGGCGTCCCGGTAACTTCAGTGCGCTTTCAATGGTCCACTCAAATTCAGTGTCGCAACACAGAGAAGTCGGAATCATTGGGTTGCATCAGGACTGTACCGGATCTCGGATGTCCTTCTGGCAGGGTAAATCGTTATTTTTGGACATAATATTACACTGCATACGTTGCTTTTTCTCCAAGCTGGGTGTATCTTATCATTTGCCAGGGAGTGCGGACCCCTATGAATTCTCCATGTTTGGCGTCGTTGCTGGCCATCATCAGCATTATACCAGTCGCCGTAAATTATGACCGAATCCCTCTCGGATAGGAGATTGTTTGTGACAAGGTCGCTTCGTGCCAGAGGCCTCGTGAGGGATAAATCGGCGGGGGCCAAGCTTGAAAAAAAAAAAAAAAAAAAAACCAACAGTGTTAGAGTGCCTGGTGAGTATGAGTCGTCCGGTGCTCCGTGGTAGCGTTTTAGTTTGCCGCTCTTTCGTCGAACTGTTACTGGTACTGTCTGCGAATTTGACAAGCTGTAATTCGATTCGATTCATAACGGGTTGGAAGCGCCATTTGTGTCTAAATTCAGTGCTGGATGAGATCAACAGTTTCTCTAACTTGCCGACAGCCCCTTCGAGGATCTCTTCCATGACTCTGATCGAAGAGGGGATCGTAATCATCCTGCCCCAAGACTTCGAGCATGGCAGACCCCATGGATGACTCTGTTCCCGGGTATCCGTTCATGAGGTTCTCTCCATGTTGGTTATGGTCATCAGAACAACACCATCATACATTTATGGATGTGATTGCGCGATGCACTTACCATAGCCCAACCGCCAAGCGATGTCCCTCACAGAGTGGCTACTTGTCCATCCCCATTGACGATATTGTTCCCGCCCACTCTCAAGAACTCGGACTCTCTTGTCGTGGCCATTCTGACATTGTTAGGGGGTTTTCAACCTGCGAAAAAGTCCTGATAAGACCACGCAGTGACAAGGAGTCAGTCAATGGTCTCACAATATCCCTTGTCAGGCTCTAATGTCCATCACTTTAGTGATGGACAGCGCCTCAAAAGGAGCTGAGAAAGGAGGGGGGTTATCGATTTGAACCGATTTCAGGATAAACTGCAAATGGGTACACTCACGCAGTACACAGGAGAAGTGGCATTTGGCAAAGGCTGCGTGTTTGACTCTGTGTTCATGGATGTCCACTTCCTTTGTCATCATCTTCTCGAGACACCTTTCAATGATTGATGCAATGAATGACCGAAGGTATTAGACATGAATCTGGCCCTGACCACTCATCTGTGAGAGACAAGCCGCCATCACCGCTCGAGGAAGTGATTGAGAGTCCCGGTTAGGCTTCAAATTACAAGGAGTTAGTGTTAATGGTATGGTTTCTGTTCACTGGAGGGAAAAAAAAAAAAAAAAAAAAAAAAAAACCTCTATGGCCGACGTTCGGCAATAAATGAGCATGCCACGTGACACTTACCAGGCCTGGTTGGGACAACGACAACAACACCACCGACTACTTCTGTCAACCTTTGCCATTGTGGCATTCTCTTCTTTCTTTTCTTCCCTCTCTTGTTCCGGATATGACAGAACAGATCAAGGATTTGTTGACATTTTTATTGGACCGGAGCTTTGTAGTCGCCTCACGAGATTGATTTACTTGGGTCAAGCAACACCAAAACCATGATTTTCCCGACCCCGTGCTTTGATGTCAAAACTAAATATAGTTATCCAGGTCATTGGCAGTCGTGGGGATATTCAACCGTTCGCAGCGCTCGGCAATGAGTTACCAAAGCACGGGCACCGAAGTGCGACGCGCAATGCACGATACTTTTCGCGAATTCGCACACAATTCCGGCTTACAGTGTTATCCTAATGGTGGAACCCCTCCGGGCTGATGGCTTAGATGGTGAAGAATCCTGGTCTAATATCAAGTATCAAAAGTATCCGGGCAGGAGATATCCAGCGCAAGCGGAAAATGATGGCGGATAAACTGGAAGAATTCTGGAAATCGTGTGTCGAGCCTGATCCCTGTACAAAGGATCCATTTGTTGCGGACGCCATCATTGCAAACCCTCCCAGTTTCGCACATGTCCACTGTGCGCCGGCGCAGGGGATTCCTCTCCATATGATGTTCACAATGGCCTAGACCAGCACGGAAGCCTTCGCACATCCGCTGGCCAACCTGAAGCAGTCAAAAACGGACAGAACTATGGCGAACTACCTCCCATCCAGCATCGTGGAGTTCATGGCATGGCAAGGGTGAGTTTCTCCGGCCGCAATGGGTAAAACAGGACTGACTCGACAATGAAGACTAGAGGGCATCATCAACAAATGGCGGAAGTAAGCCCACTTTGCCTAGAACCGGTCCAATGACTGAAGGAGCATGCCTGTTCGAAACACTCAATATTTCCTTTACATTCTGTTGGTCCCCAGCATTGGTTTGCACCCCTCCAGATTGCAATTCGAAGATAAGTTCGTCCTCTCACCATGCCGTATCTTGTATGCATGCTTACGAAGTCAGACATTGGTGGCTTCTTCATCCGCGGCTCACCGGCATACACGTCGCCCGCGGACCTAGAAGCATTCCTCCATGCGGGTTCCCCACCATCTACACGGGGTTTCGGCAGCATCGTCGTTGACGCCGCCGAAAGAATAGTGGCCATGGTCCGAAAGGCTGTCCAAACGCTTGGTGTCAGAGCAATTATCTCACGGGGCTGGAGCAAACTAGGCGGTCCATGTGATACGGACGTCTTCTACAAAGGTGACTGTCCACACGAACAGCTTTGCCAGCATGTCACAGCGGCCGTGCATCACGGTGGTGCAGGAATCACGGCCTGCGACCCGCGGCATGGAAAGCCAATGGTGATAATACGGTTCTTCGGCGAGTAAGAGCCACCCAAAATGATTCACGAGTGAACCCCAGGTCCCATTCCTTTCTCACAGATTACTTCACAGAACCCTGCTGCGGCTATCTCCTTCTCGCTTACATTCACAATCCTCAGACGCTGCCATCAAAATCTCCGGGAGAATCGCAATCGAAACGGGACCGAGGAGTCTGTGGAATATTTCCACGCCAACCTTCCTCTACACTATCTGCGATGCGACCTGTTGCCAGATCAACCAGCTACTCGGGTGTACGAAGGCGATCACAAAAAGCTACTTTTGTCGAAGAAGGCAGCCTCCTCCGTCTTGAGTTCTCATGGAAAGATAGCCCCAAATCGGCTCGAGCTTGTAAGTCGGGCCAACGTAGCCTGATTCAGGACAGCAGCATTTACTAAACTATCCTACAGACACGAAACCAGCCTGATCGTTGTTGACAACCAGCGATGGGATCCTATTACGGCGATCTTGTCAGGATCTGTTTCGACCATTACGCAAATGGGTCGCACGACAGCTGATATCTTTTCGAGGCCTTACGAGCTGCTTAGGCATACGAACAACAACAATGCGAGGGCTTCCTGCTTGATGAGAGCCGTCTCTCATACTGTCAGTTCTCCGTCCTTGCCACCTCCTTCCTCCTCCACTGCCGCCGTCATTTCTCCGCCTCATCCCCCGGCAATTACGGACGTGAGGAGGCAGTGGCAGACTTGATGGTGGAGCAAGAAAGGGGAGTGCTAGGCCAAGGGCGGTCGCCTCGGCGACTAGCAGAGGGACTTTTCACGAGCCCCGTAAAGGGCGCCTTGGTTGATATCTCACTCGCTGCAGCCGAGATTTTGCGTGCTGTTCCACGACCCGACCGTGAGAAGGTCACCCCTCGTCAAAATGTCATGGACCTCAAAAGTGGCACCACTGTTGCAGACACGATTTTCGGTCATGTCATATACGAGGCCCTCGCTGACATCGTCGTGTATACTTATGAAAGCAAGAGGAGGGTCCCAAGGAAGTGGCAAATGGGTTGACCAAGGAGGCCGCGAGCTTGGTGACCAAAGCGAGAGCGGCTACGATTGGGCTGTTGGCATATCCCGCCCACGGATGCATCGGAGCCTTCATACGGCAGCAAGTTCGGCTGTCCGAAAAGAATTGGACAATCCAAGAGATGTGAAAGAGAATGGCCCGTGGAGGGACGGAGCGAGATGGCAGAGGACTGTCTCTAGCTTTTAGCGGACTTCGATATGATAAGAACGTCGCCAACAACAAGGCACAACGACATCGTAGCCATTCTCGGATTTGACTGTGAAGCCCTTTGGAGTACGATAGTCCACCGATTTCTTGATTGGCTGGTGAATGCGCAAATAATAAAGGCCTCCATGCCCTTAGGCTAGCGACATGGCAAATTTCCCCACCTATAATCTTGGAGGCATTGGGCTGGTTGTTCAAGACCAGCCTAAACGGCCATAGCCAATTGGAGTGAGCATAGGTAGCGATGCACATGCGTATATACAGCCGGGTGGTTGTAGATTTAACAGGTCCTCTCGACAGAGTCTAACCCTACAGGACATTAAACATTAACCCACTTCACTCAGGGATTCTGAGTTTTCTGATGCTATCAGCGGTCAGGCTGCCATTGTTTCGGACCATGAATGAATGTTCCGGATCTCGAATACGAATTACGCGATCCAACTGGCGAAACTTGTGGCCCCAATGGCCAGACCTCGACCCTGGTCTTTCCACGAGGATGTGTTGGCGATGGGTCGGAGAAGTACCATGTACATACCGGCCGTCCACATGGGGCGGCACGCAGAGCCATTAGGCAGCCTCACAACATGAACCTCAACTTCAACCTTCATCTCAACCTCACCTCATCTCCAGAGATCAAACGACCCCAATTTTCAGCGCTCGATGCCTTCTCCTCGCCCCGGCAGACGGCCTACCAGGCCAACACCACCTCCTCTCAGCTCTTACCGACTCACCACGATGCCACGCACTACCACCCGATCATATGGAACCTGGGAACCCAGGCCGGCCGACGGGAACGCGGAAGAATTGCTACAAGCTCGAGGCAGAAAAAGAGTCAACCGAAGAATAATCGTTTGCTCCATCTTCTCCGTGCTAGCAATCGTCGCCTTTATGTTCGTTGCCGGCTGCCTCTGGTGGGCTATGGAACTGACTTGCTGGGCCCCTTTCAACCCACCCTACCCGCAACCGAAAAGCTGGGATGATTTTACGAACAATTCCTTTGCCGTGGGCTTTGACTTGACAGCTGGCTACGGGTGAGAAATCGAGCTCAACCCCCATTTTGCGGGATGCTTTCTCGGAAATCTGCTGATAATTGACTAATTAACAGCACGGCTTCCGTTGCCTTCTACAACGGGACCATTATCGACGTGGCTCGAGTCGAAGGTCCATCCGAATACAACAGCCTTCTTGCTCGATTGTCTCTTAAGTCTTCCACACATCCCACGTATGAAGAAAACTGGATAGAACACTAACTCAAAATAATACCGCGGCTGACAATCTTTCTTTTCTTCACATCATTAGTCCGCCATACTACGGCTGCTCCGCCCAAACTGGCGACCTCCGCCGACAATGGCGCCGGTACTTCTACAAACGATGCGGTCTGCCCGCCTCTTCCGACGTCGAGGCTCTAGCATCTGTGCTAGGGCAGCTGAAATTCGAAACCGATGCCTTCCTCAGATCCGCATCCCAAGACTCGTTGCAGGTCGCCTTTGTCACGGTCCCGAACCTCCCAGCGCTGTACCTCCAGGACCTGATTGACGCGGCCGAGTACGTCAAGATCCAACTCGTCACGCTCCCAGGATATATGTTTCGATCAGGCGATGCGTTGCAGTGGCCAGTGTCGGAGATCAATACGGCCATGGCGGGAAATGGGATCGGTTTCCCTGATCCGTCTTCAATGGTAGGACAGAGCCCGAACAAGAACAGGAACGCGCTTGGCATCAATCGCGAAGAGATTGTCGGTATCGAGTCCGTACCTTGGGACGATAATCTCTTCTCGGTCCTGTATACGAACACCGCCCTGACAGCGTATGTTGGGCCGTTCGGCTCCGCACAACACTTCTCCGGCGTAGAAGGTATCGCCAACTTCAGCCTCGGGCTCTCTCGGTGTATGCAATCACAACCACTAACCACGAACTCTGCCTTCGACTTTGACTCCAACACCGATTGCCCACCGCCGGCACCCTACTGGACGACCGTCCGCGACGCTCTGCGCACCGCACTAGACTCATACTTGACACGTGGCCACGAGCTAGGCCGTGTGATCTCGTACGGCGAAAACGCGCACCACGCACAATTCGCTGCCCTGCTAAAGGAAGAGGTGCTCGCCCGCCAGTCCAACGACGATAGAGAGCATCAAGTGCAGTTCGTGAGCGAGAACCCGGTCTTTGCCGCGTCCAGGGGCGCCGCGCAGTTTGCGAAGCTCTGTGCTACCATGTCGGATCGGAAGGCGTGTTTTCCAGATCTCAGACCGAGGACGCCTGGATGGTAGGGAGTGAGTTCTGTACCTGCTGCTGAAGTTGTCGTTCGAGACGCCGCTCTCTTCGACCCTGTGCTTGGACGGTCGATCCGTTGGGGAAATAGGAATTGCCAAATACGAGGAACCAAGAAATGAGGGCCGGGGTGTCGGACCAACGGTGAACTTAGAACAACGGGCGTCCGGTAATGTCAGCTTAAACGACGTAAAGAGAGATCAGAGATGCACGTGGTCTCGCAATTATATGAAGGCCTGGGTCGGTGGCCCATCTTTGATCAACTTCACTGTGCAGTCTCCAACATCGCGCATTGAGCAAGCTTGATTCCTGCCCCACGATCAATCCTCAATACTGTATTCACGATTTATCACCATGGGTTCCTTACCTCCAACAGACTTCGACGCCCCCCGCGACAAGGTGATCAGTCCATGCAAACTTGCCCATGTGGTTTTGCGCACCGCCAACTTCCAGGAGATGGTGGATTTCTACACCACTTTTCTCGGCGGCAAAGTCACATACGGTAACGATGTGATCAGCTTCATCACCTACGATGAAGAACATCACCGTCTGGCCCTCGTCCGGCTTCCCGGCACGGGGCCCAAACAAATCACCAGTTCAGGCCTGGAGCATATTGCGTTTACATTCCCGACGCTGTCGGATCTGCTGATGTCGTATCGCCAGCGCAAAGCCAGGGGCGTTGAACCCATCTGGTGCGTGAACCACGGACCCACCACTTCATTGTATTACAAGGACCCCGATGGGAACAAAATCGAGACGCAAGTCGACAACTTCGATACCACCGAAGAGGCGAACGCTTTCATGGGGTCAAAGGAGTTCGCGGAGAATCCAATCGGCACGGATTTTGATCCGGAGGAGATCATCGCTAGAATCAAGAAAGGGGAGTCTGAAGTCGATGTGAAGCGTCGGGTTGAGATTGGACCTAGGGGTATCCCGAATCTCGACAATCTTTGAGTGAGAGGATGGGGTGTTGTCGGCTGAAATGAAGCAAATGCGAGTTGAGCTTGACCGGCGTTGTGCATACGTCCTCGCTCTCTTCACCTTTGTCTACTTGGGTATCAGTCAACAAATGTGGTAAAGGCAAATGTCAAAAAATATCCCAAAAGCACTTATCAACGATTCAGCGCCATCGTACTTTCAGCGCACATCTCTTCTTCCGGCTTGACGTATTGCTTGTTTTGCGTCCCAGAATCAGACCGGTGTGATATGGCCGCCGCTGCCCAGTACGAAGATCGCTTGCCTAACGGGCTTGGGAGGGCCTTCTTTTCTTTTCCAGGAGAATACGGATCAGCCATCTGGATTGCTCACCCAAGGTTCGCAACGTTTGTCTAGCTTCATCAATTGGTATCGCCGCTATCCCGTCTCGTTTCAAACGATTGTTTTCCTTCTCGGGGAGTATATTCAGGGCGGAGGGAAGCTTGGGTCATTCATTCACCTATCTCGTGATTGTAACCACGCATACAAAGGCCAGGAGGAAATGCGTAGAGACATCTTTCCGTAGGACATTCTCCCCGCAAACCGAAGGAAGCTGCGCCGGCGGGGAAAAGGTCCCGAGGAGGTCATGTCACGTGCGATTCCACCACTACGATATCCCAGCGCCGAGGTGGCCTTCACACTTCTATCACTCTGCCACTGGTTGGTTCAAGTTTGTCCTATCGTTGTTTTTCCCTGATCCGGCCTGCTTGACCGCATGATTCACTATTCCACGAGCCATTGGCCCTCCCTATTTGGATCTCAACATCTCCCCGTCCACATCTACCCACCTAAGATGTCTTGCTCCCACGATTTCGAAGGACAATCTTATACCGTGTCGAAAAGCGTATAGCACCTTTTATTGCGATGCAGAGGGCGATGGTCGGCAAGAATCTGGATTTTACAAGTTTACACCAAAATGTGTCTGAACTTGCTCAGTCAGGTGGCGTGTCGAGTAACAGACTCACCCAGAGGAAGTGGCTGGTTTCACCACCTCCACAAACATTCGGCTCTTTGCCGAACTCGTGTTGCAGAATATTCCAACATCATACCATCGATACCGAGTGCTGACGACAAATAAGCTTTTAATAAACCCGGCCTTTTCGAGCGACGGACAATTGTCCACCGAAAGAGTCACCACACAAAATTCTGCTGATCCATTCTCCGTTTTCCCCACAAGATATTACACCGGAAGTCTAACCATTTGAGGCATCTTGCCGGTGGCCCTGCACTCCCTCCACAAGTCAGATATCCTCTCGTTCGGAAGTTGAGATGTCAACAACCCTCACACACTAAGCAGAACAGGTATCCTCCGTTGCTTGCTTGGTATATCCACTGCAAGGTTCGGGCATAGACCACCCGTCTTGACTGTAACCTCACCCAGGAGAGGCTGTTCTTGAGGGCGAATCCTCCCATTGGTGAAAATCCTTCCCTTTTCCAGACTGTGGATACATGTCCTAGTCCTCCACAAACCTTCCAAGGACCATCTCCAGACTTGCGGGTGATCAAGAAACTGGAAGGATATAAATTCACGTTTTTCACCCTGCTCGTGGCTCCACTCTCGCCTCTCTTTTGTCCTTGGTTGACCTTCTCCTCTCTTGTTACTGCGCGTGGTAACCTCATAGAAGCAAAGATGGCTCTGATCAAGTTCCCCAAGATTTACAACACCTACTTTGTGGCTTTCATTGCCACCGTGGGCGGCATGTTGTTCGGTTTCGACATCTCGTCCATGTCAGCCATCATTGGAACCAAGCAATACAATAGTTTCTTCGACAACCCTGCCGGTGTGACTCAAGGCGCAATCGGTTCAGCCCTTGCTGCGGGATCCGTTGTGGGCTCGATCATCGCGGGGCCGGTATCCAACAAGATTGGCCGACGTGACTCGATCATGTTCGCCTGCCTGTGGTGGTTAGTCGGCACAGCTGTGCAGACAGGAACAAACGGTATCGGCTCTCTCATTGCTGGCCGTGTCCTTAACGGAGTGACTGTGGGCATCACCAGCTCTCAAGTGCCGGTGTACCTTGCAGAAATCTCTCGCAAGGAGAAGCGTGGAGCTATCATTATCATCCAGCAACTTGCAATCGGTAAGCTATTCTCACCCAGATCGCCCTCGGCCATGCCTGAACGAACTTGTCTGCAGAATGGGGTATTTTGATCATGTACTTTATCGGCTACGGATGCAGCTTCATCGATGGTCCGGCCTCTTTCCGGACCGCTTGGGGGATCCAATTTGTGCCTTGTGTCTTCCTCATGTGCGGACTGCCATTCCTTCCAAGATCTCCCCGATGGCTTGCCAAAGTCGACCGAGTCGATGAGGCCATCCGAACACTGGCCAAGATTCAGGCCAATGGAAACCAAAGTGACCCCCTGGTCGTGGCCGAGTGGCAGGAAATTACGGAAACTCTGGTTGCTGAACGAGCAGCTGCCCAAGGTTGGCGCAAGTTTGTCTACAACGGCATGTGGAAGCGGACCTTGACCGGCTTCACCGTCCAGATGTGGCAACAGAATAGCGGTGCTAATGTCATGACATACGTGAGTTGTCCCCGGACAGCCGTGGGATGTGAGCTTCCTGACATCTTTCACAGTATGTCGTTTACATCTTCATGATGGCAGGCCTGACGGGCAACATCAACCTCATTGCCTCGGGTGTGCAGTACGCGCTGTTCATTGTTTTCACCACGATCATGTTCTTCTACATCGACAAGACGGGCCGAAGGCCTCTTCTCATCTATGGAGCCCTTGCCATGGGTGCATGCCATTTTGTCGTCGGTGGCATTCTGTCTGCGGGCGAAAGTGTTCCGGAAGGTGTCGGTGGTAACAAAAATGTCCTGATCAAAGTGGAAGGGTCAGTCTTTCCCCATCAATCTAAAATAAATTCGAGACTGACCTGGTCCGACAGTTCCAAAGCCAACACCGTGATTGCATTCTCCTACCTCCTGATCATTGTTTATGCCTTGACCTTGGCTCCCGTCGCTTGGGTCTACGCCGCCGAAGTCTGGAGCTTGGAAACCCGTGCGACGGGCATGGGTATTGCTGCTCTGGGCAATTGGCTGTTCAACTTCGCCTTGGGTCTTTATATTCCACCTGGGTTCCAAAACATCAAATGGGGAATGTTCATTGTTTTTGGTTGCATGTGTGTGCTGGCAGCTATCCAGTTCTACTTCACCTATCCAGAGACCTGCAACAAATCACTCGAGGAAATTGAAGAAATGTTTTCCCACGGTGGACCAAAACCATGGCATACCAAGCCTGGCCAGTCCAGGTTGGATAGAATGGTTGATGTCGCCCGTGAGAAGCACTATACGGTGGACGATATCATTCAAAAGTCTCACTCTATTGATCACGGTACCCACGTCGAAATTGCCGGTGAAAAGGCCGTCGAGGAGCAAGTCAAGACTGCTTGAGCACAGTCTCATTCGAGGGACCAAGCCCTATGAATGGCTCGGGAAGACAACTGCTTACAGAGATGATCCTCCAATCCAGGCGTGTTAAGATGGGCTGATGTTCCTGTTCCCTTTGATTTGGACGACCGTCGAGAACCAAACAGAAGACTGGCCAGGATGGATGAACAGGTAGAATTTGGCGAGCGGCACGGGAAGATGTCAATGAGAAGTCTGTACATGAACCAACAGGCATGTAGCTCCGTCCAGAGATTTCTTAGACCTTGAATAATAGTACCAAATTCAACGTTGGTCCCCTAGCTCCGCTTTTCGTCTATCTGTCGCAGATAAGGAAAACGGCACCAAATCTTTCGTGTCCTCAGATGCAAAGACCCTTGACAGGGCACGCTACGGAATTTCGGACCGCCATCAACAGGACAACTTTCAGCCAGACGGCATTCTTAAGGCCACGAATACACCATCATCGGCCAGTCAGAGCCCAATGGAGGGGCCGGCATATTAAGCTGATTCCACAAGTTCGCCATCACCCAGCGCTCGACCGAGCTACAATTGCGATCCTATTCTTCCCAGTTATATGGACACTAGGACTTATCTCGCTCGCAAAACGGAGCACAACGCTGAGCAAGGACAAAAGGATGCTTACCCCGTTTTTCAAGCTGGATGATTATAGGAGCAAAGAAGCCCACCGATTTTCGCATGTGCTCGTGTTCAGAAGCCGTTGTTGACTTGTCCAGAATGACAGGAGATGTTTTTATCGTGCCCCTGAAGAGGACTCGATGACCTGGGGGTTGATTCGCAAGTCCAAGCCTGAAAATACCAGAATGATGGAAACCTCATGTTGGTACATCCGATCATTCTTCCCCGTCGTGTCCGGACAAGTGTCGTATGCACCGCTAGAAGAGTACAGGGACATACCTATAGGAACAAGACAATTCAGAAGAAGGGGACATATGTCTCGACGGCGTCACTGGCGTCGAAGTCAAGTCTCTGAGTCTTGACAATGAGCCACATGGACCGAGGACCTCCCATGGCTTGATGTATACGGCCAGACCTCGTGCCTGCCGGAATGTTGTGCCTTTCCCTCTGTGTTTAAACGTGCGTAGGATCATTATTCCCAACACGGCATCATTAAGGCGCGATACGCTCGGATTGGGGTGTCAGTGTGGCTGAGGTTAGAGGAAAGGTATGGGAAGAGCAGCGTCTGCTGTGTGGGATCGGTTGCTCTAAAGAGGGAGAGTAGCTGAGGAGTTCTATGATCGTAGTAGATCCATCCAAACAGAACGCCCCTCGTACTCATGACCAATGTTCTATCTTATCCCAAACAGAACAACTCTCGTGCTCATGACCAATATTCTATCTTATCCCAAACAGAATGCCCTCGTTCTTACAACCAACGTCCTATCTTATCCCATCTAGTAACCCAGTTTGTCGCCGATCACTGTTTCTTCCTTCGCATGGATATTCCGCAGATATAAATATGGCTCTGTTGCCCAGTTCCTGTTCTCGTCCAGAGCACTGTCCTGACGATGAGGACGTTTTTGAATACAATCTTCCCCCTTTTCGCCCAACTCTACTAGTCCTTCAACGAACGGACCACCACTTGCCTTATGAAAATCAATGGGTTGTTATGGATCATTGCCTTGCGCTTTGTACTCCATCCGCGAGTTCTTCTAGCATCAAGGTCTTTGCTCGATCCAAATTTATGACCACGAAGCTTGGCCTGCTGATGAGGGTTCATCTCGGGGAAATACTGTATACGCCCGGATAAGCGACCGTCATGAGAATTGCTGCAAGCGCAATCATTCTGCGTACATGGCTAGAATTCTTGGAGGAATGTGTCTCTAGCGGGTAATAAGTACGCCCCATCCAGGATCATGAGCTCGGCTTCGTTCCTCATCAGCAGAAGCAATTCATTTGATGATTTCAACGTACCGATAAATGCAACGGATCAGAATACACACAAACGCGCTTGTCGTACATGCCAAATAAAACGTGAATGCGTTCCGATTTCGTGAAGAGTGCGGTGGGCGAGAATATCCTGGGCTCCTGTGGTGGTTGTATAGTCAGTATGCATACTCTGCGGCCAGCAAAGCACAGATACCCATGGTGACTGCCTGGAAAACGATGCCTGCCACCATGATTTTGTTACCGATATCGTCCGTGCTTTGGGAGTCCTTTCCATCTGAGGACGACGCCTGAACACCTCCTCCCGCTAGCCGCGTAACGAAGTTTAGTGTGTCGGCGGTTATAAAGATCTATGTATAGAGAGCCGGCTTCAACCTCGAATAATCTGGACCGAAATGCGGGATCGGGTGCTTGAGAGTGAGGGAGAGGCCAGCGGCTAGAAATGAGGGGGAGACGATAAGGAGAAGGATCTGCATGATGAGTCCGTCCTTGTTCCAAGGGTTGGCGTGCATGATGAGCTGCCTAATGTACCCTACTACCTCGCCTGTGCAGCCGAGGAAGATGAGGATGGTGTATGCTTTGAATCGATACATGACGCCGAGAACGACCTGTGCAACGGCGCAACCGGCAAAGAAAGATGGCGTTGCCTGCCAAGTTGGGGTAGTAACCGTAGGTTGTTTGCTCGACTGGGCAGGAGGGGTTGATTTCAGTGCAATTTTCCATTGCGACTGCAAGGACGTGTGTCGTGGTGTTGTATATGCGAATATCGAGGAAGAAATGTGTATTGGTACCTGAACCATGTGCGGAAGAGAAGGAGAAAGGGTTCGTCCACAACCGCTATATATACACACAATGGTCACGGTATCCCATCCTGGAAGACCTACGTATATTCGTGGAAAACGCACTGCGCACATTGATTCGTACCTTGATCGAATTTGATCCTGATATCCATCAAAGTGAGATTGGGGGCGTGATTGGTTGTTCGTTCATCGGTAGTCGTTTGTCGTACAACGAGTGAACTAAGCATTTTTCTCTGGCAGCAGGAGGCTTGGCCTGGTTCTATTTCAGACTCCCCTGATTGTTTGTTGCCTGGCTCTGAGCTGGACGATTACGAGTTCTTGGAGGAGATTCTGCAGCACTTAAGATCTCGAGGCTGTGATTGCGACGAGCCACAAGATAATGGAGGAGTATCAGCGAGTTTATCTCCTCACAATATGCCATCACGCCGGTTCCATAAAAAGTCGCGTTTTGGGCGCCACCAATGCAAGGCTCGACGAATGAAGGTTTGTTTGATTCATTCAAAAGTGCGAAGTGCGGTGTGCGCACTGATCGTCTGGGCTGCCACAGTGCGACGAAGACAGACCTTCCTGTAGGAACTGTATACGAGCATGTATGCAATGTGTCTATAATTCATCCGCGGCCTCCCTATCCACCTCGCAAACCGTTTCACAAGAAACCTCACCGGCAACATCATATGTGACTGTCCCCATACCATCAAATATTCCCCCGCCGCCACCCTTACTCGATGTATTGGATTTAACACTGATGAGTCATTTTACCGCCGTTCCCCGGAGAGTCCCAGCAGCACCTGTGGCAGAAAGTTATTCCTGCCGAAGCACGCTCCAATGTGCTCCTCGTGCACGGGCTATTGTCCGTGGCCGCATTGCATCTCGCCCGCTTGGAGCCCAAGAAAGAGGCAACTTATTAGATGCGGGCTCTTCACCATCATGACCGCGGCCTTCATCTCTTCAATACCATGATAAGCTCTATCTCCGCCGAGAGTTCTCCAATTCTGTTCGCGTTGGCTACCTTGCTCACCATATGGGTGTACATTTCGCCGGCGGTGTGTGGGGAGAGTCTTTGCCTGGACAGCATTTTGGAGGTATTGGGTCTCGTGTGCGGTGCTCGATCTCTTTTCAAACTCCATACCGCTACAATCCACGAAAACGCGGTGTAACAACGATACCAACGAAGGGTAAGGATCTGTTACGAGGTGTAGGGAGAGGGATCATAAATCGTTGCGAGTGCACAAGGTAGGGTGTGGAATAGTAATGTACTGAAACCTGTCTATCTATCTAAGGGTTCGAAGGCTCTTATACCTTTCGCCTCTTTGCCCATTTTCGGCGTCCAGCCCCCTCCCTGCCACTTCTGCGGTGGCTGGGAATTTGTCGCGTGATATTTGGGTGTTACACGCGGTCGGACACATTGCCGATGTCGATCGTTCTACACACTTACCCACACGAACAGGAGACGAGGTCCACCGTGCGGCCATCGCGCATCTACGAAACTTGCTACAAAGGTCGATGCTCACTCCTGACGATGCAAGACTGGCCGTAGCATGGCCATGTGTTGTTGGAGAATCTTTCTGGGCACGTCTAAGGAACCACGAGCGCATGGCCATGGTGATATTTGCACATTATGCGATACTCTTACGACGCTTCGATCGTTCTTGGTGGTGGATGGCCGGTTGGTCAGGAAGGGTCCTCCGAGCTGCCGAGCTGACCCTAACGGACGATGACAAAGTTTCGCTTCGTTGGGATCTTTGTGTGCAGCATATTTCATCATCTGGCATGGAGCTGGACGACCAGCAAATTCAGGGAGCAGGCTCATCTGCAACGTTCATAGCCAGGAGCAGTTCGTGAATCGCGCGAACCCTTGTTCTAAACGGCTGTGAGATCTTACTCCAGTTGAAAAAGGATCGACTTAGCTAGGTGCGGAGGTCTAGAACAAGGCATATAAGATGCAGGAGGTATCCCTCAAACCTATAAGTGGCTCGATAGCTTCCATCTGACCACTCTTCGACCCCGGCACTCACCATTTGGCTTTTTCCCGAGTGTAGGCCGCCACTGCCAGGATGCCGAACGAGAACAGAGAGAAAGATTCGTCGAGGTTTAATGGAGCCCCAAAGCATGGCCCTGGCCTCACAGCCTTAGTGGGCCTAACATCGCCAGATATTTCTAAAGATCCCTTGTAAGCCGCCTCCAGACTCCAAGACGAGGCCAGAAGACCACACACGAAGCATGTTACCAGACTGGCCAAGTCCGTGGACAGGCAAGAACGATACCGAAGCGTTGGAGATGGAATTAACTGAATTGACTGGTTGATTGATGTCGACGTGATCGCTTTGAGAGCGATCAAGGGATGAGGGTGCAAGCAGACATATGCTGTAACGGTTTGCTCTCCTAGCGGCTCGGCAGCCATGACACGTGTGGACTTGCAACCGATTCAGGCCACATGGTCAGGAGCAAATGGGGAAGCGGGGGGAATCGATCGAGGATTTCGCCAAACGAGGCAAATTCGCGGTGCTTTCTTTAAAAGCCGGGGGGCTTGCCTCCATGTTCACCCACATCTCCACCTCCACTAACTACTATTTCCCTGCATGAACCTCCTCCCATCGCGCTCTCAGATTCGAGATTCGTGCTCCTATGAACAGTCGGATCACTTGCCGATTTGGTATCATTCAAGCTCCCCAACCTCCGGCCCTACTTTCTGCATATCGAGCGAGCAGGTCGACCTCCGACGTGCTCTTAACACACCTGGCGCCCAAATGATTGAATGAACGAATGAATCGACGAAGAACCAAATGCAGAATCAAAATATGGGCGTGAAGAAAGTCCGCCGCCGCAGGACTCCTGCTTCTGCCCCGTGTCCCAAGTGTGGACGGGCATTTTCACGAAACGATAGCTTAAGCCGCCATATGAAAACTCACGGCACTCACATCGAACAACGTCCATTTCACCGAATCATCCATGAGAAATTCCGGGCCTGCAATCACTGCCGGCGATCGAAAATACGCTGCACGGGCAGTACTCCGTGTGCGAGGTGCGAACAGCTCAAGCAAGAATGTCATTATGATCAGAAACGGCGAAATCCACCGGTCTCGTGGACGGGCTCTTCGACTGCACCACCTCCTCAACCAGGAGAACCTCCAAAGATCCCTATCGCCTCTCCACGGCCTTCACTCGACGATGAAGAAACCATTGCACCCTCTGCCAGTCTCTCTGACCCAGAAAAGCTGCCGTTCGAGACTCCCAAGAGTTCTGAAGATGCAGCGGCTCTTGCCGTCTCCTCGCCAGACAGCACCGCGGCTCTGTTGCGATTGAGCCTTTCTTCTGACGCAGATGGTCGTGCCATCCTCTTCAACGATGGCAAGGATTTTTCTGTGGTTCAGTCGACATATGTATCACCCACATTTCACGTCTTGGACCCTTACAGCTACAAATTACCATCTATCGCCGACTCTCGCGAGGCATCTACGCCCACCAGCCAGCCCCTCGCCCATTGCCGATATACGGTCCTCCAATATTTGTCCCCCTTTTTGGATAGGGATTTTGGGTCCAATCTTGCGTGCGACCTCCTCGACACGTACTTTTCAAGTGCGTTCTCCAGTCGGATGCATCCAACATGTCACCATATCCACAATTTCATTTTAAGACGCTGCGATATTCTTGACCCCGTCCAACCCCGCAAAACCCATCCTGCCTTGATTGGAAGCATGCTTTTCGTGGCCGCTCTAAGCGACAAGGCGTTGGGGTTATTCAGCGGACCCGAAGAACGAGACCGAGTCTGCAAATATCTGAGCCTGCTCACATATCGACTCCTCAGTCCTTCCAGATACGAACCCCTGTTGAGTCAAGAAGATTTGGGGTTACCTCCTAGCTTTGGATCAGATCCAGGCTGGTCAAACGAGGACTTGCGGCGGGCTTTGGATCCTCAGCAGCAGTCAGATGCCTTTCCCATTGCATGGGGCACCGACTATATAATTGCGTTTATCCATGTGGCGTCGGTCATCTCAGGCAGTGAAAAGAAGGCCGCAAGTATCAGATGGTATGTTATGGTCCATGCATTGAGTTCCGCCTTGCTGCGGTGGCAATCGGGTCCTACACTGGCATGAGAGACTGACCGCGAAACAGGTGGAATGTTGCGTTCAATCTTGCAAGAGATTTGAAGCTGAACCAAGAAATTGAGTCATACATCCTGCAGCACGATGATGGAGAGGACCGCCCCAATATCAACTGCAAATGCTCATTGAATCAAGATGCGTCAAGCGGCTTTATCGGCGAAGTACATCGAGAGGAACGTCGCCGGACTTGGTGGCTCCTATTTTTGATGGATCGACATCTAGCACTGTGCTACAATCGACCTCTAGCCTTGTTGGATGCCGAGTGCAAAGACTTGTTGCTGCCTCTGGATGACGTGACTTGGCAATCTGGTGCGCTGCCTCATAGTCACGGTACTCGGGCTGACGGACCTCGATGCATGTTGCTTCCGTCAGGGAGAGGAAGATTCCACGGCGCTCCAAATACCTATTCCGGACCCGGTCTGTTCGAGTTCTTCTTACCATTGATGACAATAACTGGACACTTACTGGACTACAATCGAGCAAAGAACAACCCTGTTCTCGCTGCGGCAGGATCGTCCATGTGGAGTTCTCAAGAACGGCAGATCCTGCGAGAACTTGATCACTATCAAGCCACCTTGGACCGCCTTACCACCCGACCGAGCCTAGAGAATGACGCCGAGAAAAGTTCCCCTTGGACAACGGCTTCGGCACCTCCGATCGAAGATTCTGAAGCCACTCATATCGCTAAGACGGTTTCTGGTTATGCGACCCATGTGGTGTCCGTGCTGAGGATTTTGGTCGGCAGTAAATGGGACCCTGTTTGTCTTTTCGAGGATGCGGATTTCTGGACTTCCTCCTTGGGGTTCAAGGACTCCATGTCACACACGATGGCCGCCTCTGAATGCGTCACTCAGATTCTCGAACATGACCCAGATATCAGTTTCATGCCATACTTCTTTGGCATTCAGCTCCTTCACGGTAGTCTTTTGCTTCTGCTAGTGGCCTACCGTTTGCAAGCCGATTCGGGAGCGGCAATTTTGGCGGCATGTGAAGCAGTGATAAGAGCGACGGAAGCATGTTTTGTGACACTTCCTACCGACTATCAACGACAATTTCGCAACGTGATGAGATCTGCAATTGCTTTGGCAAAAGGAAGAAGAAACAATCCCGGCGACACAGAGAAGCAATTGACCTTTGTTCTCGCCAGGTATAGATGGTCGAGAAACGGTGCTGGATTGGCACGATGAAAAATGATGCAACGTAGAAACAACAACAAAAATCCTTCAATATCTGTTTGCTACCGGGATGTTGAGCACTTGTACCGTGCTCCTACATTGACTCCGTGGTGACACAAACCCCCTTTTTGTGTGGAAGGAGGTCAAATCCAGCAATCTAATGAGACTCGGGGTTCTCTTTAAGTAATGCTGGGGCACCAAAACACACCGGTTAGTTGACCACTGACCATCCAGAGGAATGGGTTGAAATTGGTACGGTACAACCATGAAACGCCACAGGGGTCCATGCTCCCCAGTTCGAAGCTAACCGGCGCCGAGTTTATTTTGCCTACGCCTTTGAAGGAGGTCTTTCATCAAAGCTCAAAGGCCGATTCAGTGCAAAGCTTGTTCTCAAGGGTCGTTAGACCTCTGAGCAAAGCATGCCAATTCATATGCCAATTTTTGGCCGGTATTTCCGTCTGACAGAGTCTTTACGTTCGACAAGGCTGCAGGCCCACGAAATTACCCTCCACTTTCTAGCCGAGCTAAGCTGCTGATTCGATGACCTCCAAGGATTGAAGAGCCTCACCAACCCCTGGAACGGAGCGACTCCCCCTGGCCAAGCAATTGGCGCCTACTGTAAATTCGTAGCCCAATACGAGATCCTAAGGAGCTTTTTGCGTTTGACGACTCTCCTTTTGCGACACAACGACTCTGTTATGAGCAGACTTCGCGACTTGTCCTCTCAAGAAGCTGGTTTAGCCGGGAACAAGTGAAAGCAGACAAAATGCCGTCGCTCGCTAGGAAATCGATGAAGTTCATGAGAGATGTCTACAATGCCGCCAATTCTGGTTCCGATCGTCCTCCTATTCCTTCGGCCACACAGTCGTATGATTTTCAGCCTACTCCAGGTCTTTCCACTCAGTTCACCCAGGCCAATCCACCTTACTACAATCCACCCTCGCCATATATTCCACCAAATTCGGCTCACGGCCATCCATATACACCTCAACCTACTTATAGTGTATCAACACCACATCACTCGCCTTTCCAAAATCCTCAACAACCTCCGCCTCGCGGCAACTGGTCTAATCCATTACTGACAACATCGCCTCCTCCGCCTCTACCACCACATCCAACATCGAATTCAACACCCCCTCTTAGCGGTCCACCAATTACTTCGATAACCCCCGGCCATCCTTTCCCTCCTATATCTCCAACTTCTTTACCGGCATCTCCTCAACAATATGGACCTCAAATTCCGAACAGCCAGTATCAGCACTTCCCTCAAAAACCACCACTTCCTGAACGACTGCCTCACCATCATTCCGAAGGATTACGACCGAATACGTCGCAGTTAATTTCCTACACCGAATCCCAAGAACCCGTATCGCCCATGACACCAGCGGGAACGTCGTCTTTCAACTGGAATCAACCAAACTCGGCACCTCCGTTTAGTAATGGCTATCACTCCGACAACAGCCATTCCCCGGGTGTCGCTGAACTCCCTGCTCCCCGGCCACCACCTCCTCCCCTTCCTCAAAGACCTCAGACTCATCGACCTAGTGTTAGTAAGCTGTCAATGGAACCGAATGTGCCAGATACGCAGCGCCAGGATTATGGGACACGAGTTGGGACCGTATCAGCTCCGCCCTCGTCAACTACGATATGGCATGAGATGCCTGCCGAGCCAATCGTAAGTGCTTCTCCAGCCCAAAATCATCAGACGACGGCATCGAACATCGCCGAATTACCTTCCTCGCATAGTCCGAGGCCATCGATAGCCACCTCACAACCCTCATATCACGAACCCCCGGCCGGCGTCGTCGAACTTCCAAATTCACCAGTCAGCTTTTCGCCACCTCAACCCTTCAATTCACAGCAACTTAATTCTATTCAAGGAAAAAGGCCACCCGATCCCTTTCCTCTGGAACCCAATTTAGCAGCAGTGCTTCCTCCACCAAATATATCACCACAGATGCCTCAATCTGACTCGTCGCACCATCATCGAGATAGCAACACCAATGGGATTTCTTGGATACAGAACACGTCATCTCATGTGGCGAGAAATCCACAGTCGAATGATTCGCCATCTCCGACTCGACCTGTCTCTTCACCTCACCTATCGATACCGCGTCCACCATCTCTACCACCTGAGTCTTCATCAGCTCAGCCGGGGCCTTTCAATATGAACGGCATAGTCTCAGCAGTAAATTCAACTGACCACGGAAGAAGGTCAAGTCAATCCAAACCGTCATACCCGGTTGGCGAGGTACCTTATCCTCAACATGATGTCTATCCCAGTGCGGTAGTGATGCCTATGGCACATGAACTCACTGGCGCAGCTACGTCAACTTTGCCAAATCAGAACACCCAACCTCCGGCCTTATGGAGCGGTGTCACCAACCACGCATACCCTGTAATGGGCCCCCAGAGCAGCGTCTCCCTCGGTCCATATCAAGACGCCCAATCGCCATCGTCCGCACACTCTTCACTGACTCCAAGCTTATACAGTGCATCGATCAATGCAAAGCAGTCCGTCACCTCCAGTGAATTTTCAACACACCACCAACCCCGAGATGGCACCTCTCCGAATTCAAAGCAGTGGAGACAAGCCACAGGCCCGCAAGATCCTCTCACTTGATGGTGGTGTGCGTGGATTATCGACTATGTGATGGAAATGCTTGGAAGCCAACGCGGGCCTAGACTTGAACTGTGGCAAGAATTTGATATGATCGCTGGGACCAGCACAGGCGGATTAATTGCCCTGATGCTCGGTCGACTTCGGATGTCGGTGGCAGATTGTATTCAAGCATACAAGAATCTATCTAGAGAGATCTTTGTCCCGAGCCAACGAAATGCCAATTTCGCAGGGAAATCCATGGACTTCCTCAAAGCGAGAGGGCGATTTCGATCAGAACCGCTGGAAGAGTGTGTCAAGGCCATGTTGCGGGCCCGTGATCTTTCGGAGGAAGAACTATTAATGGATCATGGCGCGGATTCGCCGGCCGTGTTTGTCTGTGCCGTTGAAGGAATCAACAGTGGTGCAGTAGTAATTCGATCATACAAGAGTGAGGAGTTCGACGATTTGTATGGCAAGTGTCGGATTTGGGAAGCAGCGCGTGCCACGCCTGCAGCGTCGACATTTTTTGACCCCATCCAGATCGGTGGCCGGATGTATGTGGACGGAGCACTGAAGCATAATAATCCCATCGAGAAGGTTGATGAAGAATCTACCGGTAAGAGATCACACCAATCGAGATATTGAAGGAAAAAGGTTTACTTACGTTACCATTCAACACAGAATTGTGGCCCGGTCAAGAACGGTTGATCATCAGCATTGGAACGGGTAGCGCCCCCTGGTCCGGACGTGACGGGTGATTTTAAATCTCTGGTCGACGCGCTGAAGAAGATTGTCACCGAAACCGACGATACGAGCAACGCCTTCCGGAAACGAAACCGGGACATGATCAACGCAGACCGACTGTTCCGATTCAACGTGTTCCACGGCCTGGCAGATGCGGGCCTCGCGGAGCATGAGGCGGTCAACAAAGCCGAGGCACATACGGGAACCTATTTGAAGAGATTCGACACCGCTCGTGATGTAGAGCGATGTGCCAATGCGCTCAAGGAGACTGGCCAGCGACTGGGATATATTGCGGGTGGAGGTTGGTAGTACTTTGCTGGTGTTTAGGGGGTCTTGCTCGTAACATGGCAACTCTACAGAACTATCGACCTATCGAGAAATCCAACGCGTGTCCACATTGAATTGCGAATTCTGCGATGAATGTCACCGAGGTGAGTCCTCGTTTGGACGATCCAGATTTCCATCATTGTTGATCGTTTCGAGGTCCAGGAATTCCCTACAGTTCACCTCTTTTCCTTTGCGGTACTTGCGGGATGATGCTTTGTAAAGACTGCCACTCACCACACGACGGGAGTCATATGCGACAGATGCTTCGGTTTCGCTCCATGTAGTGGATGGCGAATCTGCTTGGAGTCACCCCTTCGGCGTCCTGCTGGCATTGTACCAAGGAGAGCAAAGCTTGATGGCAGTGTGAGAATTGCGATCAAGCTCTCTGTCAACGATGTGCCGGGAATACGGAACGGAGAGATCTGTTCTTGAAAGAACACGGGACCAAATACCCTGACCACCGTGCTTTTGGGGCACTTTATGCGTCAAATTGGACTACGAAAGAGGGACGTATCACATTAGCCTGCTGCGACATGTCATTTCAGTACGCCTCCTGCTCGCCATGCTCGTCCTGATTTGTGTCGAGATCGAACTTTCACTGACTTGCCACTTTTTATCAGTCATTCAACTCGGTTCTCGATGCTATAGCTGCCGTACTTGCACCGCCGAATTTGGGTCTGACCAGGTCCTTTGTGCCAGGTGCTCTCAAGAGGAAGACTCCAGCCATCTCTCACGACACGAATGGATGACGGCAGATATTTCTTTTCCCCAACGGGGCCCGACTCGGTAGGAAAAGACTTCAAGATGTTTTACAGCTGCGCTCAATGTCCTAGTGAAAGTAAGTCTGCCTCTGCTTCTCTGAAAGGCTTCTACTGCCACCTTTCCATCTGTCTATACCGCCCAAGCAAAACATTCTGGAATTGGTGGTCAATGCATTTACTGATCTTGAACAGAGATCTTTTAGGTCAAGAACACCTCCACCAGCATACCAATCTACAAGTCATCCTATCCTCGCCGCTCGTCGAGCTATTCCATATCGCGAGCGTGAAACAATGCCAGCGACCCGCATTCCGGGGCCCAAGGCGCGATGCATCGATCCCACGAGTTTTTGACTAGTACTGTGTTATTAGACTCGGTTTCGGGTTGGGAAAAGAAGAGTATCTGGGCCGGAGATGACTGATCCTTTTTGGCATGACCCAGTGGTAGTCTACGTGAACACTGACAACTCGACGATCAATTTAATCCATTGCGAAATGACGAATTGGTAGAATCCACATCCAGAAAATGAGGGATCTCAAGAGGTGCCACTCTGTAGACTATCTAGACTTTCCGAGTCAACATCGAAGGATTGCTATGATGAATATGAGAGTGCATTCATTTTGAAGACTACTGTATGAACGGAGATCTTGTCCGTGTGTCTCCAATGTTCAGCATCTTCCAGGAGGAATCTGGTGAATGATCTTCCCTGTCCATCAGCCTGAGGAACCAGAGGAACGATATCAAAATGTCGGGTCGGAAAAACAAGGCTCCGGATGCACTTAATTTGTCCCGTCGCGTCGCGTCAAACGGACCGAGAAATGAGCTGGCTGCATTGGCTGCGGATTCAATCCACTGCACTCCCATTGCTCCCAGTTACTTTTGATATCTCCGTCATACTTTTTCCCCAACATGTCGGCTTTCATGTAATGAAGAAATTCAATGCAAGTTACTCGAAAACATATCTGACGCGGCACAACTACTACGGACCAAATCTGCTGAAAACCATCCGAGGACGCCGGACCGACACCGCTTCAGGACCTGCCTTGGGAGAAGACTTGAAAAGAAAAAGTCCCAACATGAAGCCAAGGATGGAAGAAGATGATGAATTGGCCATATATGCTCAGCCAATGAGTAGTGATGAAGACTTCATCGTTCCCAAGGAAACCGCCAAACGCTCGCCCAGAAAATTGAAAACTGAGACCATGAAACCCTCCCGTGCCTCTCCAAAACGTCCTGCAAACACCGCAGCCTCGACCAGATCGAAGCGAAGGAAACTTCAAGACGAGCCTTCTATCGATAACGTCATTACCCCGGGAAAAGATGAAGTTGGCGATACATTTCCTAGCTGGAATGTTGGCTCTCAGAAGAGAAAGTTACAAAAAAACTACGCCAATCGCAAATTCTTCGTGAAACCCGAGATTGTCGAGAGCAAGGATGACTTACGTGGATCGAAGCAAGAGTTCATTTCGCATGATGTGGTCGAAAAAAGGGAAGATGTGAACTCTAAGACCGGGTTTCAAGAGATTAGCGCACTACCAAGGAAACGTGCTACAAGGAGTCTCTCTCACTCAAAGCCGTCGTTGGACATTGCGGATCTACCACAGAAAGGTTCACCGTCCAAAGAGTCGGATTTTTTCATGCCAGATCTGCCAGACTTCGATTCATCTGCTCCGACCACTGGAACAGATAATCCATCCACATTTTCCGAGGAATTTTCACCTGACAAACCCGGTCATAACAGATCGGGTTCAACGTCTTCCCTCTCATCTGTCGATTCTATGTTCCTGCTGGAAAACAAACTTGAAATGGATGCCATGGGCGACCCCGAAGTTACCGGTCAAATCTGCCCGATCTGCAAAAGGCCTGTCAAAGACTCTGTTTTATTATTTGTTCCCAACAATCTTCGCAAAATATCTTTCCAAAAGCAACAAAATTTCTGCTCACAACATCAACTGGTCGATGCCAAAGAACAGTGGAAAGAACGAGGATACCCGGAGATCAATTGGGAAGATTTGGAAGAAAATCGAATCCGCAAGAAAATACCGAATTTGAAGCAGATCATCAATCGTGAGACCCCCAGTTTTTATCGGGATCATCTGGATACCAGAATCGAAGCTGCCAAAGGCCATGGCAAAGCCATTCGCACATATCTCAACCAGGGAATCATTGACGTCGTCAAACAGGGTTATTACGGTCCGAAAGGAACGCAGATTATGATCAATGCGATTACCGAGTCTCTTAGTGGATCTTTGAACAAAGCTCTGCAGTCGGATTCTACGCTGCGAACGGCGGGTGTGGGGTACTTTGTGAGTGCCGTGTTAGTGCCGGAGCTGACGTTACAGCTTGTGATGGAAGATATGAAGTTATCGAGGAAAGAGGATGGGAGAGCTGTGATGGATGAGAGCACACATATTGGTATTTTGTTGAATCCTGATGATGATCGAGTTGAAAGGGGAGGGGAAGGGGAAGACGAAGATGGAAATTGACGGCCTGTCAGTGGATGGTTGAGATTATCGTCATGGAGTATGCTAATGGCTAGGAGCTAATGAACGGTTATCCTTGGGGGAAAGGAGAAAAGAGGCCTCTATGCACCATCGACCCACATGGCATAAAGGGATCTGTATATGTCGAATATTGAATATGGAATATCGAGTACTGAATACCATGAGTACAGAGCTTCCCGAAACCTGCCTACACATTCCGACTTTCTCCCACACAAAAGCTAAGGCTATGCTGTTGGGGTCGCGCTTTTCCAGATTTGTAAAAGCCGACTCTGTCGCCGCGAGCTAATAGTCGATGAGCGTATGTAATGATGATACGGCTAGTACAAATCGAGTCTTCGTATTGAAATGGACATTTAACATGACTAATCCATGTCAGTACAATGCAGCGAGACGATAGGCAAAAGCAGCAACGAGATTCTACCAGCTTTCAACCAAGCTCTACCAACCCCGAGCCTTCGCAGTCTCGAACTTTGACACAAATCCTGCTCTCAGCTACTGTCTGTATGCTGTAAAGGGTCCACCGTAACAATGGTGGGTGACGGAAGAGTAGTGCGATATAAGGAGATTATAATGGCGTAAAGGAAGAGGGACGTAAAGGCTAATTAGACTCAACGAAGGCGCAAACGTTCGAATTCCACGCCTGGTCCGGCTTTTAACAAGGAATCCCGTATTATGGAAGAATAAGAACTCGCTGAGCGCGAAATTGAATCTTGGGGATTGGAAGACTGCTGTTCTGTTATGCGATTTTGATCAGCCTCGTCGTGTGATGAATGCTCGCGTTCGTCTTGTTCGTCTTATTCATCATGTTTGGCGATTGTTGGTGCAAGGGGGAGCATTTGCGAGGATGTAGGAACTATCTGTGATAAGACTTTAAAAGATACGTTTGGACATGAGGACGGTCCTGCCGATTTGTAGCCACACGACTGAATCATTTGGTGGTTGCCAGTATAGAGTCATGCCAAGGCTTTTTCCGTCTCGGCAGGCGTTCCACGTGACCTATCGAGCCTTACTACTTTAGGACAAGTGGACAAAAGAGCATGGTGCGAGGGACCGCACGTAGCTATTTCTTTTGGAACATAGTCAAGATTTTACCAACATAGTCAAAACTTTAATTTTACAGTTCGTCTATTCATTCGACTGTCTCTACTGCTTGTGGGCCGTAGAGGTCCTACGGGAGCATCTTCAAGCTGCCTGATGTCTCAGCCTCGCGGTACTGCGGCCTCTGGAGCTGGTGCTAAGGCCATGTTGGAAGATCAATCTGATATCAATAACGACTTGCAAATCGCTGTACAAAGGGGGCTCTTAGAAAGGTACAAAAATCGAATTGAGAGCACACCATCTGCCGATGTCAATACCCAATTCGGGCCAAGCGCTGAGACAGCGCTGCATATAGCGGCCAGGCTCTCACGTCTCGATATCGTTAAGTCCCTCGTTGAAGCTGGTGCTGATCTGAAGTTGAAAGATCGTCAAGGATATACTGCGGGCCATACAGCTTGTTATTGGGGCCATCCCGAGATTGTTCGTTACTTTTTCAACGATAACAAGTATTACAATGTAAACGATCGGACTGAAGATGATATGACATGCCTCCACCTCGCAGTCAGCAATGGCACAGACTTATTGGGTTATCGAGATTCCGATGGCACCGTCGAAGAGCTGCTACAAAGCGGAGCCCAGCCAAATGACAAGAATCGTGAGGGATTGACTGCATGGGAATTAGCAAATGAACGCAATCTGGTCAAGGTGATAAGTGTCTTCGCATTGGATGCTAGACCAGAGGTCTATGAATCTACTTGCATTGAGGAAGGGGAGGATGATTTGCATTGGGATGATGCCGATGTAAGAGACAAGCTCTCGCCCACCTTCACCAGGTTGACTGACATCAAATCACAGCAACTTGCTGTCATAGTAGGTCAACCAACACTACAGCATTCGAAACGATGCTAACCGTATTGCCAAGGCTATATTTCGAAGGTTGATGCTAATGGGAAAGGTTTCCGAGAAAGTTTTCATTCAATCATTGAAATTACTCCGCTCCAATTTTCTGGAGGATAGTGGAGCGAGTCCCATCCTGAATCGAAGAGAGCCGTCTTGTCACTTCGATTATATCATCGCGACACAAAAGCCCAATTTACCAGATTTCATATCGCTTGTTGTCGGTATACTCTGAAAGACTTCTTCATAACTGTTCTGACTCTGTTCTGCCAGATCCCTTATTTCTTTTCCGGCCAGAAATCGTACTTCTCGCCCAAACCTCCGGAGGATCTCAAGCTGCGTGAGCAAAACTACACAGATTTGATAGATACCCTGCACTTATTTGGCATGGATCCCTCGTGCGGAATACATCAACAACTTTCCCTGGACGAATACTGCGTTCGAGGCCTAGAGTTCGATTCCCTCGCAATACGAAATGGAGAACAGACAGTCATCCGATACGAGGACAAGAAACGAGGAGGGAAGAACAAAGGAGCACAAGAGGGTCGGTGCGTTGGGACAGACGTTCCTCCGCAGCGACTTATTACGGTAGGCCAAGCATGGTTCTACCAAATTGACCATTTCTCAATTACCGCTTACGATTCATACGAGCGAAATACAAATCAGGCGAAGCTAAACGTTCTGCGAACGATCGTACGAAAGCAATTTAATACGCTTTCTATCACAATATCACGTCTGACTAAAGACCATCCCAGATTGGCCCCTTCAGCTTATGCAGGGATACTACTTTCGGAATGCATCAATCTCATTAATCATCCCGCCATGGCAGGCTTCTCCGAGCCCGTCTTGAACGTCTTCGAAAAAGCAATCAACAATGTCTCAGAAGAGGTGAAGACTTACAGCAAAAGTATGGATTACCATGATTTCCAGGTTGATAAGGAAAGGGACTTCCTGCATGAGATTGGTGATATTCGTGAAGAGCTTTCTATGATCAAGAAAGTGGTCTGGGAGCAAGAAACGGTGTGGAAAGATTTCACAGATAAAGCTTGGGGGGCGGACGGAGAAAATTGGGAGTTGACCAAGCAAGACAGGGAAGTAGAAGGAGCAGGTGACTTGCGAAGGCTCGTTGAGAGACCTCGAACCCAGTTTCGCGTCTTCAACACTCGTGTCGCTGGACTCGAGGAACTTGCCGAGAGAGTTGAGGCTTCAATCCTAACCTTGCTTGACCTCAAATCAAAGCATGCCAGTATGGGAGAAGCTCACACAACGACCCTCATGAGCGCAGCTATCTTCGGATTCACTATCGTCACTGTTGTGTTCACACCACTGTCATTCGTTATCGCCTTATTCGCCCTGCCGATGAACCGTTTCAGAAGACATCAAGAGGCCGGGTACAGCACCTACTATATTGGCAAATGGGTTGGTAAGTCAACCGCGCCAGGCAAATTTCGAGACCATTAATGCTATTAGCAACGACGGAAATTGTTTCCCTTGCTTTCACTGGTTCAGGAAATGGGAAAACAAAGGCTCAGGGTTAGTTTGAACCAATAGACTCAGCGTTTATGCTAGGACTCTTCTAAGTGACGATTCTAATTGATCTGATGGAAATATATGATGGGTACATATCTGAAGTACCAGGAGCTCGTCTCATCACGTGCAGTGTTTCATCACGTGGGTATGCATACTACGGAGGCGTGCACCAAAAGTGGTGAAAACGCTAATTGAAATGACGAAGCTTATGACACTGAATTTTCTTAAGTACTAAGGGTGATTTAGGCGTGAGATGCCTATTGACGCTTAAAGTCTTTGTTGTATAGGTACCTACCTAGGCCTCTATGGTAGCATGAAATAGTGGGTTCTGGGTATAAAACTAGTTTATCCGATATCTCCGGGCACTGTTGTCAAGGGCAACCATCGTAAATATATCCGTCTTTTGAAAGTCTGTCATTTTTCATTTAGCGTTTTCACTTCTTTTCTCCGTACTAGGGTTGAGGCTGGAAAAACTCCGGTCGATCATAGTGGTTCATGTATAATTTGAGATCAGGCTGAAACAGGTCGACAGCGCCACGGCCTTCTGGCAGTACGCAGTATAGGCCTGTTGAAGTCGCCGTAGCGTGATTTAGCAGACTATGCATCTTGGGCACGTTACAATGGACCCTTCACAGCATATACACCGTAGTTTAGCTAAGGGTAGGCTTTATGTCAGTGCAGGACTGTAAAGTTGGTTAAATTCCCTTGCTGCTTTTGCCTCACGAGGCTGAAATTAATTAGTCACGTGAATTACCAAAATTAATTCGAAGTTCCGTCCCGTACTTGGCATATCATTAGGGCTTGGCATTGTGTGGCGACGCCAAGAGGGACGTGCTGGCCAATCACGTAAGCCCGTGGCTTGGTGCTATCACGTGAGCAAGAGGCTTGGCGGTGTCACGTGGGTACGTGGGCACTCCCCTTTGCAGCCCCGTCATCGGATCCAATCCGTGGACCATGCGGCCGGGGGCACCCTACTCGATAGATGTCCATATCGATATGATCCACGCATCGGATCCAGTCTGTGAACCACCTCAGACAAGTCCTGTCAAACTTCTCTTCATTGAAAGAATGCTCTGCTCTCCCCCGGTCAGATGGTGGCATCGAGCCTATCTATATATCTATCTAACAAGTATATGTCATCATTGTTGCCTGTCAATGATAATACAGTCTGGTGAGCAAATGTTGTAAAACAACCCGGTTAGTCGTGAACGATAGGCCATCAATTGTTCAACAAGTCCCTGCTGATCACACTCGAGATGGTTCGTAACCGAGCGTTAATGAACGAGCCTCGATGTCGACATAGTCCATGAATTGGATCCCATGGGTCGTGGTATTTCATCGGATCCAGTCTGCGGACCACCCAGACAACCCCTAATTTACTGATCAAACTCGAGATGGATCGTATGGGGCGTTAACGGACGAGCCTCGATATCGACATGATCCATGAATCCGACCCCACGATATACCACCGCCATCGGATCCAATCCGTGGACCATATGGTCAGGTAGAGCCGGGACAGTGTAGGGCGCTGGCCTCGATATCTAGATGGTCCTTGGATCGGATCTCATGATATACTGTCGAATAGTATATGGCAACATGTTCAGCTGCGATACTGGAATACTCAGCCGGTGTCAAACTTCTTTCATTGAAAGAGTGCTCTGACTGAATTCGGCCAGAGGGTGGCATTGAGTGTCAGGAAGAGGTCCACAGTCCCTTGGGAATCGTCCAAAAAGACTAAGAATCCTTCATTTCATGACAAACTTGGACCTCTTAGCTTATATACTTGTCAGAACCCCGTTCGTGACATTGAACCTATCTATATACCTATCTAACGAGCGTACGTCATCATTGTTGCCTGTTAGTTGTAATACAGTCTAGTGAGCGAGTGTTGCACAATAACTCGGTTTGTCGTGAACGATAGGCTATCAATTGTTCAACAGCTCTTCACGGCCACTCGCAAAGACAGTGTGCACTCCCTCTTACTGTCGTCACGAGAGTACTCCCCTTATGGCGCCAGCCTATGCTTTAATAGAGACCCTTCTTAATGTGAGCAACATACCAACAACGTAGAAGGACTCATGGAAGACTTGCTCAATCTCAATGCGAATGCTATGATTACGTTTGGCTACAGTGGGGAGGTGGCAAAATAATTCTTGAATTTTGAAGCTGCTGGTTCCAATGTTCCGCGTCACAATCCTCCCTGCGACTAACATGCAAACTCACTCCTACTGTCACCCTCTGCAGCCTCCATGCCAGACGACTCCTTTATTCCTTCCCGGGAGACTGCGTCAGCGTCGAGATGATGAGGCTTTACCGGAGCCATGTATGGTGACGCTGTCATGTAAACCCCGCGAGAACGGTTCCACGAAAACACAAGCGTCGGAATACCCGCAAGGACATAAATTCGTTGCAACACGCTTACAGTAAAGTAGAAACATAAATGCCCATTCAAGACTGCGGAGGAGCCACACGCTGTTATATTTCAAGATTTTGTCGGGGCTTCGGTCAACGAGCTGATCGAGTAATTAATTCGTCATGGCCTTTTGTCGCCGTATCTTCTCCGCCTCCTCGTACTTTCCCTGTTGCTGAAGCACCTCTGCAAGGTTGTTCATGCTGTCCAGTGTTGAGGGATGCTCATCTCCGAGTACCTTCTCTGTTAAATCCAACGTCTGTCGCTGC